TGTATACGGGGTAAAATTGGGAGTTCATAACCCACTTGAATCAAACTGTGAAATATGATGTATTAAGAACTATGTAATGTTTTGAATGACCAACAATAAAAAAAATGAAATAAAATAAAAGTGATACTAAAACTTTTAACTTGTCACATTAGTTCCAGAAAGAGATTGAATGAGTTGACTTATCCACAACTGCTTCAAAACTCACTTAAATGAAAAGCATATCTGCCAGATGAGAATTTCCACTCTTACAAGATCTGTGGACATTCATTGGGTTGCTGTGTAAGCCCACCACCTGGTTGAACCTCTAGCCTTCTTGTAGAAGTATCAGTTTTAGAAATCTCAGCAGGAGAGGAAGTACTTGGATTAAGTGATGTCACACAAAGATTTATGTCAAGCAATGGAACCCCAAGGGAAGAAAACTAAAATCTCAAAAATATGAGAAAGGCGAAAGAAAAAGGTTTGTGTATTAGGAGTTAAGAGAGACCTAGTCTCATGGTTCCAAAGAAGGCTCCCATTGAACGGTTTCTCGTAGCTCACTGAGTGCTGAGGCAAGTAGCAGGCAGGTTTTCTTCTCTGCTTCTCCTCTCTACCCACTCCCCTCTATACAAAAGATAATTTAAAGTTAGTACAGTCTCACTAGTGCTACTTTCTTCCAAGGGCTCTCTTGCTTTTTCTGATATATTGTGCCCCTCTCAGGACATGCCTTTTCTCCAACTTAAAAATTTTTTTTTGGTACCAGAGGTTGAACCCAGGGGTGCTTAACCAATGAGCCACATCCCTATCCTTTTTTATGTTTTATTTTGCTACAGGGTCTCAGGGAATTGCTGAGGCTGACTTTGAACTCACAATCCTTCTGCTTCAGCTTCCTGAGTGCCTGGGATTACAACGTACCCAGCCAACTTTCAAAATTTTCAGACCACATGAAAGTTGGAAGACCTGTGTAAAGAATACCCATATATCTTTCCCCAGAGTCACTAATTGTAAATATTTTGCTAGTTTGGTTTACTTCTATCATCTATGTATTTAGCTATTCATCTTTTTTGAGACTGAATCATTTGAAAGTTGTAGACTCATGCCACTTCACTGCTAAATATGTACTTAAAACCCGTTTCTCCAATAAATATGAGCATTTTCCTGTCTACTGACACTGCTCATATTGCACCTAAGAATACTAAGATAAAGCCTATTAGTATTATTACAAGCTATATCAATATTTTCTCAGTTGACCCATGTTGTTGTTGATGTGTGGTTTTTGAAAATTTTCCCTCAATCCAGGATTCAGTCAATCCAGAACTGGATTTGCACATTGCAAATGTGTCTACACATTGCATTTGGTTGTTATATCTCATTAGTCTCTTTTAATCTATAACAGGTTTTTTGCCTCCTTTGGTTTGTTTAGTTTTCTTGACCTTGATTTTTTTTTCCTTTGAGGAATCTGGAGCAGTCATCTCATAGAATGCCTCACATTCTAGATTTGTCCAATTGTATAGAAGAGTGCTGAGATGATGTACCATTCTCAGTATTTTACTTAGGGGACACATAATGTCAGGTTGTCCTATTATCGGTGATGCTAAGATTGGTTAAGCTTTGACTCGTCATCCATTGCAAAAATTACAGGTTCCCCTGTGTGGTGAATGATTCGTCGGTGGGTTGATATCTTTATACCATGCAAACATCTTGGTCCCCAAAACTTTCATCCAGTGGTTTTAGCATCCAGTGATTGTACTTGACTGATTCAATTATTACTGTGGTGTTATAAAATTATAATTTTTTAAATTCTAGTTGTTAATGCTTATTAGGTAGTGTTCTAATATAAATTTTTTCCTTGCTTCTCTTTCTTTTAGAATCAGTAGAGGTCCATATCCTATTTTCATATCCTATTTTAGTACATAATCTGTTACTATTCTTTGTTTTTTATGTTCAGTTTACTCTAAATTTGGCCATTTGGGGCTCCATCAGCTGGTTCCCGTGTCCTCTTGAGGTGATTGCATTAGCTCAGGCTTCCTTGCTTTCTGACACAAACATGACTGCTCCACAGTAACCAGGAGCAGACATTTCCCAAGAGCTCCTGGCGATGTGATGTGGAAACCAAGCTCTGATGGTTGAGACTGTAACTGTATCATTCCTTTTATTTGCATTGGGCAGATATAGTACAAATGAAGGAGAGACCTGGAAGACGTTCATCTTCTCTGAGAAGCCCGTGTTTGTGTATGGGCTTCTCACGGAACCCGGGGAGAAGAGCACTGTCTTCACCATTTTTGGCTCGAACAAGGAGAATGTCCACAGCTGGCTTATCCTCCAGGTCAATGCCACCGATGCCTTGGGTAAGCTGTAGCCTCCTGGGCTCTTTGTCCAACATGTTGATTGACTTCCTGATGTGTGCAAAGCATCAGCTTGGGAACTACGTCCTCAGAAGAGATTGTGATTCAATGGGGAAAATGGGCATCTTTAAAAAGAGAAAAACACAGGGAGATAATATGAAGGCTTACTCAATCCTTAACAGGATTTTGTATTCTTTATATTGTGGTTACATTGTACAGTCCTGGCACACAATAGGTCTGAATATTTGGCTCTTGAATATGTGGATGGATGGATGAATGAATGAATGAATGAATGAACAAAAAAAAGTTTCCAAATCAGCAGTTCCAAGGCGATGTACCCAGTGAGTGTGCTTCACTGTGGAAGGCAAAGTGCTCAGTGACGCAGGGTCCTCTCAAAGCTGTCCAGAGCCCAGTCATGATCTGCTAGTGTAGATACAGGACAGGTAAGTAAGCAAGGAGGAGGGAAGCTTGTCAGCATCCCCTCACACTCCCCATGTTCTGCTTTTTTCTTCTTCTCTGCTGTGGCCAACATTATTCCAGCTGCACAGAGTTCCTGGTGTCTTCTCACCTCCCCCCATTTAACCTCCGCTAGTAGAAACCCCTTTCATGTCTCAGAATCCAACACACTTGCCACTGTATCTCAACCAGAAGACACCTCCCCTCTTTTCTATGCCCAGAAATAAGTGTTGGGCGTGCCTGGAATTGTGAATTTGTGTTTGTTATTCCCCATGTGCCATCTTCCATCAATTAGCTCATAAGACCCTTAAAAGCAAGCGCATGTTCTGTGTATGTTTTATTCCTATTGGGTGGCCCCTTTGCCTCATAGGCAGTGGGGTTTTACTCAGTCTTTACTGTTTGAATGGCATTGAGTTGACAATTGTGAATCTACTTCAGGTAGAATTTAATCTGAACAAAGACACTTGGAAAAAAGATGCAAGTTACCAGTATAGACATAGGCATGCTCTGGAGTTCCTGCAGGAATCACCCTGCTGACATTCTCCGTGGATATGGGCAGGTGGGGTGACTCTACATGTTGTCTCACCACTCCTCAGCATTTTCCACAGAGATACTGCACTTCCAAGTAGGGCAAGCATTGTCTGCAGTGCTCTGGGGCCCTACTTCAGGTGTGCCTGCTCCACAAGAGGAAGCAGGCAGGGAACGGTAACCCCGAATGACATCATCACTGAGCTCTCAGCCTGCCTGTAGTTTCCTAGGAGAGAAATGCCCTTGTGTACCTATTTTTAAAGGAAACTGATGACTATCTTCAAATAATTCAGAAGTTTGGTGCTAAAAAGGGGCTTCTTCTCCCCAGTTTCCTCAGATGAGTGTTTGTGTTTCCAGCTGCATCATTTTCATTTGTGTGGGTGCTGCCCAGCTTCAGCATAAGCCCATTAGAGGCTCACGATGGCGCCCAAGCTCTGCACCTGTTGGATGGCAACTGGATGCACAGGAAGTGGGGGGCAGTGCTGAGGTGGGTGGCGAGACAGGAAATCCTAGATGGGCCTGGCTCTGATGCTCAGTGCTTTCTTTTCTTCAGGGGTTCCCTGCACAGAGAATGACTACAAACTGTGGTCACCGTCGGATGAGCGGGGGAATGAGTGTTTGCTAGGGCACAAGACTGTTTTCAAACGGAGGACCCCCCATGCGACATGCTTTAATGGAGAAGACTTTGACAGACCCGTGGTGGTGTCCAACTGCTCCTGCACCCGGCAGGACTATGAATGGTTCGTTATTCAATTCGGGGCATCAAGTTGTATTTTTTTCACTCAACAGACGTGGTCCCATCCCCCGAGGACAGGAATAGAAGGAAATAAATATTTAGTAAGCATCTTTTATGTGCCCAGAACTATGCTAGGCACTTTATACATAAGTTGTTCTCCTTCATTCTGCAGGCCATGTAAGGCAGCAGAGGTATTTTAACCCAGAGAAATTCAGATCCCTGGGATTTGKTTCTAGGAGGGTGTCCCAAAATGGGAAATGCTGCAAGTTTCATTATAGGTAACTTGTTTTTCTTAGGACCCCTATCCCACAGGGATTTATTTCCTCATCTAAAATGTTAAAATAAATAAATAAATAAATATATATATATATGATTCATTTATTATTGCTAGAGAAAAATATCCAAGGCACTCCTAGATACATTAAAAGTAGAAGGAGGAAGAAGTGACTCTTTTCATTCTATTGTGATCTTTGAAAGGAAGGGGAGAGCTGTGATTTGCAGTTGGGGAATTGGGAAATCTTTACAGGAAGCCCTGGTGTAGATGGTCTTTAAGGAGACATCTGGGTATGTGTCCAGGGAACTCTTAAGACCATGCAACAGTGGACAGTATGGGGCAGGAGTGGTGATGGTGGTTTAGTTTGAGCAACTCGTTGGGTGACTGCAGCAGAGTCAGGGAGCAGAGACGAAGTAGAAAATGACGGAAGCAGTAGGACTGTTGGCCCTGAAGGGGATGGGCCTCATTCCATAAGCAGGAAGGGCCTTGATGACTTCTGAGGTGAGTTGGTTAAAACAATGCTTAACTATAGGAAGATGATTCTAGCAATTGAGTGGACAGGATTTCTGATCTCCCCAACAGTCTGTCTTCAGCAGGAAAGTGTTGTAGGGGTATCAGTAGAACTTTGTCTTAAACATATTCAGAGCTTACATTTCAGTGGTTGCTGGGGCACCAAGGAGCTAAGTTTTGTTTGGGGCAGTGCCACACTAAAGCCAAAACCCTGTCATAGGTTCTAGATCAGAGGTTAGAAGAGGGATCTATATAAATGTTTTAGGCTTTCTAGGTCACATGAAGTCTATGGTCTCAGTTGTAGCTACTCAGCTATGCACAGCATGGATAAAAGAAAGCAGTGGGTATAGCTGTGATTCAATAAAACTTTATTAAAAAAAAAAAAAAAACAGCCCACTCTGTCTGACCACTTCTAGACCATACTCTGAAACTTGTAGGTGTGACTCACCTGAGGTCTTATTAAAATGCAAATTCTGCCTCAGGAGTTCTGGGGATCTGTAGCTCTGCCAGGCTCTCAGGTGAAATGATGCTACTTATCTGCACATCTGGCCTTAGAGCAGCAAGACCTAGAACATGCAGGACATTGCCTTCAGTGCCTACTGCCAAGGTCACAGCACAGATGCTTGAGTATTCTCAGAACTTGGTATCTCCTGAGGATCTTGGAACCAGTCTCCCTGTAGTACTGAGGGGGTTACTTTACTTCAAAATAAAATTAAGACTAAATAAAAATGCATAAGAAAATCCAACAACTCTTTAGGGTTCTTCCTTGACTGCTATTATACTTAAAAACAAAAACCAAATGTTAAGATCATCTTTCTCTGCCTACCCCCTGCCAAACAAGAATATAAACAAGTAGAACTTGGTGTGCCTTCCTGGGAGACTGTCTGGGCCCCTGCTGGTCTATCATGCCTTCCCTATCTGGCTTGCGGGAACCTGCTGAGTGCTTATCCCTGTTTTGTGTTTTTATTATAGACCAGAATAACTACCTGCCCTTCCCCTCATGGAGTTGACTAGTAAAATAGTGACTGGCTTTTATGTCAGGTTGTGCTCTGTCTCTATTTGCTGCTAGGAAGGAGCCAGCTTGGCTGCATCGCTCTTGATGTGTTTGATGGGATAAGGACTGTGGCACTGAAAAGGGTAACAGTCTCAAGATGGATAGCAGAAGATGAGATGAGAACAAGCAAGCTGAGATATCTACTTGTGAGCTCAGCCACTGATTGACAACTGAATTTAAAAGGCTATTTCTGATAGTCCTTTCAGACCCCACTAAGAAGCCCAGTTTTCAGCCCATACATTTACTTTCAGGGGTAGTTTATTTTATGTCTTTATGTTTCTTCACATGGCCAAGACATGTGACTTTGAAATTCTTGATGCGCCTCCTAGTAAGCAATACATTTTGTATTATGACCCTGTACCTCATGTGTGTGTTGTGTGTGCATGCGCTTGCACATGCGCGCASACACACATGCACATCATTAAAACAGAAGCTTTATGGGACAACATTTAAATGTGCCATGTCTTTTGCTTTCTTCCATTCTTTTGGGGGAGGGAGGAAGCTGGGCGTGGCCCTCTAAAGTACTTTCACAGCACCAAGTTGCGACTGCAGCCACACAAAGCTGCCTAAGAATTGGGCACCTTGATTTGGAGGCAAATAAGTAATTAGTTAATGCTTCATCCAGTCCCTAAAAAGATGTTAAAATAGCCTTTTGGTAGGAACTGATTGAACGAATTAGACCTGTTTGATAGAATAATAGAACTTGTCGCCTTTGGAACAATTTTCTACAAATTGCTAAATGTGGATTATGTAATACAAATGACTTTGCCCTGTGTTTGGTTGTACTTTTCATATGATAAGCATTTAATACATATTTATTGAATTAAATATAGCAAGTGAAGCTTTTCAAGCAGAGCATATAAATGCGGACGATCCCTTTGAGTTACAGAATTGACACCTTGGGTGAGGCTTAGAAAATTGCTGCCTGGCTCTAGAGTTGTCAGATGTAGCTCAGAGCAGCAGTGAGGGCAGAGCTGACTCACAGGTGCTGCCCATGGAGCAGGGAGGCTTGGTCCATGTGACCCCCAGATTGTGAGAGATCTTCTGAAGCCAGCTATTGTATCCCAAAGTGTAGCAGCCCAGGTGGTTTAGACAGTATGTGGGCAGGGTCTTCAGTGGCATTGAGGCTTTAGTCAAAATAATTTTGTTTTTTAAAATTCTTTTTAAACTTTTCTTTTAATTCTTCTGGTTAGGTCAAGAGAAAGTTTCACTGAATGCTAGTACTTCTTTAACTTTTGTTAATCCCTTTTAGCCAAGAAGAGAAGGCACCACTAGAATCTTTGGACTCCAGTTAGGGAACTGGATCTGCATAAAATTTAATATTATTTGGTTCGGAGTATCAGGATTTGTATTGTTTTGTTCTGTTTATGGCATGTAATAGTGGTTTTCCAATTCTGGTTTGGATAAAAGTTGTCTTTTGCAGATGTACTTTAGTGTAAAAAATGAGTATTCTTTAAAGTGGCATGTCAAATAACCCATAATACAAGTGATGGTGTGGTAAAAGGAACAGGGTTGAAACTGAAGTGCCTCAAGTTTGTAAAGCAGTGGCCTGAACTAAACCCAATTGCCTTTCAGTGACTTTGGCTTCAAGATGAGTGAAGATTTGTCCCTAGAAGTGTGTGTTCCAGACCCAGAATTCTCCGGGAAGTCCTACTCCCCGCCTGTGCCTTGTCTTGTAGGCTCTACCTATCGGAGAACAAGAGGGTATGTATCACACAGGTTGCCAAGTGAGGTGCACACAGGATCTGCACAGAGGGTGAGAATCCAGGACCACCTAGGCTTCTTTCACTTTCTACATTGTAGAACTCTAATTTATCAGATTGTAAATAGCTGGGCAGGTTTAAAATGGTGGTGCCTGCAGACTCTCCTGTTCCTAGAGAGAAAACACTTGCAAGTCCGTAAGCTTTTCTGCAACATGAAAGTCATAAATGTCAGCAAGGACACATCTTGAGAGGAGATATGTCTAAATGTTTTGCCCAGAGCAGTACACTAAATGGCCTGGGCCTATTGAGTCAATTATGAGCAGAACTGACCTAGAATCTCCAAACACCTTCCTCCTCGTGCTGTAGGGAAATGTATGGGTGGAATCTGTTGTCCATGGTGGGAATTGTGTTCCCAGTTGGGGGTCCCTCCATGACTGATCTTTGGTGTTTCTGACTTCTTACTTTGTGTGTGCATGCCGGGGTTGACAGCTACCGGAAGATTTCTGGGGACACCTGCAGTGGAGGAGACGTTGAAGCACGACTGGAAGGAGAGCTGGTTCCTTGTCCCCTGGCAGGTGAGAGGTGATTTCTTCTCTATGTTCTTGAAATATCATTGAAGTCTTATCTGGATCTTACCTCAGTCAGGCTTGTGGCTCTTCTAACTTAGTGGAGGAAAAATTATAACCATCAGAGTTCCTTTTTCCTCTTAAGATTAGCATCTAAACTAATTTATATATAGTCTTGCATCTTTAAAGGAATGGAAAATATTTAGCATGGGCTCAGTTTTTTGAAGGATATCCCTCTGTTCATTGAAAAGTATATTTGGTGACTGTTGTGTGCTAGGCCCAGGGTGGGGGCCAAGGGTGCCCACAGGCTTTTGTGTTCTTCATCTGTTGTTGCCATTGAATTTAAAGATACCTATGGCTTCGTGGGAGGTAACTTAGTGGTTTGTCTTAATTTTGTAAATAATTATAGCTAATATATTAATGGAATTTTGCAGATTTTAATGTACTTTTCCATGCATAGGCAGTTTAATCCTTTTAACACCCAAATGAAGCACATATTATCAGCTTCACTTAATGTGTACATATCTATGAAAAAGCAAGCATGTCCAGAAGAGAGGATAAGAAAACTTACCCAAGGTCACATATCCAGTAAGTGACAGAGTTAAAATTCAAACTCTTGGGTCTATTCCTTTCATTGGACATCACCCAAATGGTACTCCTATTATTCAGAAGATCATTATTCCTACTAATTTTGGAAGACTTCTTTGGGATGATTACACATGCCATAAAGGTGTACTATATTCCAAAATGTGTTTCAGATTGATTTTCTGGGAATGTAACATGGATTATTTGTTACACAGACATGAAATTATAATACCTTAAAAAAGAGTTAACTTCATGGCCTCTCTTCTTTCTTCGCTCTGCTTATTCATTCAGATTTTCCTTCTTCCCCGTGAGCCCTTCTCTTGCTCACTCTGCTCGGTGAGGGCAGAGGATGAGCTGACTTCCATAGCGTGGTGGTGTCCAGCGGAACAGCCACAGGTGCCAAACGAGTCATGAAAGCCACGTGTAGGGCAGAGCAGCCTCTCCTGCTTCCTGTTCCCTGCTTGCCCTGGTGTTTTTCATGCTAAGCTCATTAGTCCTTTAATTTAATCTTCCATCACTACCAGAGTAATTAACATACCTCACCGTGGAGACGTAAAAAAGAACCACTGCTTCAGCAGATTCCTACAAATGAGCAGATAATATTCAGATATTCCCCTCACAAGTGCTGTTATTGATGAGGACTTGGTGAGGAGGCTTTGAGTGATGGCTCTAAAGGGCTTAGAGTACATACTTTTGTAATAAATATTTCCAAAGATAATTCAGCAAGGGACAAAACAGTTTGTATAAAGCCATCAAAACTGGCAGGAAAGCTATTTTCTCTTTTGATAGGAGAGGGTAGAATAAGGAATGAAGTAGAAAAGTCTCATTTCAGTATAAACCACCTCCTAAATGTCAAAGAAGCAGCAGAAGGCTAAAAAAGAAAGGAAATAGAAGCCAGGGAAGTACCCAGAAAGAAAAAGATGTTTTCATAAGGCTAATGGGAACCAGAACATTTTGCAAAGATGAGGTAGTCTGGGCATCTGGAAGGATTTTTATAATGCAGTAATTTTTCTTTTTTTTGATTACTCTTAACAACACACATTTCCAGGCTGTGCTTACATATGGTCGGCACTGGCTAAGCATTCTGTTCCTTTTCTAGATTAGGCATTATACACTGAGGCACTGCATGCTGCTCTCTGTCTAATCTTGAAGCAGGGTTTTCTGGACTTGGGCTCTTCTTTGTTTCTTGGAAGAAACAAAGCACCATGGGAACTACAGGGACAACTGAAAGGAGGCATTTGATTATCATTTGATAGCTTTTGAAGTAAAGTGAGCCCCAAAGAAAAGAAGGCATACTTACCTATTAGAAACTGTAGGTGGATTCACTTTTTGAGATATTTTTTCTCCTGTTGGAGTCCAGAGGGGTCTAATCCAGGCATGCAGCACTGGGAGTCACATCTTGGTCCCACGTGCACCACACTGTCAAATGGATGCTTACTTCTTTTTTTCCTTCATTTTTTAAGAACTTTTTACTGTTAGACTCTCTGGGGAGATGACTCAAGTTAACAAATATCCAAATATAGGGACAGACTCAAAAAATAGCAGTTCAACATCATCCTTAAGCCTGGCTTCTCCTAATCCTCCTTTGTCTAATCCCTCTCTGGTGCCATTGTGGCACTCCTCTGGGTTTTGCCTGTGAGGTTTGTTTTCTCCAACTTCTCTGGGTTGGGTGCTCACATTTATTCATTTATTACAAAGGATTTTACAAAGAATGCAGGTAAACAGCAATAAGGAAGATCGTGCTGGGTAAGGTGGTGGAGTGTGAAGCTTCTGTTCCCTTGCTGGGTGCACTGCCCTCCACGCACCTCCATGGGTTGGGCTGACTGAAGCTCCAACATAGAGACTGTCGACAAGGATGCTGAGGTTTTGCTCCTCTCCACTCCTGTGGAAGAGCCTGGATGTCTTCCACGCTGTTTCCTAGGTGGAAAAGAAAGAGTRCTAGGTTTTCCTGTTACTGATTATCTGACTTAGGTACATCTCTTCGGCCGCATGGGCCTCTATTTCTGTGTCTTAAAAAGTGGCAATCTGAGGATGTAGCTCAGTGGTAGAACTTGGTCTTAGCACCTGCAAGGTCCTGGCTTTGATCCTTAGTGTGTGAGTGTGCACATGTATACACACACACAAAATAAGAGCAGCAGCAGGAGGAGCTGGGGTCCCACTGTTCTCTTTATGTAGATCATTAGTATCTACATAAAAAGAGGCATCATAGTTGTCATGTTTTAAAATATAGACTATGAATACCTGGGTTCAGATCTTGGTTCTGCCACTTACTAGTTGTATGGTGTTAGACAAGTAACTTAGCCTCTCTGGTCGCAGTTTTCTCATTTGTAAAACTGGGTTCATGATAGCTCTTCTATCACGCAGTTGTTGGGAGGATTAAGCAGTGCCTAGCATGTGGCAAGTACATTGTATGTTTCTTGAGCAGAAAGAAAGTCTTTGTGATGATTATATTGCAAAATATCTTATAAATAGTCCAGAACAATTGTATTATTATTTTGAAAATCTGACAAATTGGTATGATTGCCACATGTCATTGTGAGCAATATGAATGAACAAACTGGTTAGAAAACTTAGTGGATGTGAGGTAGCCTCTAAAATCTCATGTGAGACAATGCAAGGTGGTCAGAGGCGAAATGGTTAGATTTGAGAGCTGTAACCTACTCAGTGGATTAATCTGTTTGATGGATTCATAATCTGAAAATCATAATGGGTGGTAACTGTAAGCAGGTAGTGTGTGGCTGGAGGAGAGTCTCCCTGGGAGGGTGCCTTTGGGGTTTTATATTTTGCCTCTGGCACTTGCTTTTGTGTTTCCCACTGCCGTGTGCTGACAGCTTTTCTCCACCATGCCCTTCTGCCATGATGTTTTGCCTCAGCTTGGGCCCAGAACAATGGAACCACTCAACCATGGACTGAACCTCTGAAACCATGAACTCAAAATAAACTTTCCCTTCCCTAAGTTGTTCTTGCAGGTATTTTGGTCATAGAGATGAAAAGCTGACACAGTTAGTTCCAAGTCTTCAATGACTAATGGTGTCTGGTTAATGAGATTATGATGTTGTTATTCAGGTTTCCTTCAATAACCAGCTGGGAAAGGTTTATTTTAGCTCACAGTTTTAGAGGTGTCAGTCCATGAATGGTGGCCAGGAACCAAAAGAGCAGCAGCAGGAGGAGCTGGGGTCCCACTGTTCTCTTATAAAGGTCACACTCCCAGTGACCTAAAACCTGTGAGGCCCCACTTCTTAAAGGTTCCATAACTTTCCAATAGCATCAAGCTGAAGACCAAGTCCTTAACTCATGGGTCTTTGGGTACACTCCAGATCCAAGTTATTGTGTGGTGCTATGGGACAGTCAGAAGAAGAGAGAGAACATGGTGATTGGTCTCATTGATATTGGCAAGTGTGACTCTGAAGACTTAGAGGTGGAATGCAAAGTGTGGATATTGAAGCAAGTATACTGGGGTATCTAGATTTAAAAAAACATCTAACGGGTAAAACATTTGCAGATGAAGAAACAGATTCACTGGCATTCAAATAACCTGCTCAAGGCAGAAATATCATCCATGATATGCCTTCCAGGTTTGGATTCCTAGTTTTTTTCAGTTTATCTAGACCATGTAACAGTAGAGTTGAAGTTTGTGTATTTAAAAAAAAAAAAAAAGGTCAGATCATCTAGGAGCTCTTCAGCATCCCCCAGGTCCACTCTCCGTTGCTTGTGTATCTGGCAGAGGAGAACGAATTCATCCTGTACGCCATGCGGAAGTCCATCCACCGCTATGACCTCGCCTCTGGAGCCACAGAGCAGTTGCCTCTTAGTGGGCTTCGGGCAGCTGTGGCCCTGGATTTTGACTATGAACGAAACTGCTTATATTGGTCTGATCTGGCGTTGGATATCATCCAGGTGAGTCAGCCATTGGTCTGCTTCTGGGGGTTGCAAAGCTGGGGATCAGATTTCATCCTCATACATGCTAGGCAAGCTGTCTATTACTGCATTTTAAAGGAGAGAGAGTTTATCTTTATTCATTGTCTATGTAATCATTTTAGAAACACAATTCCAACAACTTTTACCTATATTCTTAACCCAACAGAAATTATACAGTGTCTGGGTATCTTGGGGGTAAGGAAGGGGGTGACCGTGAGTAGCTGTCCCAAGGATAGCACCTGATGGCTAAGAGCCTCACAAGGGAAGAGCAGCTGTGAAGGCAGATACAGGAACTCAGAAATAGCAGCAATTTGGTTTCATTAGTTTTAAAAGCAGACACATGCATCTGAGTAATCTCTGACCTCATTAATGTGATATAGCACATAGTTTAGTAACCAGTGTTCATGACGCTAATCTAGAGTAATATAAAGGATTAAATTCTGTTCATTGTTTTGTTTAAAACAGGAAACCGTAATACATTTTGGAAATGCCCTTATTAAAACTCAGCTTCATGTGCCTGGAAAATTTAACAGTGTAAAACATCTCATCCCTTGGCAATCCAGCCAGCTGAATAAAGGGTTACTGTCCACGAGACTGATTTGGCAGAAGATCATCTGAGCATTTCACAGCACTTACTGCTGTTTTTCTCTCTCTAGCGCCTCTGTTTGAATGGGAGTACAGGGCAAGAAGTGATCATCGATTCTGGCTTGGAGACAGTGGAAGCTTTGGCCTTTGAACCTCTCAGCCAGTTACTTTACTGGGTGGATGCTGGCTTCAAGAAGATTGAGGTATGTGTATCCCCATGATTTTCTTGATTAAATGATCAGGGGAGCACCTGGGCTTTGATCTAGATTTGACACGGGGGTGGGTGGGAGCCAGTGTGTTAAGTTACTCTGGCAATTTTCTAAGAATTTCCAAAGAATGGAAAGGCTAAGCCCTTAGGAGAAGGGGAAAGGAGTGGGAGGGTTGGTCCCAGAATGATTACTCACTGCCATAAAAGTCCCAGGTGAGAACATGGTGTCTGATGTCATCAGAGATAACGTCATTAAGATAACTGAAAGTTTATACTTTGGCTAACAGAAGCATAATATATTAACAATAATGATAATGTTGCCATATTGGTAACAGTCCAGTAATAAAGCTAGAGTAATAATGACAGTGTCATCATCATCATTATTATCTGTAATAATAATACAGATATTATTGTCTRTAATTTAGCTACCCCCAAAACATATTCAACCTTACATGTGCAAGGCAACATGAGGGTAATAAATGACTTATACACCACCAAAAACATTGGGTTGAGGAATATAGGTCTGCCCAATTCCTGAAGTTAGTGCTGAGGCCAGGGACACTGCCTCAGCAGCTCTTTGTACTGGTGCTACATGGAAGTATAGCATGCAGGTCTTCAAAGTGGGAAGTATAGTAAAAGCAGGGAGGTGCAGAGGCAAGTGAGGTTGCCAGACCAAAGAAACACTTGAGAGGAGCTTCGAGTTCAAGCTTTACCCTACCAGCTAAGTGATATGGTGCAAGGAACTCGGCTTCTTTAGCTTCCGTCTCTTCATGTGTCAAATGAAGATTGATTTATTCACTCAGCCATTTGACAAGTGCTTTGGTGCATGATATGTGATAGCTCTGATCTTAGGCTCTAATGGTGCCACACTGGGCAAGAAGACCTTGTGCAAGTTCCTGTTCCGATAGACCTTAAGTTTCAATAAGGACAAAATGATAAAGAAATAAAGAAACCAGTTCTGTTGTGATGAGTCCTGCAAAGAACTTAAGTGCAGGTGGTGTGATTACATGGCTGGGGAGTGGAGCATTAGGAAAGGCAGACAGGGGAGGCCTCCTGAGGCTGTGGCATCTGAGCTCAGCCTGCTGGTTGCAGTGTGCCCCTCATTGGGATGCTGACAGAAGTGAACAAGATGCAGAGTGCCTGGTATCTACCAAGTGCTGCCTTAGTGGTTTCGTTATTGCTATTTCTGTCCTTTATTTACTTATGTGTTGCCAGAACTTTGTGAGGTGCTAGAAAAATGCATCTGCCCTTTCATAGGCTTGTTGAGTGACTCCTGTTTAACTCAAATACTGTTTTTGCAAAGTGGTATAGGATGAGTCCACGAGCTCTTGGATGAAGTGGGTTAGAAGAGTTAGGAAGGGAGGTCAACCCAGAGCTGTTTTGAAGGAAAGTTACTGTGTGTTTAGAGCAAGTAGTCGGGAGGGAAAGCCTGTGATGAGTATGGCGGGAGCAGAGTAGTGAGTATATATCAGGCTCAAGGATCCTGGGTCTGCGCAGCTAGAGTGCAAGAGGGAGAACGTGGGGCTTGTTCTTGGACTTTTTGTTGCAAGGCTGTTACGTAGAGAATGGGCTGTATCGGGCCATTGGTGGAGGGTGGAGTAACATGAATGTGTTAAATAAATAACACAAGATTAAGACAAGTCCTCCATATCTGTGGGTTTCACATCAGTGGATTAAAAATATTCAAAAACCAAAACGAAACTGTACTGAGCATGTACAGACCTTTTTTCTTGTCACGATTCTCTAAACAACACTATAACAACTATTTACACAGGATTTACATTATATTAGGTATTATAAGTAGTCTGGAGAGGATTTATAGTATATAGGAGAATGTGTGTAGGTTACAGGCAAATGCTTTACAATATTATATAAGAGACTTGTGCATCCTTGGATTTTGAACCAGCACTGTGGATACCAAAGGGTAAAGCAAGGGTGACCACTTAACTCTGCAGATCATTGTATGGTAGGAAGTGCACACATAGTTCCGACTACTCTCAGACTATGTGAAAATTGGCACATGAGCCTGAGGAGGGATCAGTTCATTCTGACTGGAAATGAAGGCAGGTTTCCAGATGGTCTGGAAGGGGAATCATGCAGATGTGTGGGGGATGGGCTGGGGGAGGTGCCTCTGTAGGCAGGGGCTGATAGAGGACTTTGGCAATGTGGGTCTTTTTTTTTTTTAATATTTTGTTTTAGTTGTAGTTGGACACAATACCTTTATTTTATTTTTATGTGGTGCTGAGGTTCGCACTCAGTGCCCTGCACACGCTAGACCAGCACTCTACCGCTGAGCCACAACCCCCCCACCCCCACAATGTGGGTCTTTTAAGGAGCTCAGATCCATTCTGGCCTTTTCTTTTCCTCCTCTTTTCGTCAGGTAGCTAATTCAGATGGTGACTTCCGACTTACAATCGTCAATTCCTCTGTGTTGGATCGGCCTAGGGCTCTGGTCCTAGTGCCTCAAGAGGGGTAAGTGTGTCCCCAAAAGAAAGTCAGCGTTGTGTCCAATGCTGCAACAGTAGGTTCTCATAGAAATGTAAACTTCTGGGCAAAACTCTGCTTCTCATGAATATGGTAGAAATAACCTATTAACTGAGAATTTTGAAACCACACCTTAGCCATCAAGGCCAGGTAACTCCATTCGCTTTTCATTAGCAAGTACCAGACTCTGGAGACATCCAAATGTCTCACATCTGTGAGGTGTTTTTTCAGTAAAGGTAATGGTGAAAGGGACTCTCCAGATACGGCAGGCCCTCTCATGTACTATAAGGATTGTTTTATCTTTAGTTTCATGCATGACACAAATATTTAATTCAATCCATCTTTTCTCTGCCTCCCCTCATACCCAGCACGTATAGGTTTTCTTACTCAAAATTAGTATGTACTCGGGCTGGGACTGTAGCTTAGTAGCAGAGCACTTGCCTAGCATGTATGAGGCACTGGGTGCAATCCTCAGCACCACAGAAAGATAAATAAATAAATGCATACAATAAAATAATTATTTAAAAAAAGTAGTATTGTGTTTAGGGAATGCAAAGTGTTTTTTTTTTTTCTTTTTTTAATTAACTGAAGGGAGCACAACTAACAGGAAAATTCTGGATTAATTTTCCCTGCCTTTCATGTCTGCTAGTATTTATGATCAAAATTAGTACTTTTTTTTTAAAAAAAGAAAGGATCTTAAAATAATCTATGTACTTGGTTATAATATTAAAAGAGAACAAAAGTGTATGAAACAAAAGTATTTGGTATTTGTTTTCCTCCTCCTCCTCTTCTTTTTTTTTTTTTTCTTTTCTTGCATTTTGGGGATTGACCCCACTCGCTCCCTACCACTGAGCTACAGCTACATCTCCAATCATTTTTAAAAGTCTCACTAAATTTTCCAGAGTTGGCCTTGAACTTACAGTTCTTTTGCCTCAGCCTTCTATGCCTCAGCTGGGATTATAGATGTGCAACACCATGCCCAGTTTCTCTGTTCTTCTTAACCCTTTACCCTCATACATCCTAGGGGTGGTGATTTTTAGTAGTTTCTTATGTATTGTTTAGAATCATTTTTACCCATGTACAAACTTTATCCTTAAGTCACAGGTTCTCCCCTACATTCATGCACCAGATTGAATCAGTGTGTTTACAACTTTGTAACTTTTAAAAAGTATCTGTTTTGAAGATAGTTTCATTTGAACACATACAGATTTCCAGGTTTCATAGTGTTTTGTGGTATGTACTATTATATATCAGTTCCTATACCAATTAACATTTAGATTAATATACATATCTGTACATTTCTTTGTACATTATTTTTGCCTAATTTGACTATAGGTGAATTTTAGTAGAGGAATTTCTGAGTCAAGGAATTAAGTGGTTTCAAATATTAGGATTACTGATAACTAAAATAATGGTTGTTCTAGAGGGATCTCTTTCCTATATGGAGAGGAGTATTTGAGCTCCTCTTTCTCCCATTTTGACGAGGTATGTGGTTTATCCCCATTTTGACCAGGGTCATGTTCTGGACCGACTGGGGGGACCTGAAGCCTGGGATTTATCGGAGCAACATGGATGGCTCTGCTGCTCATCGTCTTGTTTCAGAGGATGTCAAGTGGCCCAACGGCATCTCTGTGGATGACCAGTGGATCTACTGGACAGATGCCTACCTGGACTGCATTGAACGGATCACTTTTAGTGGCCAGCAACGCTCGGTCATTCTGGACAACCTCCCACACCCCTATGCCATTGCTGTCTTCAAGGTGAGTCCTTATTTGTCCCACCATCAGGCAGTCTTACAGAGTAGGTAAAGAGCATACTAAGGTCCAAAGCCGGGGACTTTTGGGGTCTCACAGAGATGCTGTCTGACTTAGGAAATCTGCTCTTTTCTAAATTTGAGATAATTCACTTCAGCTCATACCAGATATAGGTGCCAGAGTCCTGGCCACTACCACTACTCACAATTCAAAAGGTTAAGAGTTAAGGTTATTTCTTAAGACTGTTCTGAGCTTGCCTCTAGTGCCAAGAGCCTCTGTTTCTTTGTATCTTGTGAGGTTTGCTCACTTTATTCCCTACTGAGAGAGATAAGTTACATGCCACATATATGTTTTAATTCAGAGAACAGAACAGTTCTCTCGATCCTTGGGAAGCAGGTTTTGAACTGAGCAGCTTGGTCAAACTTGAATGCTTCTCTAATAGTTTCTTTTGTGTAGTAGCTCCTTAATGTGGATTTGGTGATGTTTGGATCAAACCACTGATGCTTACATTCAAGTGGAATTTTGATCAGATCAGTCATTCAGACAATAACTGTTAGTTGTCTCTTGGGTAGGGGGCTCCTATCCTTTTAGAGGCTTCAGAATAAAGACCAAAGAGCTAGTGTGGTGGCACTTGCCTATAATCCCAGTGGCTCGGGAGGCTGAGGCAGGAGGATCGCCAGTTCAAAGCCACTCTCAGCAAAAATCAAGGTGCTAAGCAACTCAGTGAGACCCTGTCTCTAAATAAAATACAAAATACGGCTGGGGATGTGGCTCAGTGGTAGAGTGCCCCTGAGTTCAATTCCCACTATTAAAAGGTGGACTAACAGACAAAGGTTTTTATTCTAGAATGAAATCTACTGGGATGACTGGTCACAGCTCAGCATATTCCGAGCTTCCAAATACAGCGGGTCCCAAATGGAGATCCTGGCAAGCCAGCTCACAGGGCTAATGGACATGAAGATTTTCTACAAGGGGAAGAACACTGGTAAGACMGAGTCTCTTCTTAAGTCTCCCCAGAGCTGATCTCGGGAAAGGGGCTGCATGTGGGCAATCTCCACTCAGAGCAGGATCTGGCAGCCTGCGTCTTTGCTGTCACGACAACATGTGCATTATTTAATTTCTTCCTAATGACATCTTAATTTCTTTTCTAATGACACACAAACAGCTGGAAGACAGCATGTTTTTGCCTGCCTAGAGTGTTGGTGCGTGGTGGGTAATTACACCCTCCTCCTGCCCTTGGCCCCTCACTGATTGGTGGTGTGGCTTCTGTTGCAGCTGGGAGAGCCCAGCGTGTGCTTAATCCCCATTTGGCACACTTACAGGGAGCAGCGCTGGCTGGGTGCTCAGACAGTTGCGTGCCCATTGAGCATTCCCACCTCTGTTGTGATGCTGTGTTTAGTTGTTTGTGGCTTCTATTTGTGCACCCACCCTGAACTTTTAAACCCCATGAAGGAAAAGATGTGTCTGCTTTCTTTTTCTCCTATGGCAGCAGTGACTAGCACTTAGTAGGTGCTCAATTCATATTTGTTGAAAGAAGGGATGAACAGGACGGGGAGAGCTGCCATGGGTATAGGTAGTTGCTGTCTTTGTGGGCTGTTGGTTGAGGTTTTAAGAGCTGCTATATAAAGCTTTGACATGCGGCTACTGGAGGCCGAGACTCCTAGTAGAAAGGATCTTCCTTCCCCTTCTACCCTTTACCCTTGCTTACCCTCAGCTGTACTGATGATGCTAGGGGAGAAGAATTCGAGCATTCCTGAGAAGAACAGTCCCTTTAAGCATTCTCTCTTATCTCCATTGGATTAAGTAACATCTTGACTTTCCTTTGTTGACAATCTTCTAGGTTTTCTGTTTTGAACTAGAATGTTGGTAGTGTTTTGTGGGTCTTGGCTTATCCTGTGCTAATGGAAAATTGACAAGAAAAATAATACCGTTATAGATGTCATTGTTATTCCTCTGGGACCAAGGAAGCTGGCATGGGAACACCCTTTGGAAACTATAAAGTGTCCTCCTGATGTAAGTCTGTCTCAGAGTTGCCTGCTTAGAGTATTGGTGCTTGGTGGGTAATTACGCAGTATCTTCACAGCTGACCTGTGAGGTGTGGAGGGCTGGTATTATGATCCTAGTCTGTAGGTGAAGGAGTGAAATCTTAGCTATTAATCAGCTTTCTCAAAGCATTCTCACTAGTGTAGGAGCTACGAAATGGAGAAGTCACATTGTTCCTTAAGAGGAGACACCTGTTTTAAAGTAGGAGGAGATGAAGGAATCTTGCTTCTCAGCTGCCATGACTGAAATCTCTAGGCCGCTGTCTGAGGGAGAAGGAGAGCCTCACAGGCTCAGAGAGTGGGTTGTTCTCATTTCTCTAAGTTGTCACCTAGTCCAGAAGAGTGGGGCTCCATTTCAACCAGTGCTTGTAAGCGCGTTGGACGCGACGCAGCAGTTTCTGCAGCACCATGTTCAGGTGAAGCTGGTGGTCCCTGGGGTGCTTTCCCTACTGATCTCTTGCAGGAAGGGACCTGATTGGCTAGGTTTGGAGTTTGTCCCTTGTCTTGCAGTCAAGAGAGGTCTTGACTGCCACTTCATCCCAGCAACTCAATCCCAGCTGACATGTGTCACCCAACCCCCTGGAGTGGCAGGAGAGGGAGTATATGCTCTGAGCAGGTGCAGATGTGCCTGGTGCTGGACAGACAGGTCTGTGATTCTCAGCTTAGGTGTGATTGATCCCCAAGAGTCACTTTCATTTACACTCCCCACAGTAATTCTGGGGGTTGGGACAGCATCATGGAGGAAAGACTGGTTCAAAAGGGAGATATGTGTGCTAGTGGGTGGAACACTGTTCCTTAGGCCTAGTGCCACTGACTGCATCTCTACTCCAGTCTCCACTTCTCTTGCAGTTCTCTCTTATCTTCCTTTTGTTGTGAGCAGGATGTTTTCAGGAGACCTCCTACCTGCAGACAGGGCCAGAGAAGCAAGTGTCTAACTGCCGCAGTCTGGCTGGGCACAAAATCACAAGCCACTCAAGCAGGAACAAACTTTATTTCCAAAACTCCCGTGAACGCCACGCATGAGGCCTTCTCCTGGGACACACCACACCAACCCCAAATCCCTCCTCCGGAAATCCCTCCTACCGCACTTCCCCAACCAATGGGAATTCTCAGGGAGTCCCCTTGAGAGCCCCAAAGTAGCAGGCAAGGCGGACATCAGGGGTCTAATATCCAATTGAATGCACATCTTAACATAATCATTATCATCTCAATGGCTTGCTGGCGTCACCTTCAACCAAAAATGCCATGCATCATTCCTACTAGGCTATGGCTCTCAGCATCTAACCTCTGAAATGGGCCAGTCTGAGTGAAATTGGAGCTTCTGCACCCGCACCTGGCTCAGTGCTGCCAGTGTGCACCGCATGCCTCTCAGCTTTGTGCTTGTTTGCTCTAACCTGCCTCCTTGTTCGAACACCCAGAGGGTTCCACATGTTCATGATGCATACTGGCCACTCAGGTGCCAGTCCTTCTGTATTCTTTTTGTTATTTGYTCCTAATATACACAGAATTTTCTATTAGCTAAATATAAAATAATGGTAAATACCTTTATTTAGGTATTTATTAAGGGTTATATCATATATACCTGCTAGTATTTTTTGTGGACTTCCTTTAGTCTTCTCCAAATCCATTTGTGCTGTGAATATTCCCATTTTATAGATGAGACATAAAAGTCAGGTTTAGTAACTTGTCCAGGTCACACACATAGTAAGTGGTAAGAGTTGAGTTGTGACCTAGTTGACTTCAAAACTTGAACTTCAGTAAAACCATCAGGCTTTGCCCCCTCTGCCATCTGTTGCTGAAATAGCAGTGTACTGGTAATGTGACAGTAAGTTAGAATACTACATTTTGCTTGGTTCTGGTTTATGATAAAATATCTGTTTACATAGAACACTTATTAATTTGAGGTATTTGATTATAAGTAAATAATACATTTCTTGTCTTGATTCATGGCTGATTTTTAAGTWATGTCAGTGGAATTTATTCTTTATAAAGTATTTCTTCCCTTTAAAGAGGTTACTTTGTAAGATTTTTGATGTATTCCATTGATGCTACAATGTCTTAAAAGTATTTTGGAGATCTTGAAATCCTTCTGATCCTGCAAGCTTTTAAACATTTATAAATGAGGGTGAATATTCATTATTTGGTGTAGATTTGTTTTGGTAACTGCCAAGAGTTTCAATACTTAAGTGAGATAATAGCATTTTTGGCTCCAAAACTGATTCTGGAGGAATTTTCCACAGAGGAAATTTGAAAATGTTCTGAATACGCCCATGAAGACATCTGGAGCTAAGTGTGGTATCCTAAGGGGACATCTTTGAAGATGGTCACCTGTCCTTTCTTCCCATCAGGACAGGGGTTTTCATAATGTATACCTTGCTTACATGGGGCAGTTGGCATCCTATAGAAGGGTCTCTGGCCGCAGTGGGACTCTGCTGAATTCTTCCATTGTTTTCCGTGTTCTCTGTAATGTCGTACCGTTTCCTGTTCTGTGGTTCATAACAGCTGGGGTGCCCCTTCCCTGCTGATCTCTTGCAGGCAGGGACCTGGTGAGCTTGGTTTGGAGTTTGCCCCTGGATACTGCCTCTCAGCCTGGGGTGTCGCACATCTTGGCCTGGATTAGCCTCCTGAAATAGGACACCCCATTTTGGGTTCTGTGCGTTTAGCTCTTCCTTGTTTGGGTAGGAACATTTTCTCTGCATGTGAAAATGTTAGTCACATTATTTTAGACACAGTCCACATGAAAATATCATCCTGTAATTGAGTATGTTTAAATAACATATTTTGTTATTGTTCATTTTCTTGGAACATTGAGTGGTATGTTGTCCTCAGAATACAAAGAACATGTCCTACATCCTTTCCCAGTTGTTTTTCATTAGTGGTGGCTCAATTCAATTTTGTGTCCCCCTTTTCTAAAGAGCAATCTGTGCTCACCAACTATCAGGATGAGCTGATGTCTGGTCACCTGGATGTTCTACTATGGTTWCTGTGCTGCTGTGGTTGATGGTTGAGTGAGTTATTTGCTGAAGCTTTTTTGAAAGTGTCATCACATGAATTTCTCTACCTGGGTGTGCTTACTTTATCTATTTGGCAATGTCTTTTACTCTCTCTTTCTTAGAATCAAAGTGACATTGCTGCTAAATCTGTGATTTTTATTTCTATTTGTAATATCACTTAAAACTGATGAGGTGCCAACACATCCAAAGCTATCGAGTGTACTGTCACCCATATCATTACTCATTGTCATTAACCAGCACTCTTTGGGCAGGGTTTAGTTGTAGTCTTGGATGGAAGCAGATTACTTGGCTGCCTGTCTGATGGTGGAGGTGGGGTTGGAGTGTCTGACTAGACCTCACAACTGAACAGTCAGCAGTTGAATTTTTTCAAAGTTTTTATGTTGATTTTCTTGTTTTCATGATTAACATGCAAAGCCAAAAGAAAACAACATATATTTCAAAAGTATTTGGCTTTTGTGTTATCCCATAGTTGTATCATGTTTCCAGTTGTTACAAAATAGGTTATACATTCTCCCTCTTTACCCTCTGAAAAGGTGTTGGGGATAGAAAACACCTTTGCCAGTTTTGTTCATTCACATAGGCTCTCTTAAGTGCAGTGATGGATTTTTTGAACTGTTACTTTATTTGCTAAGTTGAACCAGAGAAAAAATTGAACATATTAGCATAGATCAACTTTAGTCCTTTTATGGATTCATTTTTCGCTTGATGGTAGCTTAATGAGTACTTTGGTTGGTTCCTCATTTAGTTCTTTAGCTGTGCTTTGACACAAAGCAGTTGAGAAGGGTGATCTGGAATTTTGTCCAGGCCCCAGCTTTACCCACATGCATGTTCTGAATGAAGGGCCTTTGGGTCCAAAGGAACCCACTCAAGATAACTCAAATGGAAAATGTTATTGGCAGAATCAAGGGAGGCAATAAGGAACCCAGAGATGGGAGATCTAGATGAGCCTTAAAGGTACTGCAGCTAGGAATGGCAAAGTCATTCTCTTTTTCTAAGGCCCTGGTGGTGTCCCCTTTTCTCCCCATGAGTCTCCTATCTGCAGACCCAGAGTACCTCTCCATGGCTGTGACTTGAGAAAGTTTTGACACTTACTCTGGTATCCCTTCTCCCAGTTCTAGCTCCCTGGTGGCTTAGCTTTCAGAAACCCAATTCCATTTTCCCAGGAGGAACATCTGCTCCATGGTTTGGGCAGTCCAATGGAGCTGAGGTGAAGAGGCAAGTCTGGAGAAACTGGCTGTATGGTTCAGGTCCTTGCCCAGGTTCTGGCAGAGCTTGTCATTATAGGAGGTGCCTCCACATGTGCTGCGGAGCCTCTGTGAGCTTCTCTGGTCCTGTCTATAGGGTGAGGAGGCAGCAGGTCTCTTCCTGTTCAGTGGCTCCCTTCTGCTTTGTATTATTATTATTATTTTTTTTTTATTGTTGGTCGTTCAAAACATTACATAGTTCCTCATACATCATATTTCACAGTTTGATTCAAATGAGTTATGAACTCCCAATTTTATCCCGTATACAGATTGCTGTATCACATCAGTTACCCTTCCATTGATTGACATATTGCCTTTCTAGTGTCTGATGTATTCTGCTGTCTGTATTATTCTCTACTATCCCCCCTCCCCTCCCCTCCCCTCCCCTTTTCTCTCTCTACCCCTTCTACTGTAAATCACTTCTTCCATTTGAATTATCTTGTCTTACCCCTCCTTTCCTCTTATATGTCATTTTGTATAACCCTGAGGATCGCCTTCCATTTCCATGCGATTCCCCTTCTCGTTTCCTTTCCCTCCCACCTCTCAACCCTGTTAATGAAAATCTTCGTCTCAAGCTCTTCGTCCCTACCCTGTCCTTGTTTCCTCCCCTTATATCAGAGGAGTCATTTGGTATTTGTTTTTTAAAGATTGACTAGCTTCACTTATCTGCTTCGTATTATTAACCCAGTATGTTGCTGTGTGTCTTCTCTCCAGGAAGCAATGCCTGCATGTCCAGGCCCTGCAGCCTGCTGTGCCTGCCCAAGGCTAACAACAGCAGAAGCTGCAGGTGTCCAGAGGGAGTGTCCAGCAGTGTCCTCCCTTCTGGGGACCTGATGTGTGACTGCCCTCGGGGCTATCAGCTAAGGAACAACACCTGTGTCAAAGAAGGTGAGTCCCTTCTGCCCTCAGTCTCCTTCACTTCTCATCTCCYGGCCAAGGCTCCATATTCCCTATCCATTTGGGGACACTGGAAGAGTCCTAGGCAAAAACAAAATCCACTAGATTCTTAGAGGCATCCTGGTTTGGGTGCTAAGGCCTGTGGCAGGTCATTGCTCATTCAGAACAAACCCAAGCTATTTATGTGAAAATAATGGTTCTGCATTTTGTTTTCATGCCTAATGACACTGGCTTTCTGCAAGGGCTGACCTTCTTTTCTACTAAGTCTTCCTGTCCTTACCCACCCTCATATCTAACTTCTCCTGCTGTAGCTTTACTTTTTTTTTTTTTTTTTTTTTGCAGATTGGACCAAGGGCCTTGTGTGTGTTAGATAAGCACTTATTATACTGAGTTAAATACCCAAACCTTTTAATTTTTTATTTGGAGATAGGATTTTACTAAGTCCCTTACCTGGCTTCGAACTTGTGATCTTCCTGCCTCAGCCTCCTGAGTAGCTAGAAGTAGCTGAGATTACAGATAGGTGCCACCACACCTGGATTCCCACTTTTTATAAGTTGGGCCAACCTGCCTTGGAAACATGACTAGCTTGATCCCTTTAGAACTGACCACTCTAGCCTAGCAGTCACTTGTCCACCACCCCAGCCCGAAATGGTCTGAACTGTCAAACCAATCTGCAAAGATCTGGAAGTTTTGACTTCCAAGCTGTGACTAAATGGCTGTGACAATCCCAACCTGCTTTGAATATGGACACATGCATTAAAATATTTTCCTTTTAAGAACCTGTTTAAATTTTTCCCAGTTTTCTCCCTTATCACTTCCCCAGTCCCCCAATCTCATATTTCTGTCAGTGAGAACCCCTAGAAGGGGGCCTTGCCATGACATGCTTGGACTGATGGTCAGAATTCCTGCACTTCCTCATGCCCCAGGTTATATTTGCTTTGTAACCCTAACCTCACTCCTCACAGCAGCCTTTGAGACCAGGGCAGTGAAGTACACAATGGAGACCTTATAGTATGTCTTCCTTCCTTAAGAAATAATAAGTGGAAGAAGATGAACCTCCCTGCCTTAGAATAGGAGACTTTCAGGCTCTGGGGATGTCATCTTAAAGCTATTTGGAAAGAATTAAAGTCAACAACTAAATTGTAAGAGAAGGGCAGAAAGTCTTCTCCATGTTCCTGATTAGAATACTTGTAATTATCCAAACAAAGAGGACAGTCATCATGGGTCTTTGACCTAGTTGACTAAACAGTATATATATTTATAAATTTTTTTCCCTGTGTAAGTACTTGCTTTAAAGAAGTCATGAAGCAGAAAATACTTTTTAAATAAAATTTTAGTAGCCCACTCAATTATTAAAGCCTCTCTATATAGATATATAATTATATAAAACTGTGTGGTCATCCATTAGTACACCAGGGAATCTGTTCCTGGATTTCAGTGGATGCCAATTTCATGGATTCTCAAGTCCCTTCTACAAATTGGTGCAGTATTTGCACAGAACTTACACATATCCTCCTGTATACTTTAAATCATTGCCAGATTACTTACAGTATCTAATACAATACAAATGCTATTCAAGTATGTGTAATATTGTATTATTTGGGGAGTAATGATAAGAAAAGAAGTTTGTACATGTTCAATACAGACAGTCTTTTTCCCTGAAAATATTTTCAATCCATGGTTTGTTGAATTTGAGGATATTAACTTCATGGATACAGAGAACTGACTGTATAGATAATATGTCTATCAATGCATTGAAYATGTGTGTTTTAATGCTTCATAGACACAGTCCAGGGTCACTTGTATAATGAGTAGTATGTAATGCTGATGTACTGTATTTGCTACCTAGTAGGCCCAACTGATGTCATCATTAACCTTTTTTATCATTGTAGCTACCTGTAAATATTCTTCTGAACCTGCCATTTCTTCAATTTTAATTTAAAGAGGAAAGAAGGAGGCTATTTGGGGATGCTTCTTCCCTTGTGTGCATATGAACTTGGCAATTCTTCTCTCTTTTGCCATCTAAGGCATAATGTAATTTGAGGAAAAGAAATGGAAATTCAATATAGAAAGTCCTGTGGTCCCGCAGTAAGAATAACATATGAAAAGTCCTGTGGTCCCACAGTAAGAATGACATATAGAAAGTCCTGTGGTCCAGCAGTAAGAATAATATTGGTTTCATTTCCTCCCCCACCCATCTCTGATCTTTAGAGAACACATGTCTTCGCAACCAGTATCGCTGCAGCAACGGGAACTGTATCAACAGCATCTGGTGGTGTGACTTTGACAATGACTGTGGAGACATGAGCGATGAGAGAAACTGCCGTGAGTTTTCTGGCATGGTGGAGTTGCCAGGATGTTTAAGCATTGCCTTTACTCAGAAGGCCGGTCAGCTCCTGTGGGCAGGGCCCTGGAGTCTAGCTGAGAGGGCTGACCACCTGCTATTTCTCATGCCCATGTATGCTGACAGGGCTTGGAAAACAAAAAGCACATTTCCATATGTATATGTATGTTAGGTATATAGCATTATCAGACATGCATACTTGTTTATATATACATATATATATATCACATAAGTTGGCTACTCATTACAAAAGACTTTTAAAAAAGCATCCATGGCTGAATTACACTGATTTGACAGACTGGGTTTTAATCTTGGCTTTTACACTGTAATAAAGCTGGTAGGTTGGGTAGAGGATCAGGTCTTTGATTTATAAATTCAATATTCTGCCTTTTCAAAGATGGGCAACAGGTGTCACCTTGTATGATGACACCAGTTGGGTCTGTTAGGTAGTGTCATCTGTTGGTCATATATTCAGTCAACAGGTATTGATTGAGTACCCTCTGTGCTGGSCTTGGGTTTGTATGAGTGATCAAGGTGGAATCTGTTTACAGTTTGAAGAGCATGTCAGAAAAGTTAACAGCCTTGGACAGTAGGGTGATGAGTGCCACAATGGGAAAGCTCCATATGTGGGAAGGGCATCCAAATCCAACTCGAGTAGATGGTAATGAAGAGCTCTAGAGTGTGGAGGAAAGGATTGTGGGCAAGGGAGCAGACGGGGTGTCAGTACTTGTGTGGGTTGTTGAGAACATAGGTGCATTGGGGAGAAGGGAAGTTGAATGGGCAGGCAGAGCCCAGCAGGAACCTTGTGAACTTTATTAGAAGAGCAATTGGAAAACACTGAAGTGATATGAGAAGCTTTTGCCTTTGGAAAGATAGGCAGCAGGCAGAATGAATTAGATGGGAGAAAGACCAGAAGCAGGGAGGCCAGAAACCAAGTCAGAAGGCCTGTTGCAATTGTATTGCCTTTATCAACCCAGAGGCTCATTTACCAGTTTGTACTCTTAAGAACGAGTTAATGGATACCGCTAGATGCCATCTGGCCCCTGGCACATGCATTTAGGCAGTCATCCAGGAGCAGGTGCCAGGTTCCCATGTCACTTCACCCAGAAGCACCTTTAGAAACACTCAGCTCCTTAAGTTCCTCAACGCCCTGCAGCGCTATGTCCTGGCCCTTTTGGCTTCTAGGAGGTTGTATATGAAGCTCTAGTTTCATCATTTTTCCTTGGCTTCAGGGGATGCCCTTCAAACCTCCGGAAAAGAGTGTCCCGAATGGCAGCTTCAGAAAGGCATAAGCCTCAATCTCTCTGACTTTTGCAAAAGACCACTGATAAAGCCTTCTTTGCCTACCAGAGTCTCAGGCAGGTGTGATATTTTTGGRGGAATAGCTCTTTAAAAAAATGAATACAGATCATTAACGGTATTGAAGCAGATGAAGGAACAGAGTTTATTACCTTCAGGGTGGGGGAAGAATTGTCCAGACATGACTAGGTAGAACAGAAGCAAGGAGATAGAAACCAGATGACCAAATGTCCCAGCTAGGGACACAAGACAGTATGCCATTCCTACTGTGTCCCTGGGCTGGGTGTCTACTAGATGAACAAGCTGGATCTCAGATTGGTTCATGTTTGGAGAGAAATAATGGCCTCCATCTTCACAGAGAAGCTTGCCGTGCCTGCTCAGTGACCCTCCTCTCTGACCCAGTTCTGTTGCTGGCCTTATAGCTTCTTGCCACACAGTTTAAGTTTCTGCTCTGGGTGAAGTGCAGAGCTGGCTCTGCCTTCCTCCAGATTTGGCATGAATATCAGCTGGGATTGACATTCTTGAGGCCTGAGACTTGCTTTCTGTTCTATTCTCTCCCACTTCCACTTGGTGCAGGTCCTTACCCATTGGATGAGACAGAGAAGAGAAGGAAAATACAGGGATTTAACACCACTCTCTTAGCAACCAGGTGGAGGGGCAGAGCTGTGCTCTTATCAAGGAGAGACATGCTTACTGAGATAGCAGGAGGTGCCCTGTGCACAGGCCAGGCTGCAGGAGAGGTCCAGGCGTGATGGGGAACTACAGCATGGGGAGTTAAGTGAGGCATCCCGCCAGCTGCCAGGAAGAGCAGAGGAGGGGTGGTGAGGCGATGCGGGAGGGATGTTGTCAGTCGATTTCCCTCCCTCTTTAAACAGATTCCTCCAGCTGGGTGGATGTCAGACACAAGGGTTTTGATATGAATCCCCTGCAGTCTTGTCATTTTGCATTCATCCCCTGCCTCCCACCATGAGCTCAATTACTGAGAAGAAATGGAACCTCCAATAAAAGCTGCCGGGATGTCTAGCAGCACTGTTGCCTCTTGGCGTTTCATTTCACAGAACACCCCACCCTCCATCCTAAGATGCCATTCTGCCACATGGGTCCCTCAGCTGCTCAGGAGGGGTTTCTGGTGGGTTTTTCCGTGCATCCTAGGGTTTATGTATAAGCCTAGGAAATTTCTTTTTAGGAGAAAATCTAATTCCATGCTCATTCTGATGCCAGAAGGGTGTGAAATATAATGAGGAAAAGATGTGACATGTGTTTAGAGCCCATTATCTTTATATCCTATTTAACAGGCTTTGGTTCCAAGCTTGTTTTCTTGTTTATATTCATAATAATGCTGCCAGGTAGTTACTATCTGCACTTTACAGAGGAGTGAATGGAGGCACAGGGGTTGGATTAAGGGAGTTATAAATGGAAGAATTCAGATCCACATCTCATCTTTCTGACTGTGATTCTGCATTACTTCATTTACTGTTGAGGAAACTGAAGTTCAGGGAGGTTAAAATTAATTGCCCAAGGAAGCTGTCGAGCCAGGATTTGAAGCAGAATCTTGACTGACTACAGACCAGCCTGTGTCTCTACTACAGATGTTCATGATCATCTGTGTGATGAAGTGCCTGCTTCACGCATGGAATTGGGCCTCTCTAATGGTAGTTTTGTAGATAAAGGTATTTTACAGCTGCAGACTTTATGTCTGGAGGGACCTTAGGTGGTAATCCCTGCCTCTGGCCCCAGCTAGATAGTAGTTTCTCACTTTGTCAGGACCTGTTCCTCTCTGAAGCTGTTCCTTGAAAGGATGTGCCCTTACCTCCCTTGGTTATAAATTTCAGTTCTTATGTATTTGATTTCTTCTATTAAGTCTAGGTGTAGTTTCTGTTGCTATAGTTAAAGTCTGCTTCCTTTTATTTTTTTAATTGGTTTTCTAGTGGGAAGTTGGTATCTGAGGGGCTGTACTAATGAGTATGTCATCTCTCTTTCCCATTTCAGCTACCACCATCTGTGATCTGGACACCCAGTTCCGCTGCCAGGAGTCTGGGACATGCATCCCACTCTCCTATAAATGTGACCTTGAGGATGACTGTGGAGACAACAGTGATGAAAGTCACTGTGGTAAGGGAGCATGGCATTCAGAAACCCCTTCTGAAGAGGGAGCTACCATGTTTGCCCACTGGGCTGTACTAGTGTATGATGGGGATTGGAAATGGAGGGTTTCTGATGGCGTTTCAGGACTTCTGCTCTTCTAGCTACATGACCACCTCCACCCACATGGTAGGCTTGAGTCACTTCCTTTCTCCATTCAGAGCTTGCTTGCTGTTTTTTCATGAGAATTCAGTTCCTCTGGTGGAGTTCATGGATTCACGGGAAGAAAAGATGGAGCCTAGACTAGCTCCCATTATTTACTTGCTCTGTAGTTAGACTTTGTTTTCTAATCTGAAAAATGGAGAAATAGGACCTAGCTTACCTCGTAGAGGTGCTATAAGGGTGACATGTGATAGTAAATAGATAAGATTTCTGAATGAATTCAGTGGGTTGTTATCAGCTTTAGACATGTGGCCTGGACCTCTGAGTAGGTGTAGGATGAGTGTCTTTGGATCTCTATCTTTGTGAAGAAATGTGTTAAAACCAGTCTAATTCACTAAACTCTTAGAAATCAGCAGATGATCTAAGCATTACCTGAGCATTTGTTTTCTGAATGGAAATTTTGTATACTAATTTCAAGAAATTATTGGAGATTCTCTGGTTCAGTCCTTTTAATTTCCACATTAAGCAACTAAGATCCATAGAAGTCAGGATCCTTGGTCAAAGATGATACAGTTAATTTGTGTCAGAATGGAGAAGTGGGACCCCGTCTTCTGTTTTGTAATTCCTTGTCCTTTCTGTTACACAACACTGCCCTGTCTTTCTCATGAGCCCCAGCTTAGTTAATAGACCCTGGTCCCAAAGTAGTAGTTACTGACCATTGAGGGAGACATTATGCAATAAGGCAGATTGCAGGAACCATTGGCATGAAAGGGAAGCGAGAGAGGGGAAGCCAGACGCTGACCCACACATGGTGATGGCGTGCCCTGCTGGGCCTTCTTTCCTGTCCTCAGTGTCAGGTCCAGCTGACCTCTGCATGTGCCCACAGACAGGGCTTGCTTTGTTATGTGCAAGTGGTCGGACTCACAGAGACTGAAATAAGGGCCGCAGGTGCTGCTTCTAAATCATTTTAGCACAAGTAAATTTATGGAGTATATCAGGGGTGACTTCTACACAGAAGATACCCCTGGCCTGGCTCTGGGAGGAATTTTTTTGTTTGTTTTCATAATTTTCCTTTATTAAGTGCCATAAAACATATTCTTGGGATTCACATCTGCTTTCCTTCATTCCTACGGTTTCCTCCCCAGCATTGTCAAGAGTGAAATGTGTGGCTAGTCTAGCTCTAGGAGGGAAGGAGCCCACAGGGCTCATGTGTCTGGTGTTGTAATTCCCTCCCTGCACACATGTTGTTCATTCAATAGTTTTAGTCCCCCAGATCTTCCATCCATGCCCTGTTCTTGCTCCTTGGTCCCGAACTCATCCCAGGGTCCTAGTTGGACCCTTCCCTGATGCAGTTCCTCTTCATTCATCTCCAGACTGTCCTCCTGAATATCTCATTTACCACCTTTGTCTTTAACCTCCCTTCAAGGAGAAAAACTGGGACAATTTCCCTTTGCCCCAATTTTGGCTGCTTCTATTTTCTGAAGCTCTAGAAAATTCCACTTGGAAGTACTATGTCTCAGTCGTTTTGGGCTGCTGTAATAAGATACCTTAAAGTGGGTGATTTATAAACAATATACATTTATTTTACTGAGTTCTAGAGGCTGGGAAATCCAAGATCACAGCTCAAACAGATTCAGAGCCTGGTGAGAGCTATTCCGAGAGATGGCTCCTTTTCCGTGTCCTCAGGTGGTGGAAGGGCCTAACAGCTCTCTTGTGCCTCTTTTGTAATGTAAGATCACTAAAGTCCATTTTTAATAACTTTCTGAAGGCCTTGCCTCTTGATATTATTGCATTGTGATGAGGTTTTTACAGGTGAATTTTTGAGGACACATTCAGCCCATAGCTTCTGTTCTTATGATCACCAAGGCTGGTGAAAGATGGTGCGGGACAGCCTCTCTTTGTATCCTGGTCAGGATACACTGGCTTGTTTGCCTAGGACCCACTCTTCTTGAAGCAGCATATGCACTAGTATCCCAGAGCTTTGCCCACAGAAAACCCTGAGCTGTTTACTCCCTTTTGGAAGCTTAAAACTAACCTCACTTTCTGGGAACTGAGCATCTCCAAGTGGTCAGCACACCTGGGCTCTCATTACTTCTTTTCTCAAACCAAAGCTGTGTCTCTAACGAGTCTTCTCTTTCTTGGAAATTCTGCTTCCTGATATCTCTTACTGCATTCTTACTTTTTTCCCCTCACAACAAGCACAGAAAATGATACTACTTGTGGAGTACATCAGGATAGACGGACAAGGCTATCTTGCCAAGAGGCAACCAACTGAATTAGTCTAGGATGTCAGTTATCTGAGCACATCTATAACCCATCTGCAGCATATTTGGTGGGAATTATTCTAGATGGCCTTATATTGCTGGTTAAAGATCTGTCTGTCCACACTCTACAGTTAATCAAGTGATAATCAAGTGATAAACATCAAAATTTCTTGTTGTCCATGATATCCATGTAGTGATATGGTCCCTCTTATAAGGCCTAGTCAGATCTCTGATCCCAGAGGCAGAACTCTGAGTAAGTTTTTGCCTTAACATTTCTGTTGTCTCACCTGCAGAAATGCACCAGTGCCGGAGCGACGAGTACAACTGCAGCTCTGGTATGTGTATCCGATCCTCCTGGGTGTGTGACGGGGACAACGACTGCAGGGACTGGTCTGATGAAGCCAACTGCACAGGTCAGTGCTTCCTGATTAACAGCACTCATCTATTAGGTGAACTAATTAATATCTGCTGCATGTACTAGTACTAGTTAACATCATATACTTGTTAACGTCATAGCCTTAAATGACCATGGTATCTAGACTGAGAATCAGCTTGGACCATAGAAGTCAGCTGGTTCAGGGCTTCCCAGAGAGCTGGTTTGTGATGAGATAAGGATCTCGTGCCAGAATACAAATGAATATTCTACTTCCTTCACCCAGAAAGTCTTACAAGAAAAAGGAGAGTGGAGCTAAACAGTGTTCTGAGTGATATAGTTGATTTATATTTGGGTCAATCTTTTCAACTTTTAGGGCCAGTAAAGAGCAGTTCACACACTGGCCCCTGGTGGGAACCATATTTTGAATAGGACCCAACTAGTTCATATTTTTCAAATTGAACATTGAATGGTTCCCCTAATTAAAATTTAATTACAATTAAAATTTAAGCTGTGCTTGTACTTATTTGAGATAAGATTTCATTAAAAGTAAAGTTAGAAACACCAGGAATGTGAAGGTAATGCTAGGTGGTGTTAGTTAGAGGTAATATTCGAATTCTTCTGTTGTTTTCATCACATTACTTTGTTTAATGATTTAATGGGGGCCATACACATTTGCTTCGGGGTGGGGGCAGCAGATAAAACATGGAGTTGAGAAGGTTGTAGAGGAATAAAAACAAATCTCTTTTAATACTTATCACTTTATATCCCGTGACTTTATACAATTAATTTGCCAAAATGTAAAATAAAAAGTTTAAAATTCCTCAATTCCATAACCCAATATGTAGTTTGCTCTGCAGCCTCCTCTAGAAGTTGCCATTCAGTTCTATTGTAAACCCCTCCGAAATGGTGGCCATGTACAGCACACAGGATGTTCTGTGGTGGTACCAAGTTCCCTCCCCATTTCTCCTTTCTGGTGTGGCCTCAGTGCTAGGCTTCTGTTAGAAAGACTGCAGGAAGTACTTCTGTGTACACAAGTGTGGCCTGCAGAAGGAAGAAAACCAAGGTCGGTGAAGGAGCTGCCACCCGCCCAGGAAACACTCAATGCTGCCTGGAAGCTTTGGGTTTGGATGGATAATTAGTTAATGAATTAGAGGGGCGCGCTTGGGCATTTCAGTTTGTAAACTGCAGTATGATTGAACATCTTGTGAGCACAACGGCATTAGTCAAACGTGTATTTCAGCAGCAGGTGCCGGTCTTCCAGAATGAGTTCACAACTTCATTTCTGTGGGCAGGCTTGTCTAAACTCCCGGTTTTATCTCTGGTTTTCTTCTGGCAGTGCTCACTGGGGATAATTTAGTGCTCTTGCCATTCAGCTGCAGCCTTATTCCAATGACTGTTCTTCCAAACCTTTTAAGGATGATTCTTTTTCTCATCATCTTAAAATAGTTGGAGGTTGGATRTGAGCTCATTATGATGTGTAGCACGACACTTCATTTCCCGCTCTATTAAATTAAGCTGCATATGACACCAGAGAAAATGGGTCAGGGCTGCTGACCTGTTGGCCTCAGCCCCCATGCATTGTCTGTGCTGTGCGTGCTCCTCCTCCTCCTCTCAGCCTTTGTTCTCCATGGGCTTTTCAAGCTTTATTCCCTTTAACCTTCCCTCCCTGTTATTGAAGGTATACATTCAGTTTCTTTTCTCTTAGTTGTTACCTTTAGACACGTTATGTGCATTCTCAATATTTCCTATACATACAAGCACTTTAAATCTTTGACCACCAAACTGATTAGTAAAAGACTTAGTATCTTAAAATGCCATTTAGTTTTTTGATTTTACATTTCAGAAATTCAAAAATTAGTATTTGTTATTATTTTTAGTAACCAACCTTCTTTATAGGCACATGTCTATTTACCACCTATCTTTGCTTCTTCTATCCAGTACCTCCTTCCCTGGTTTTTGGAACAGAGGTCTGAGGGTGGTTAACTCTTTCAAGGTTYTGTTAGTATCAACATGTCTTTAATGTTTAGCATGGAATCTAAATTGGTCTGGATTCTAGGTGTATAGTGATTTTTTTTTTTTGTAAGTTTATTATTAGAATTACTCCTGTTTCTTTCTGGCCTCTTTTACTGTTTGCAGTTCTGTCAGATTTTCTGTTCAAATAACAACAGTGTTTTCTTTGAAGTTGCCTTTGGTTTTTGTTGTTACACAGTCTCGCTTGTTTCATTTGTTGTTTGAGACTCATTTTCTTTTTAAGATCTTAGGGTTTATGTTTCTTGTAATTCTGGGATTTTACAGCTGTAGAATTCAGCCTCTTTTGCTTTCTACTGTTTCTGATCTTGTTGTTAGCACTTGCTGCAGCCATTTGTTGCACGGCTCCATGCTATTGTTCATGCCTTCTCTTTTTATATCTGCTGTCTTTCAGACTCTGTGCTATACTCTGATTTCTTTAGACTTACCTTCCAGTTCAATAGTTCTTCTTTCAACCAAATCTAATCTGCTGTTTCACACATCTGTGGAACCCTTTTTATTTTCATGACTATATTTTTGTATCTAGAATATCTGTCTGTCTCTTTTTCAACCGTGCCTTTCAAATTTTAATGCTCTTTATGCTTAGTGGTTTTTCTTTTGTATCCTTAATCATTCAAATTGTGTTTATAGTCACTTTCCTTTTCCCTCACACACTTCCTAATAGTCCGTGCTTTGTAAGAAATGAGGCAGTACTTTTCCTTGTTCTAGTACATCATTCATCTTTGTTCTCCATTTATGGTCAGTTAATGCCTTCATCAGATATTTCAACAGGTCTTGATGAGTCAGGGAAGCTCTAAGAACATAGGTTGTAGGGTAATGATCTTTATTAGAAACTGAAATTCCATGTCACCCTGTTGACCCTTCCAGTCTTAACACTTGTTTTTCTCTCAAAATTTTTAGTCTGGATTTAGAGTCAGTTTCTTCCATCTTTGTACTAAAATATTTTTATTTATAAATCCTGCATTGTTTATCAGGCACTCAATGTCAAAGACTAGTAAATTACTTAGAAGATAGAAAAATCCAGAAAAAGCATTTTGTTATACATTCCAGTCATGCCTGGCCACTTGAGTGAAATTGGGCACACTGATTAATCTTTCTGATCTCAGCTTCTGGGATAGAATCTGAAGATCTCTGACGTGCCTCCCAGAGTTGTCATTTAGAAACCCCGCTAGCACTTTGAAATAGTTTTCAATTAAGAATGAAATACAAAGGCTGAATAATAACAAGTAGATTAGCATGGTAATCATTTTATGCAACTTTACATTTCATGAAAGTGAGCAAGGCGGTAAGGAATGTTTCAAAGACCATCAGATTTCTGACACCAAAAAAAAAAAAAAAAATCAAAAGCATCTCAGGTGATGGTTATTACTGGTGCAGAAACTCATGTAACTTGCATGCTTTATTTATTCCTTTTACAAGATATAAGTGTATTTTTAAAAGATGTTTAATGGATTCTAAGTGCCAAAGGTTATAAATGTTGAAACTTCCCGTAGACTTATTTAAATGCTACCAAATTCAGCCTTGGTCTTTGGAGAGTTGAAAAGACAAAGATAATGGTTCACAACTTGTTTTAAAGTGCTTTGAAAAATCAGGTTCTTAGCATTTCTTATCATCACAAAAAATAGCTTCAATTTCAGTAGAAATCGTAGAGGACATTGTGAGGCAGTTTTCTTCATCCTTGAGCAGCTTATTGCCAGTCATCTCAATTGAATAAACAACTCTAGTTTTTTTTTTTTTTTTTTTTCCCACAACAACCTGATTTTGTTTGTTTTACCTCTTTCTGCTGTGAAGATGTCCTGTTCACGGTTAAGCTAACAAGGAGCCTCTCTAGGTTATCCCCACCCCTCACCCCGATCCCTAGCTTTCCTTTCCACCATTTCAGTTACCTGGATGAACCATAGTCTGAAAATATCAAATGGAAAATTCCAGAAATAAATACTTGATAAGTTTCAAATGACTTTTATTATGATATATCATTAATGTTCCATTTCAGTCTTAGCTTTATCTCTTCCTATGTCTATGACCAAATTTCTGGAGATGTATACATTGGAATGTATATCATTCATTGTAGGTATGTATACATTGGAAAAACATAGTGTATATGGGGTTCAGTACCATCCAAAGTTTCAGGCATTTATGCAACATCTTAGAACATACCTGTGGATGGGGGCAGGTGGTTACTGTGGATTCTTTTATGCTGGTTGTAAATGAGGCCAATTCTTGTTTTTCTTCAGCAGTGAACAGACACAAGCAGCTTTCTATGTAAGAAGAGGAAGTGGAAATCTAATGAAGAAGGCAGTTATAGTGTTGATTGGGTCTGAGGCAGATATTATGTACTTGAACTCATTTTTGAGATTTTAAGCTATTTCTAATGATTTGGTGGCCACAGCCCAAGTGTGCAAATGAAGCTGTTCATTTCTAGCAGTGACTCTGTTTCACTAACTGCTGCTGCTGCTTTTTAAAGTGCTGTAGTGGGTGTTATGTATTATTGGCTGATAAGATGTTAGATGTTGTTCTTGCCTTCCTTGGTTAGACAGTTTTAGGTTCTGAGGCCTGTGTTCTTTGAGACTTGGGAATGAATTTTTTTTTTTTTTTTTTTTTAATGTTCTTTGGGCCTGAAGTTTTCCACATTTAAAGTTGGGTAGTGTTTTGTGTTTTGATTTTGGTTTTGATATATAAAGTCATGGCTTGTCAGAGCTGCTTGTAAGAGCCCCTTAGATAACAATGTCAAATGGGAAATTGAGGCCTCCAGACTGACTGGACCAGGTCTAGAACTCTCTCTCTAGAGCACACACTGCCTTTCCTTGTTTGACAGCATCTAAAGGAGTCAGATTTATGGAGAGGATCAAGTAGCAAGATCTAGGAAGAAAAGTAGAGGCTTTACCCTGGACAGCCTGATGCAATTACTTTATTACCAGAAGGTTTCTCAGTTTCTCCAAGCCTGTTTCTCCTGTGTGAAAGAGGAATAATGCTTACCTCACAGGTCATTGTACAGAGGAGGGATTTTTTTGACAGGGGCACCTGGGCCTTTAGTGGCTGGCGTAACATTTTGTCAGCACAGACTCAAATCACTGCCTCCCTCTTGGGGTCTGCCCAACTGCTGCATTTCCCGCCCTCGGAGTAACTCATGCTCCAGCCCTTTAAACCTTACTGCCTAGTGCAAAGCTTCCTTTCAGCTGACTTGTGACAGTTGATGGGGGTGGAGAGGAGGGAGGTGTGACTATGTCCCTTTTCTCTGTTGGCAGCCATCTATCACACCTGTGAGGCCTCCAACTTCCAGTGCCACAACGGGCACTGCATCCCCCAGCGGTGGGCGTGTGACGGTGACGCAGATTGCCAAGATGGTTCTGACGAGGATCCGGTGAACTGTGGTAAATGCAAATGCCTTGGCTCCCACCTGAGCTTCCCCAGTGTCTGCTGTTCAGGAAGAGGCAGCAGATGGGCCAGGAAATGAAATCACGCCCTGCCGCACCCGGGCTTCCACTGTGACACTGAGCAAGCCCACCCACTCTGTCGTGCTGCCATATGATGTAGTCTTAATTCTCAGGCAGCAGTTTCCCTCTCACAAACAAAAAGTGTAAAATGCCGCCATAACACAAAATCAGTATGTAAAGTGCTTTTATACACCAAATATTTTTAAGCTTCTCTGTCCTTATCCTTTTGCCAAACATTCAAAATTTTCACAGTATAGTTGTTGTCTACATGTCATTTTATATATTCTACTCCTTCCATGTTACAGAATTTTTTCTTAAAAAAGATGTTTCCATATATCAGTATTTTCTGTAATTAGCATTTTTATGCAAGATGCATGTTCATTTCATGTTACCATTAACCCAGTTATGGGTTACTTAGTCCATTCCTGGTTGGGCATTTGAGTTTTACACAATTATGTTTTTAGTTTTACACAATTATGACAGCTGTTTATGTCCTTGGAAGCGAAGGCTCATTTTTCCTTGGAGATATTTCCTGGAATTGTGGGTCAGAAATGCTGATGGGTTCTCATGATTCTCTTCCAGTGTTTCTAGGTTATTTCCAAGGGACATCTCCACCAGCCACAGACTGCTTGCTTTCCCTAGTCTCCCTTGATTTTAGGTTTTATCTCTTTAGTAGTTCTCACTAATACTGAGTATACTTGTTTCTTATAATTTTAATTTACACTTTTTTAAAGAAACTTTGTTTTTCTTAGTGACATTAACCATTTCTCCAAGTTGTACTACTCATTTACTGTTTGTTTCTGTATGATGTCCTTTGACAAATTTCCTAGGTATATTGACTTTTTGCAGGATTAAAACACCTTGTGTTGTCTTATACCTACCTAATCCTCATGGAACTATTCACCAAGCATTGGGTTTGCAAAGGCCATGCCTGTCTTGGTAGAACTGATAAGTCCAGTGCCTGGCAGGGACTCTGCTTAGGAGAGAGGGACCTGGCACTAAGGCTTCTGGGCTAAGTATCATGGTACCTTTGTTCTAGTTTATTTCCCTTAGAACTCATTGTGAAATTTTGGGCTCTTAACATTTCAAGCAAATGTTCTCCAGAAGGGCTTCATATTAGAATTCAAATTAGAATTCATGAAAAAAAGAAGGTGGCCAGTGATCTCTAGATTTTTTTGAAAATCCAGGATTTTGTAATCAGGATTCATGTTTGTCTCTCTTTTTTTCCTATTTGTAGAAGCTTTTTTCTTCTGCAAAAAAATACTCAGTTTTTGAATGGGTCGGCCTTTCATCTTGTTCAAAATGGAAAAAACATAAGATGGCTTATAGTAAAAGTTGTTCTCCCCATCTGCCTAGTTCCTATCCTATCCCCATGAGAAGCCATGGTTTAATATCTTTTCAGAGATGTGGATATGCAGTCATCACTGTGTGACATTATTTTTGTCAATGATGGAGCACATTTACAATGGTGGTCTCAAAAGATTAAATGGAGTTGAGAATGTTCTGTCATTAGTAACACTGTCATGTTCCCGACGTCATAGTGCAGGACAGTACTGCTGGTGGTGATGCTGGTGTAAACTGACCCATTGTGCTGCCAGTCAAGTGCCAGGGTAACACACACAAGTATGTAAGGTACCAGTGCTTGATAGTGATAGCAAATAACTAGTGATTGGTTTGTGTGTTTATCATGCTATACTTTTTTGTCATTATTGGAGAATAAACCCCTTCTACTTAAAGAAAAGTTAACTGTTCAGCAGTCTCCCACATTACACTGGTAACAGCCTCTACATCTTTGTTTACCTCACCTTTTGATTGCTTCAAGAGATCACATTGACTGAGTGACCTATTCTGTACCATCCAAGTTGTGCAACATACTCTGTGACTTTCACATGGTGAAGAAATTGATGAGTGACACATTTCTTAGAATGCACCCATCATTAGATGACGCATGATTGTAGATATTTAAATATAGTCTATTTTACACAAATAATAATACACTATGCATGTTGTTTTGTAGTTTGATTTTTGCATAACTCTGGGACAGAATTTTTTACAGAGTTCTTCAGTCTCCCTCAGCTGTCTAGTATTCCCATGCACAGCCATTTATTAAACAGTCCTCTGCTGATGGATATGGAGGTGGTTTTCCATCTGTTACACTTCTGCTTACATTAAGTACAGGTTCTGACCTTTTCCTTACACTATTTTTCATTTGTGTAGACAGAACACATTATTTCTACACTGGGAGTTACTGGTCAAAGTATATATACGTTGGTAATTTTACAGCTATTGCCCAGTTGCCCCCAGGGTGGTACRAATCGGAGTCCTGTGAACAATGTCGGTGAGTGCCTGCTCATTTCTTCTTTACCATTCTACTCTGAATTGGATTTCAGAGAAGAAGTGCAATGGATTCCGCTGCCCCAATGGCACTTGCATCCCATCCAGCAAACATTGTGACGGACTGCACGACTGCTCCGATGGCTCGGACGAGCAGCACTGTGGTGAGTCTGCTTCCTGCCCGGAGGAACGCCAGGCCCTGGTGGTTGTGAGTGAGGAGTGCCTGTTGGACCAGATCCTTTTGTTTCTTCAGTACCTGCTGTGTTTAGCTTTGAACCAATTCACACTGAGTCCTGGACTCAGTGGCTGATCAGAAAGGGAGACATGGTTTGGGTAGAGGAGAATAGAAAGAGGATTAAAGTGTGTGGTTATGGGATTAGTTTATACTTTGGTGAAAGGTACTGTTTTGTTGCTATGTGCATTATAAATTGACCGTTGTTTTCGATTGGGCACTTACTTTTACTTGATTGGTTTTTTATTAGTGTTGCTGATTATCACTCCAGAAATATTTTTAGGCCAAATGATCCTTTCTAGTCCATTTTCTTTAGACCCTGAAAGATGGTCTTGGGTCAGTTGTACACCTCTTTGGTGGACATTGTAATCACCAGGGAGCTCTAAAAGCTACTGTACCTGGGCCTCACCCCCAGATATTTCAAATTAGTCTAGGGTATGACTTGGGTGATGGGATTTTTTTCCTTACAGTATTTCAGGAGATTCTAATGTGCAATTCAGGTTGAGAGCTAATGGGTTAATACAAACTGGCCTGTAGGTGAGATTTGGCCCAAAACCTGTTCTTTTAAATGAAGTTATATTTCAATCCAACACTTCCCTTTGCTTACATATGCATACTGCCCTCATGCTGTAGTGGCAAAATCAAGAAGTTGTAACACAGGCTGTTTGTTAAGTGTCTGCAGAGCCTAACATTTTGCTCTCTGGTTGTGTTAGTTTGGGGTTTTCCAGAGAAACAAAATCAATAGGATACACACACACACACACACACACACACACTCATCATACACAGCAGCCCTCCTACCTACTATATATGTGTGGAGAGAGACTTATAAGGAATTGACTTACGTGGTAATGGAGGCTGGCAAGTTCAAAATCTGTAGAGTGAGCCAGCAGGCTGCAGACCCAGGGATAAACTGAGGTCACAGTTTAAATTTGAAGGCGGTCAAGCTCCAGACCCAGAAGAGAGCAACTGTAATTCAAATCCAAAGGCCTTCTTGCTATGCTGTCATGTGGCCTTTTCTCTGCCTATATCTCTAGATGAGGACACCAGTCATGTCGGATTAGGGCCCCAGCCTATGACTTCATTTAACCTTAAGGACCTTTTTAAAGAACCCCTCTCCAAATATAGTCAGGCTTCAACATAGGAATTTAAGCTGGAGGGAGGAGCACAATTCACTCCAGACTCTGGTCTATTTTGGAGAAAGCTTCTTGACTCCTTGTTAGAGTCAATATCATATCAGTAATGATTCAGATCATGGGCTTTGGTGCCAGACAGCTCTGGATTTCAGTTTTGGCTTCACCCTCATCAGCTGTGTGCTCTTGGCAAAATACTTAATACTGCTACCCTTGTTTTCTCATTCTGTAAACAGAGACAGTAAAATCTTTTTTAATGTTGTTTTGAGGGTTTAATGATGCACTTTATGTCAAGTGCTTTAGCTGTGGGCTTGGCACAAGCAAGTGCTCGGCCAACAGTGGCTGTTACTGTTGTTTCCTGAATGCATGTCTGAACCAGCGTGCGATGCCCACGCCCAGTGCTCATGGCCCTTTCTCCTTGCTGGCTCCCTTTTAGAGCCCCTCTGCACTCGCTTCATGGACTTCGTGTGTAAGAACCGCCAGCAGTGCCTGTTCCACTCCATGGTGTGTGATGGGATCATCCAGTGCCGCGATGGATCAGATGAGGATGCCACCTTTGCAGGATGCTGTGAGTGGGGCAGCTGGGGGAGGTCACTCACAGCCATGGGGTTTGGCTGCCCGGGGACACACCTCTCTCTAGGTATCAGGTCTGACTGAGTGTCCAAGCTCACCTTTCCTGAGAGTTACCTCTTTGTTTCAGAAGTGCTGCTTTTAGCTTTGGTGTAGGTATGAACAGGAGGCTGGTGAGTGACCACAGTATTGGCTCCGTTTCACCTTATACCAGAGGCCTTTCTGGCCAGTCTGTATTGAATGCCAATCTCTGTAGTGCCCCCTGCCCGCTGTGCTCTCCAGAGGTCCTCACAGCATGCACCCCCACATTGCACGCTGTATTTTACTGTCTGCCTCTGCTGCTGCCATGCTAGGGTCAAAGGAGCAGGGACTTTCCTTTGTTCATTGCTATAGCCCTGTTTCTCAGAGTCCCCTGCATTTGTGTTTGTTTGCTTGGGTTGCCATGGCAAAATGCCACATGCAGGGTGACTTGGACAACAGAAATGCATTTTCTCTTGAAAAAAGGAGGCTGGGAGTTCACAGTCAAGGTGTTTGCGGGATTGGTTTTCCCAGAGGCCTTTCTTGACCTCACAGGTGGCCATCTTCTCCCTGTGTCCTTGCATGGTCTTTCTTCTCTACGTTTCTGTGTTCATATTTCTTCTTCCTCTTCCATGGACAGCAGTCGTATTGGATTATGACTCACCCTGATGACCTCATTTTAACTTATGTTTTTAAAAACATTACCTCCAAAAAAATCACCTGTCTAAAGTATTAGGGGTTAGGATTTCAATCTATGGATTTTGGGGGGATAAACTCAGCCCATAATAGTACTCAATAAAGGACTGTGGAAAGGATTAATAAATAGAATGTGTGCTCTGTTAAGATCAGGTTTGGCTTTTGCTTTCACGGAAACCTTCAGCACAATAATGGCTCTTGGCAGAGGATGTTTTTCCTCTCTCCCGTTCTGAGCATCACTCCTACTCTGACCTCCCCAACACGGAAGTAATCTGGACTTTATGGGTGTTTGTTCCTTATGTAGCCCAAGACCCCGAGTTCCACAAGGTCTGTGATGAGTTCGGTTTCCAGTGTCAGAATGGAGTGTGCATCAGTTTGATTTGGAAATGTGATGGGATGGACGACTGTGGGGACTACTCTGATGAAGCCAACTGTGGTGAGCATCAGCCTCCTCGCACCCCAGCCCTGCAGTTATGGTGACACCTATGGCTAAGGAGGGGATGCTTGCCAGCATTCTCACCTGCACACTTTGCCCTCTCCTTCCTCAATAGCAACTACCTCCAGCTCTTGAATCCCCACACGAAGAATTGAGTGAAGTGGGAACTTACACCTAGTAGATGTGGGAAATTTTTATTATGTTTCCTTTTCTTTGCTCAGTTGCAAGGACCACATTATATATATAAAGAATGCAGTGGGTAAAGGATTGTGGTAAATATTGTAGAATGCATCATTGCCACCACCACCCTAAAAATTGTAGACCACAGCATCATCAATAGTTAGACTATTGCTTTGGTAAAAGGTCAGAATTACATGTCAGGTGATCATTCTCAGTATAACAATCTGTAGTCATCGCTGGGTGCAGTGGTGCACACCTGTAATCCCAGCAGCTCAGGAAGCTGAGGCAGGAGGAACGCAAGTTCAAAACTATCCTCAGCAACTTAGGTCCTAAGCAACTTAGACCCTCTCTCAAAAAAATAAAAAAAAATAAATAAAAAGGGCTGTAGATGTGGCAGAGTGTTCCTGGGTTCAGTCTCCAGCACCCCCCAAAAAGAAAAAATGTAGGTCATGAGTTTGGAGCTGGGAAGATGGAGTACTGTGAGTTTATGGGTATATTCTGTTGCCCCTTGGGTTCATAAAGTTGCCTTATCTTTTTTGAGAGGGAAATGCCACTGGCACTGGACATGGGTATCCAGGACAGTGCCTCTAGGTGGAGCTTGTGCTCACTGTGGTACAGGAGAAATGACTGATACCATTGTTGATCTCTGCAGAAAACCCCACAGAAGCCCCAAACTGCTCCCGCTACTTCCAGTTCCACTGTGAGAATGGCCACTGCATCCCAAACAGATGGAAATGTGACAGGGAGAACGACTGTGGAGACTGGTCTGATGAGAAGGACTGTGGAGGTGAGAGGCTCTAGGGTGCTGGGTCAACCCCACAGCCGAGACACAGCAGGATAGGTTGACCTGTTTGCACAGATTATAACTTTGTCTCTTTAGTGCCTGGCTTATTCTGTACTTTTCTGGCTTTTTTGGGAGAATCAACCCTGAGGAGTTTTCAATCTTTCCTCCCATTTGCAATCAGGGTGCTTGGTTTTTATTGCCAGGGTTATTCATTCCTGATTTTGCAGGGCACAATGAGATGCCCAGAGCCTTGCTGACCAGCAGCATTCACATCTCCTTGGAGCTTGTTAGAACCTCAGTCTCTGCCCTTCCCCCACACCTAATGAATGGGAATCTGAATTTTAACAAGGTCCCCAGGTCCTGCCTGGGCTGTGATTCCTCTGAGGAACACTGATGTGGGGTGCAAGCTTTCCCTTTCATTTTTGGCATTGTCTCCAAACCAAGTCTTGGGGTAGTTGTGATGAATTAACTAGAGCAGTTTGGCCTTGGCAGGAATTCTCTATCCGTCCTGTATCTTCCAAGTCAGCTGTTCACCTTTTGTTTGCTTTCAGAAACACCTACAAAAGCAAGGCCATCTGAACATTAGCTCCTATCCACTACAGCAGTATGTAAATCTACTAACCAGAGGGGAAACAAATATCGTCTGTTCTGACACTGCATCATGAATGATTTTTAGATGGGCTGCAGTACAGAGCTGTGACTGTCACTAGCCTCTCTTGGCTGGTGCAGCTAAAAGGGGGATTTGGTTTGGAACACATTTTAGTCTGAGGTCAAACTTCTGTTAACACTTTGGGTTTTCTTTTTGGTGTTTTTCTCAGATTCACATATTCTGCCCTCCCCCACTCCTGGGCCCTCCACGTGTCTGCCCAATTACTTCCGTTGCAGCAATGGGGCCTGTGTGATGGACACCTGGGTATGTGACGGGTACCGGGATTGTGCAGATGGCTCCGATGAGGAAGCCTGCCCCTCGCTTGGTGAGTCCTGGTCTCAGCTCTCCGTGGTACCTGTTCCTGTGTCGAGGCTGTTCTGGAGCACGCTGTAGGCATAGCCTGACTGCCCTGTGCTGCTCACCAATAGGGTGCTTCCAGGGCAGGGAGACTTCAGTGCTTTTCCCTGGATCAGACCCATGGGAACTCAGAAACAGAGCATCCCATCTTCTGTAACTGCCCTCTGAACTTCCTACTGGAAAAGGCCAGCCACCCTTATTTCCCCGAGACCGCTGCAGGCAACCTTTGTTTCCTTCTCTGTGGGAAATTATAGTTGGGATTACAGGGAGGTTTTTGTGTGTATATTACACTCTCAGGGGAGAGGGCCCAATTTTCCTGCTTGATAGTTGTGGAGCTGGTCCTTCTAAAAGAAGGGTGAGCACTGCCATCTAGTGGCTGCACAGAGGCAGCTGAAGAGCTGTGCGTAAACCATTGCTGTAGGCAGGGCCCACCTTGAGACCCCATCTAGTGCTGGCCCCCCACCACAGGCAGAGCCTGGGTGAGGATGCTGAGTTTCCCTAAGCAGGAGTCTATTTCAGATTCACTTATAAACTGCACTTTGTATCATCCTTGCCGTGGCTGATCTCCTGGTTGCCCCTTGATGACATTGCTTCCCTGTTTTTGATATGTCCTTAGCGATTTTCAAGGTGTGGCACAAGGACTCMTCTATAATGGAATCACCTGCAGTGTATAAAATGCATAGCATCAGAACTTCTGGTATGGAGCCCAGGAGATACCCACATGATTCTAAAGTTCATTAAAGCTTGAAATTCTTGCTTGAAATTTCAGTTCTTGGACCTTGATTCCTAGTTTCAAGGCCCTGTGTGCTCTGACTCCTCCTTTCTTCCCTCACTTCTTAGGGCTGCTCATCTGCTCTGGGCAGACTTGTTCCTTTCCCTCCTGTATTTCTACAGCAGGCCTTTTACCCTTGTCCCTCCCTCATCCTCCTGCTTTCCCCATCCATGAAATCTACCATCTGTGGGGCAAACAGAAGCAAGAATTTCATAGCAAAGAGACCTTGATATGTCATTAGCGATTCTCAAGGTATGGTACAAGGACTCCTCTATAATGGAATCACCTGCAGTGTATAAAATATAGCATCAGAACTTCTGGGTGGAGCCCAGGAGATACTCACATGATTCTAAAGTTCATTAAAGCTTGAAATTCTTGCTTCAAACAAGTACAATGTGATTCTCCCTGTCAAACCTCACCCTTGCAGAGCTTCCCAGACTCCTTTAGCTGATGCCCAGTCTCACTGAACTTAGCCGTTGTCCTTTGGGTTCTTGACTGTGATCTGCTATACATCGCTTCCTAATGGCAGGTCTCCTGTTTGGGGATGATACTGTAAATTACTTGGAATTTTCTCCTGTGTCTACCACAACAACAGGCAAATAGCAGCCCATAAGTGCTTCTCAAATTAAAACAAATTGTAAAAAAGGATTTTAAAAGTCATAAAAACCCTTTTGTCTCTAACTGTTCCCACCTATGTATTGAATTATCCTTCTCTCACAGTTGATTTTGGTTCTTAAAACTCTGGCCAGAACTAGCCAGTTCTGACTCATCAGAAGAGCAAGTTCCTTGCTTTATGTCTCATTCAGCTTTTGTGTGGAACCTGGGGCCTTGTGCATGCTAGGCAAGTGCTGTCCCACTCAGCTACATCCCCAGACCCTGTAATTGCTTGTTAAACAGTTCTTCTTAGTTAGTTTCTTTACTTTGCCTTTCTCCCTCCTCGTTAGACCAGTTTGTGAGCTTTTTGAGGGTTGGTGATGTTGACCTAGTTGCTTCCTAGCTCTCTCCTCTGACAGCTTGGGATAGGCTATGGCCTTCTCTGGTCTCTTTAATCACTTATCACTGTTTGCTTTCCAGCTTCCCCAATGTTTTCCCTTTCTTTCTATTCTTTTTTTTTTTTGGAGCTAGGATTGAACCCAGGGATGCTTAATCACTGGACCACATCCCAGCCATTTTTTTTCATTTTAACACAGGGCCTCACTAAGTTGCTTAGCATCTTGCTACATTGCCGAGGCTAGCCTTGACCCTGGGATCCTCTTGCCTCAGCCTTCCAAGCCCCTGGGATTATAGGGATGTGCCACCGTACCCAGCTTCCAAATTTGTTGCTTTTGTCTTTTTTCCCATTATTTGTACCCTTTTGGGGTTAGGTCTTAAAATTATCTCTCAGCTAGGTCTTTAGTCAGGGTCTGAGAGGGAGCAAATTAAGTGGTGGTGTCCAGAGCACACACGGGTCTCTCCGGGTTCCCTTTGCAATTCCTAAGGCACTGTGCTCTCCTAACACATTGAATTGTCTCTGTTACTGGCCAGCTTGCATAATACTGAAAACGGAATTTTAAAAATCTTTTTTTCTAGCAAATGTCACTGCTGTCTCCACCCCCACTCAGCTTGGGCGATGTGACCGATTTGAGTTTGAGTGCCACCAACCAAAGAAGTGTATCCCCAACTGGAAGCGCTGTGATGGCCACCGGGACTGCCAGGATGGCCAGGATGAGGACAACTGCCGTGAGTAGTTTGGGAGTGCTTTGGCCCCAGGCAGATTTCCAGAGTGTGAAATATCCCTTTGCCCTGCTTCRTTTCTGGGTCAGCACACACCCACGTGTGTGAGTTAGTGCAGTTTTGTGTACCCATGTTGCGACTACGTCGTCCCCAAGGGCTTTGCTACATGGACCCACATCATATCATCTGGTAGCCACATTCTTTCTAATAAGTTGCCTGAGATATTTTAAACAATAGGAGCAGATCTAACAAAAATATTTTCTAAGTGAGAAAAATTAATTGTTTTTTTTTTTCTTTTTTTGCTTGATATGTTTAACTCTTTAAAAACACCAASGGATCCAGCCTACGTCCTCTATATTTGCATTCATTCTTCTGAAAGTGTTAAGTGAGGCACAGAGACTACATTGTTGGGGGGATTACCTCTGCACCTTATTAAGAGGTTCAGTCATCGCCCCTAGGGTAATTCTAGTTGGAAACAGAGAATACTGGCCACATGTGGAATGATGACCAGGCAGCCTGAGCCTGCTCTGAGATGACATAGACACTGAYTGTATCAGTGTGTTGAGTTCAGAATGGGCTGTGGTGCCTGTTCCTTGTGGGGAGGTTCCTTGGAGTAGGTGATGGAGGGAGAGACACTGGCTTTTGCACAGACTGAGGTTCAAAGTGTCACCTTGGCGGGGATGGCCTACAGGAAGCAGGGGGTGAAGTCAGAAGTCAGACACAGAGATGAGCTCATGTTCAATACCTTTTGGTCTCTGGTTGCACTGAGGCCACCTTTGGCCTGATGGGTACAACTGTAATGGCCCTGGAGGGGTGTGACTGAAGAGGAGTGCTCATTCCCTGCCATCCACATGCCTCTGATGATGGGCTACCCTAGCTCAGGCCTCCTGCTTTGCAGGCTCTCCTCCATCTATCCACCCGTGACTGCAGACAGTCAGTGTCCCAGCCAGTCACGTAGTTTTACTTCCAGAAAGAACATTTCTTCATGCTCATCTGACTTCTGCCCTGGTGAACCTAGAAGAGAATGGCAAGGTCCCTCCTGTCTATCTACAGAGCCTTCCAGCCCTGACCCCAGCAGCGAGCTCTCCATTCTTTTTTTTTTTTTTTTTTAACTTGGTGGCAGGGTGGAAGTTACTGAGGGTTGAACTCAGGGGCACTCGACCACTGAGCCACACCCCCGCCCTATTTTGTATTTTATTAGAGACAAGGTCTCACTGAGTTGCTTAGTGCCTCGCTTTTGCTGAGGCTGGCTTTGAACTTGTGATCTTCCTTCCTTAGCCTCCGTTGGGATTACAGGTGTGCACCACTGAGCCCAGCCTCTCCATTCTTTTTTGATCCCTGTTCTAATCTCACTTTTTCCTCTTAAAATGAAGATTCCTTAATGAAAAACTGAGCCCCCAAATGGAGCCCTATCAAATCTTACCATTTCAAAATGGATTAGGGTCTAGGCAGAGAAGGATAGTTATCCCTTAGTTTCTCTAATTCAGTAGTGAAGAAATTTATGTAACTTAGAGGGATCACATGGAGAGTAAAAAATGAACATTTAGTGATCCCACCTCAGTCTGCTGAATCAAGAGCAGTGGGAAGGGGTGCTTGAGAACTCATCCTTTTAAAAGAGACCTTTCTCATGCTTAGCATTACAAAAGTTTGCCAAATGCCTGCCCTTTGTAGATATTTTTCCCAGTGAGGCTGGGAAGAAAGGGAAGTGGGAATTGGCCATCCCTCCTGTCTCTGTAACACATTTCCCCACAGGGTGCCTGACTAGGCTTTCCCTGCAGAGTCTGGTTAGGGGGAAGCACTGTATGTCTTCAGAATCTTCAGTCTGGCGGGATGAAAATTGGTTGATCATGCACGACGTGGCCGGCACTGATCAGCTGTGGGATACAGTCTGGTGGGAGGACCACAAATCAGCAGCTGTGTTTCAGTGCAAGATGGGCAGTAGCAAAAGCATCTCCATGGAACCAGCATAGTTCAGAGTGGACCTGGTCATCCTCCAGAGAGGTGGCAGCTGATCAGGAAAGGGATGATAATGTCTAAGGAGCAGGTTTTGTTTTTGTTTTAAACCTTTTTTTTTTTTTCAGTTGTAAATGGACACAATACCTTTATTTTGTTTGTTTATTTTTATGTGGTGCTGAGGATTGAACCCAGAGCCTCACACATGCAAGGCAAGCGCATTAGTGCTGAGCCACAACCTCAGCCCCAGTTTTGTTGTTTTTAGGAGATGGGGTCTTACTACATTGCCCAGATTGGTCCCAAACTCTTGGGCTCAGGCAGTCCTCTTACCTCAGTATCCGGAGTGGCTAGGACTACAGTGTGCCACTGCAGAGTTTTAATGGAGAAAAGCGGGGAAAGGTGGCAGATGGTGGGCATCCCAGCCACTGGAGACAGCATGAATACCCAGAGGCTCAGAGACACTGGGAGCACCTCTGTARAGGGCCATGGGCAGGGAAAATGGTGAATACATAGAGACAAGCCGGGCACTTGGGTACAACGGCCATGCTTAGGGCCCCTTATCCCCTGTCACAGGGAACCATTAATTATTTTAGGGAGTGGTGTTTGTATTTTAAATCACTTGGACTTCATCATGAGAGAAATGGTTTAGAAGGGGAGGTGAGATTGGAGGCCAGGTACTACTGAGGCAGCCAATGTGATGGGGCTGTGAGGTGAGAAAGGAAGAGGGCACGTTGGTATATTGGAGGTGATGTTCGTAGCAGCCATGAGTCCTTGGCTGTGGAGATCAGCAGGAAGGAAGAGAGGCGAAACTAGAAGGAGGAGAGGAGAAACTAGAAGGAGAAACTGTCCAGAGAAGAAACTATAGGCTGATGCTAGCTTGGGTGGGGCATGGGCAGGTTTCCCTGTGGAGCCAGGGACCACGAGGGGTGGGGGATGGGCACTGGAGTCAGGGCTGGTGTTCGGCATCTTGGTTGGAAGGGCATCTTGGTTGGAAGCGAGGCATGTGGGCCAGCAGCCGGGAGGAGTTGCCCTTCCCATGTTGCATCAGCAGTCAGTCTTGCTGGAGACCCTCTGCACCTAGCCCCTCATGAGCCTTCGCCAGTTTTTACACTCTGTGGTCTCCTTTAACAGGCTCTGTAGCTATGGGCTTGTGGAGACAGATTCCACCAGGTCCTTTTAGGTCTTGACAGGCTCCTGACCTGAGAGAAAAATCGTCTCGAGATTTAGCCTGACATGTAAAACGTATTTATTCTCACAGCAAATAGATTTTTCTCCTAAATGTACTTTTTCTACAGGGGTCACRAGGCCCTCATTGTTCACGCCTCCTTCTTTTTCCTGAATGTCACTCTGCTTTCATCTTGGCTGTCTGAAGGAGCCTTTCTTTGTCCAAAAGTCAGGGAGTTTGATAAGTTGCTTCCTAGGGGTCTTTGTTTCAAAAAATACCCTTTGACTTTTCCACTTTTTCAATTTGCAAGCTAGGGTGATTTTTGTTTGGTTTGCTTTTTTCTTGGAAGCTGTGAAGGATCCCATTATTAACCTTCTGCTCTTGGTCAGTGATCAGGACCTGAATAAATTCAGATGCTTTTGGGGGAAGAACCCCTGTATATCATTGCACCTGCTCTTGTCACGGGGAACTTGGGAACCAGGAAGATTCGATTCGATTGCCTTATTTATTTGTATTTGTTTCATTATTATGCCTTTCTGCTTTCTTACCTTTTTGGGGATCTTTTTTTATTTTTCTCTTTGCTTTATCCTAAGCAGTTTTCTTCAGGCTGCTGCTACTTTGCTCTGTTTGCTGTTAGAATCATTTCTGACTCTTTGTAAATGGCCCTGCTCTATTTAAAAGGTCATTACTAGATTGGATGAAAATTTGGAAAGCATGCTTGTTACATCTGCAGGTAATGCAGAGTCAACAAAAGCACTTATTTTCTGGTAAAATAATCAGGACTCAAAAAGAAAAATGAACACTTGGTAAGGGAAATGTACCTTCCATTATTCTCATGTAAATTATATATTTATTTCACTTAATTGTTAATTACCTTGTGATTTTGGTATTGTCTCCATTGTAGAGATAGGAAAATTAAGGCTCTAAGAGAGTCTTCCAGTCAGTACCAGACTGGGATATTTATTTAGATAGAAGGTCATGATCTTTCTGCCATGATGTCTGTATAGAGAGTTTTTTTTTAAATGCCAAGATAAGAAACAATTTATTATAGAGAGAAGAAAAATTTCTCATCCAAAATATAGAAATCTGTACAACTTTGCCACAATCAATATAYATGAACATTACAAACTTATACCAGTTCATAATTTACCAAATAAAAGATGACTAACAAAGTTCACAAAAATAGATGGTGGTCTGTGGAAAAGACTTTTACCCAATTAARTGTGTAGAGATTTTATCAGAGAAGAATATACCAAACCTAACAGAGAAATCAAACAGGACTTAGTACAAAAGTCTACACTTATGTTAAAATAATGAATGCAGTGGGCCTCTGGGACATTAAAAGAGCAGAGCAGGTTGATCCCACACTCACCAAAGTGATAGAACATCTGAGCCAAGTAAGAGATCATATGACAAGGTGAACGTTAAAAATAATCAACAAAGAGGCAAAGACCTACAATGTTCCTCCTGGTGATARTAACCTATTAATTGGCATTCTTTAAATCTGTGTTTTCAGGCTGTTTCAAATTTGTCTTATTCACAAGGATGTTGCTTAATTCAGGGTCTTAAAATCAAGATGTGCTGTCTCCACAATTTTCCTAAATCCATTAATCCTTATCAAAAACAAAATGGCATGAGTGTGGCATGATTCCTCTCAGAGAAGCTGGCCCCTGCTGGCCACTACTTCTGTTCTAAGTGCCCATCCACCATCTCTTTAATAATCATTTAAGAATTTGCAGAGATTAATGGCAACYTTATTTCCAGAATCTCAAATCTGGTTTTTCTTGCTTTTGGAGTTTTGAGATATATTTTATAAGGAAGCCTCAAACATCTTTAACAATCCTACTCAGCTGTTGTTTGGCAATAGTTTTCGCATATTCTTATCAAGTGGTAGAYGTCTGTGATGGGAATCTTGTGTTTTCCAAGTGGTCCCCTTCTGAGCAGTATCCCTCTCTGACTGTCCTGTATGAAGTGGCGTCACTGCCCGTCCCTTTAACTCAGACACCATTACTCTATGTTCTTTTGTGGCTCTTACATTATCTGAAATGACTTATTTGTTGGTTGGCTTGTTTGTAGCTTCTCTCAAGAGAAGATAATCTCTTTGACAGTAGGTGCCTTGTCTTTCCTATACATGTTCATAGTGCCTGGAGCTGTTCCTGATGCCTGCAGGACCTCCTTTAATGCTCAGTGCATGGGAGGGTGAAGTCTGTCTTGGGATCCTGAGACTGTTACAGCAGTGGTTCTTCAACTTTTTTGTAGAACTCCAGTATGCTTGTATATGTAATGCAGTTGTCCACCCGCCCCCCTGCCCCAAGACAAACCATTTTCAGCTCAGTGTATAATAGATTTCTGTAATACAATGATTTTCTTGAAGTGTGGGATTATAGTTTGTGAAAAGCCTCATAAGTGGATTTTGTAGTTCCCTTCTCCCTTTGTATCTGCAGATTCTGTATCTGTGTATTTAAATAATTGTGGAGTGAAAAAATATGTATTTACATACATATATAAAATGTATTTATACTGAACATGTATAGACTTTGGTTCTTGTCATTCTATAAACAAAACAGTATAATACTGATTTGCAAAGTATTTACATTGCATTAAGTATTATAAGTAATCTAGGGAAGATTTAACGTATACAAGAGGATGTGTGTGAGTTATATGCACAAACTGTGCCATTTTACATAGGGGACTTGAGCATCTTTGGAGTTTGGTGTCTGCAGGATCCTCCAGCCAATCTCCTGCAAATGGTGTGGGACCACTGCACTGTATTAGCTTTTTTTTTTTTTTTTTTTTTTTTTAAAGCAAGTACTAAGCTGAAACCATCCTAGAGACTCATGCAGTGTTATTAATTCTTTTGTATGAAAATTCATCAATTGAGAACAATTGTTAAGTGTTCCATTCCTGCTCTCACTACCTTTCTCCCTGGCAATCCTCATATCTTTTTGCCTCTAAGAAAATATTCCTGGATCCTTTATCCATTTCTGTTGAGGATCCTGGTGGTTCTCCTATGAACACTATGCAATTTCTCTACCTCTGTCTCAAAGAGTGGTTCTGGCCAGCAGAGGTTCTCAGCCTGACCAATTTTCCTGATTCACACGGGAGCTTTTAAATACTTCATCTGCTGAGTTCCTACTATGCTCTGCTACAGGAGGTTTGGTGCAAGTTCAGGAGTCTGTACACTTTAGAAGTTCCCTAGGAGACTGTTAAAGAATTACTGCTGTTGATTCTTTGCTCTTAGATGACTACAGTGACTGAGAAGTCCTTTTGGTAATTTCTTTTTCCATTAATACCCTGGAATAGAATTTAGAGAGTGTGATTAAAGAAATTTATTTAAACTATTTTAGATGAAGCTTTTTTTTTTTTTTTAACCTGGAGTGTAGGCATGGTTCATCATGTTGATATAAACGGTATAGTCATGTGTAGTAGAGTGCATGTATTTATTTGCACATGGGATGGAGGGTAAGAGCTACCACGAGTTTTGTTCCTGAATCCCAATGGAGAAGTTATAGTCCGGGCTCAGGAAACCAAGATAGAATCCCAACATAAGATCTGGACAAACACAGGGGCTGGAGTGCATATCGGTTTTCCGGCCACTGTAATGAATTACCTCAGACAGAGTATCATGGAACAACACTTTTATTTTCTGATAGTTCTCTGAGTCTGAAATCTGACACGGTGTCACTGGGCTAAAACCAAGGTGACGGCAGGGCAGTTCCTCTGGAGRCTCTAGGGGAGAATCTGTTTCATTGCTTTTGTCAGTTTCTGGGGCTGCCCTCTAGAGGCTCATGGCTTCTGCCTCCACCTGAGAGTCAGCAGCGCTGGATCTCTGGGACCCTCCTACTGTCTTTACAAATCTGCCTCTGGCCACATCCAGGAAAGGGTCTCACCTTGAAGAACGCATGTGGCTACATGGGACCATCTAAAAATCCAGGCCGGACTTCCTTCATCAAMGTCCTTTATTTAATCGCATCTGTGAAGTCCCTTTTGCTAAGCAAAGTAACTTACTGGCAGGCTCCRGGAATGAGAATGTGAAAGTCTTTGACTTGGAAGTGCAAGGTTAATTTTAGATGCTGGCTTTGGGTCTCTGGCATAGCCCTTCCTTGTCTGGGCTGGGGTAGGCAGCTTGGGTCTGGATAATGAAGGCCTGAAGTACCTGCATCTGGGCCTGGCCCTGATCATCCTTGGGCAGCAGATTTGCTCCCCATAGCCATTCCCTCCTTTACTCTTCCTTTAGTGTCATTTGCAATTGCATTGTTACCACTGCCTTTCTAGAGCCTTCCATGCTGGAGAGAAGATGAAGTTTTGGTTAGTAGCCTGCTATAGTTACATAACTCTTAACTGACTTTACCTTTATTTTTCATTATTTCTTTTTCTATGAAAATATTTTGAAACTTATACAATTAAAAATACTTCATCAAGTGGGCACACCTCTCAACATTATTGTGATACATCTCATTATTTTTATTACTCAAGCCAGAAGTCAGAGTGTCATTCTAGGATCTAAGAATAGAACAGAGCAATTAGTACTGTGGAGTTCTAGCTATAGCTTGTTGGTACCTGCCAGGAACCACTTAGGTGCTTGATCTCACTAGCTCCCTGCAGACACAATAGCTGTAGAATTGTCACCCACTTTTCATAGGAGAACTGCACTTTGGTGATATTAAGCAGCTTGCTCAAGCTTACACAGAATGAAGACTTAAACCCTAGTTTGCCTCCAAGTCTCACATCCTTCCTGAAGGGAGATCCAGTTGTTAACAATGAATCAGATGGTGCAATGGCACCAGTGCACGTTCTCCTCCACATTACAGAAAGGTATTTTGAAGCAGAAGTTGATTAGCTGAAAGAATTCAAACTACTTTTTCTAACCATGAGTGAACCTGGACCTTCGGTGCAAATTGGTCCTTCCCCAGGTTCAGGAAGGCTCTTTGTGTTTCAGCCACACACAGCACCTTGACCTGTATGAGCAGAGAGTTCAAGTGTGAGGATGGTGAGGCCTGCATTGTACTCTCGGAGCGTTGTGACGGCTTCCTGGACTGCTCGGATGAGAGTGACGAGGCGRCCTGCAGTGGTGAGTAACTTGCACACTGTGGGTGCTTCTAGCTTGGAGCTTCTAGAACTTTCCCTAAGTCTGAAAATGAGGGTTGGGGCACAGCTCAGTGCTGGAGCACTTGCCTAGCATATGCAAGGCTTGGGATTTCATCCCCAGCATAGCAAAACACAAAACAGAATCTGGAACTGAAATGGATTTGTGCCMCACTTCGTGGCACCAAGTGAGCTGGCCCATCTCTGATGTAACTTCCCTCTACCTCCTACCTTTTGGTGAAGGGGCTGGTCTTGGATTTATCTTCAACAGACTTCTTGCCTTTTGCTGATATGCCACTGCTTTCTCAGAGCCTCAAACTGCTGATGGGGTTAACTCAGTCCTCCCTGGAGAGTATTTAGTGGTACATTCTGCTATGGCATTGYCCATGAACTTGCAATGTTCTCTTTTAGAATCAAGTTTAAATTGCCTTGGGCAGGAAGGAGGTGAAATTCCAGGAACAATACCATGATTGGAAATATGGGAACCCTAGGGAAGATTGTAGAGGGAGGTGTGAGCTATATTTTCTGGAATTTCTTTTCAGTTAGTGATTGTGATCTCCTGACAATTTAGAATGCAGCAGCCCTGCTTAAAAGCCGGGGTTCTTTGAAATTTGAGAATTTATAAGATATAACTTTACTCCTTATCTCTTCAGATGAGTTAACTGTATACAAAGTACAGAATCTTCAGTGGACAGCTGACTTCTCTGGGGATGTAACTTTGACCTGGATGCGGCCCAAAAAAATGCCATCTGCTTCTTGTGTATATACTGTCTACTACAGGTGGGTCCCATCTCTGCCATGGTCCTTGTTGCCACTGGATGATCCGTAAATTCTCTTGTGATAATCATTCTGGGGCTCTTGATTAGCCATCCATGCCACTTGGCTGAGACACTATCTTTGTTCTTTTGGCCAGGGTGGTTGGAGAGAGCATATGGAAGACTCTGGAGACTCACAGCAACAAAACRAACACTGTGTTGAAAGTCTTGAAACCTGACACCACATATCAAGTTAAAGTACAGGTTCAATGTCTGAGCAAGGCRCACAACACCAATGACTTTGTGACCCTGCGGACTCCAGAAGGGTGTAAGTTATAATCTTATTTTTGTGGCAATTACAAGACTTCATGTGAGATGTTGAACAGGTTTTCCCATGGATGCTCAGGAATGCAGAGACATACTTACCTGTGCCTTATCTGTGCAGAAGTCTTGTGGCTAAGTTCTGTGGTCTTGCCTGATCTGTTTAACATTTATTCTTAGCATGGCAGAGGATGCTCTTGCACCCTAAGATAGGATTCTCTCCACCATTGCCCTCTTGTGTCTCTTGTCATGTCATTTCCCTTGCTTAGGACCTCATCGTCATTGAAATACGAGGCATGTCAGTAGTTTTGTGACTAAGCTTTAAAGAAATTTGCCAAAATCATGTTTCTGAGAGAGCTCCCTGCTTTCTCCTTTCAGAGTAGCGCACTTGGTGATGATCTGCTTGTTCTCTTCATTTTCCCTGTTGCCTGAAGTATCTTGAATACATATCACTCATTAAGGAGTCTGTTGTGGTAGTGACCATATTCATTTGGATGTAGAATTTCTGTGATGTTAGAAATAGTCTTATTCCTTGACAGTCATGCCCATGGGTCAGTTCTGTGGTATGGGAGGCTGAGGCAGCAGGGGCTGTCATTGACAATTAAGATCACAGCATTGAAGTCCAGGGCAGTGGTGACTCGGCCTGCCAGGTGATCCCATCCTGCAGCCCTGTGGATGTGTGACCATCGGACTCGACTGAGCCCTGATCTGATGTGTGGACAGCATACCTTGCAATCTGGAAGAATAGGAAATGTATCTTGTCAAAGTAGAGAAAATAAGCTAACAGACTTCGTAGTGGGTAGGTCTCAGTACCTAGATTCCTTCTTTTTCTAGAAGGAAAAAGATTCCTTCTTTTTCCTTTTTTTGTATTTCTGGGACATAATGTGTTTTTTTTAATTAGAGTATATAATATTATATATAATATTGAGGTTCATTTTGACATATAAGCATAGAATACAATTTTCTCCCATTCAGTATTAAGTGCTTCCTCTTTCCCTCCCTTCTCCCACTCACTTTTCTTTCCTCTATTCTACTGGTCTTTTTTCTATTTATAGTGTCTTTCTTTCTTTTTTTTTTTACTACCAATCTGTATTCCCTCTTATTTTTGTTTTAAGCTCAGGAAAATTCTTCTAGCTGACCACTATGTGATTCGGAAGTTAACTCTCTTTTAAAATATAATTTGTACAAGATTAATTGTCCATATTTGTGGGGTATCCATTTCAATACATGTATATAATATGTAATGATATTATATGATAGGTGATGGTAGCTTATCCGTCACCTCAGACACTTGTCGTTTTTTTTGTGTTGGGAACATTTAGTGTCCTTCTACTATCTGTTTTGAAATACTCAGTTAGTCGTCGTTATCCATAGTTACCCTGCTGTGCTGTCCTTCTGTCCAGCTGCACTGTGTATGTGCTCACCACTTTTCATCTTTCCCTCACCCTCCATCCTCCTCAGCCTCTGGTTGCCACTAGGAGATGAGGTTTTTAGTTTTTCAGTTTCTGTATGTAAGCGAGAACATGCAGTATTTGTCTTGCTGTGCCTGGCTTATTTCACTTAACATAATGTACTCCAGGCTCATTCATGTTGTTATTTCAGAATTTCATTCTTGTGGTTTAATGATATTCCATTGTGTATGAGTGTGTGTGCGTGTGTGTGTGTACAAACCGTGTTTTCTTTATCCAGTCATTCCTCACCTGGCTTCTGGGTTGGTTTCATATCTTGTCTGTTGTGAACAGTGTGCAGTGAACCCGGGAGTGTGGGAACCTCTTTGACATATTGATTCTCTCCTGTTCTTTGGCTTATCCTCAGGAGTGGGCTTGTTGGATCTTGGGGTAGTTCTGTTGGTAATTTTTTTGAGAAACTTCTATGCTGTTTGCCATAATGACTGCACTGATTTGTGGTATTCCCCCCAGCAGCTTAGAATTACCCTTTCTCTGTATCTTTGCCAGCATTTTAAATTTTTTGTCTTTTTGATAATGGCCGTTCTAACTGGGGTAACATGATACNGATTGACCCCAGAGGTGCTTAGCTACTGAGCCGAATCTCCAGCCCTTCTTGTATTTTTTATTTTGAATTATATTAAATTTTACTAAATTTATTAGTAAGTTGGTTACAGCCTTGCTAAGTTGCTGAAGCTGCTTTTGAATTTATGATCCTCTTGCCTCAGACTCCTGAACAGATAGGATTACAGGGGTGAGCCACCATGCCCAGCTCTTTTTGTATTCTGTTTGTTGTTGTTCTTACATGACAGTAGAATGCATGTATAAGTCATACATAAATGAAGTATAACTTCTCATTCTTGTAGTTGTACCTGATGTAGAATTATACTGGTTGTGTAATCATATATGTACATATGGTCATAATGTTCTATTCATTCACTCCCTTCTGTCTAATACAGAATACCTCTATTCTTCCCTAGCCCCCCACCCCCTTATTGTGGATTAGCATCCACATATCAGAGAAAACATTTGGCCTTTGATTCTTTGGGATTGGCTTATTYCACTTATCATGATAGTCTCCAGCCCCATCCATTTACTGGTATTCTTATTGTTAATACTTSTTAAGATTTCTTAGCATATACATGCATATTAGGTATTCTGTCATTTCCTCTTAAGGATGTAGAGAAAATTAAAGGATGAAGTGAAAATTATGTTTCACTTCACCATCTTTAATGAGACGTTTCTGTCTTAGAATCATGTTAGGATAAGATACTTTGCTATGTAGTAAGATACTTGAATACTTCATAATATAAACATTTCATTTAATACAATAAATATTTTTAAGATCCTCTTTTGTGTTTCACACTCACAGATGTTCAGAGAACCCACTTATTTTATGATTTTTATAGAGAATGAACAGAAATCCCATTTTATAGTTACCTATCTTTTTTTTTATTGGTTGTTCAAAACATTACAGAGCTCTTGACATATCATATTTCATACATTAGATTCAAGTGAGTTATGAACTCCCATTTTTACCCCGTATACAGATTGCAGTATCACATCGGTTACACATCCACGTTTTTACATATTGCCATACTAGTAGCTGTTGTATTCTGCTACCTTTCCTATCCTCTACTATCCCTCCTCCCCTTCCCTGCCCTCCCATCTTCCCTTTCTACCCCACCTACTGTAATTCATTTCTCTCCCTTGTTTTGTTTTGATTTTTTTCCTTTCCCTTCACATCGTCTTATATGTAATTTTGTATAACAATGAGGGTCTCCCTCCATTTCCATGCAATTTCCCTTCTCTCTCCCTTTCCCTCCTACCTCTCGTCCCTGTTTAATGTTAATCTTTTTCTCATGCTCTTCCTCTCTGCTCTGTTCTTAGTTGCTCTTCTTATATCAAAGAAGACATTTGGCATTTGTTTTGTAGAGATTGGCTAGCTTCACTTAGCATAATCTGCTCTAATGCCATCCATTTCCCTGCAAATTCCATGATTTTGTCATTTTTTAGTGCTGAGTAATACTCCATTGTGTATAAATGCCACANTGTGTGTCCTCTTCAGTTTCTTTCATCAGTATTTTATAGCTTTCATTGTAGAGCTCTTTCACCTCACCTTCTTAGTTAAATTTATTTCTTATATTTATCTATTAATTTTTGGTTGCTATTGTAAATGAGATTGATTTCTTAATTTCTTTTCAAGCAAGTTTGTTGGTGGTTTGAAGMAATGCTACCAGTTTTGTATGTTGATCTTGTATCCTGCAACTTTACTGAATTCATTTAGMACTTGCAGTAGKTTTTTGCACCCTCCAGAGACTCTTGTGATCTGTGTATGAGATCATGTCTTCTGCACACAGGGATAGCTTGACTTGCAAGTTGCCTCTTTTTATAGTGCCAGATGCCCCTCGAAATCTCCAACTATCACTCCACAGGGAAGCAGAAGGTGTGATTGTTGGCCACTGGACTCCTCCCATCCACACCCACGGTCTCATTCGTGAGTACATTGTAAGTACCTTCCAGGAGAGGACATGGGTGTCAGGGTRATAGAGATTTCTGTGTTGATTTGCCATAATTTTGTGGATAATGACCCACCTGTCAGAACATCTGGTACCCCACTTTCCCCTTTCCTGACCTGCCACTTTATAAGATAACAGGGTGTTCTAGACCTCTGGTTAGTTTTAATCATTTTTTCCTTCTCATTTTAGGTAGAATACAGCAGAAGTGGTTCTAAGATGTGGGCCTCCCAGAGAGCWGCTAGTAACTCTACAGAAATAAAGAACTTACTGGTCAACGTTCTGTACACCGTCAGAGTGAGTATTCACAGCTGTCCTGGCCCTCTGGTCAGTCTTGGAAACTAGAGACATGTCTCCATTTCATGAGCACTCCGTGCTTACTTTTAAGAGTGCGTATTGTTAGTCCATAAAATACCCAGCTCCTTGTCCTGAGGAGGGAAGCAGACTTCCCACAGATAATCAAGCACTTAGGCAATKCGGCTTTCCCAGCTTGTAACCAGATTTTCTGCTAGCTTTCCAGCACCTATAACTTTTGCACATACCCTTTTCTGCTTATCTTTAGCCCCAGGGTGAGGCAGAGCTATTGATAAAKGGCATTTATAAACTGATTTTGTGAGGTTCTTATGACATGTAATGTTACCTTTAACAGAAAAGAGATAGATTTTTGTGTAAAGCATGTTTGAGACCATTACATGCACAACCTCCAGAAACCCCCTTGTACTAATTTCCCCAATACCCCTTTTATATATCTGTGCATTTAGAACTTGGATACCCATACATACACACTGGCCATTAGAAAAACCTTGACATGTGTCTATCAAGAGCAATTTTATAATCTTGGGACTATCATGATTTACTTTGCCCAGGCTCCTTCCCTTTGTTTCTTCCCCCTCTCATTTCAATTGCTGGGACCCCTGAACTTCACAGGTCACTCTCTATATAATTTTTTCCACCCTCATTGCCAAAATTTCACCCCTTTAGCTCATTTAGAATTCTTGCCRTATGGTGTTATTGCCTTTATTTCATACTAATTCACACTCTAATTTGAAAAGGTGGCTGCGGTGACTAGTCGTGGAATAGGAAACTGGAGCGATTCTAAATCCATTACCACCATAAAAGGAAAAGGTAAATGATTCTACCAGCATTTGCAGATTTAGNATATGAATTTCATGATTGCTTTATCTATTTCTACAAGAAATGCCATTGGGATTTTGATTGGCATTGCATTGAACCTATTGAGAACTTTTGGTAATATCGCCATTTTGATGATATTAGTTCTGCCTATCCATGAACAGGGTATATTTTTCCATCTTCTAAGATCTTCTATTTCTCTCTTTACGTTTCTGTAGTTTTCATTGTATAAATCTTTCACCTCTTTTGTTAGGTTGATTCCCAAGTATTTTATTTTTTTTTGAGTATATTGTAAATGGGGTGGTTTTCCTCATTTCCATTTCAGAAGATTTGTCGCTGATACACAGGAATGCCTTTGATTTATGCGTGTTGATTTTATATCCTGCCACTTTGGTGAATTCATTTATTAGCTCTAGTAGTTTCTTTGTAGACCCTTTTGGGTCTTCTAGGTATAAAATCATATCATCTGCAAATAATGATAATTTAAGTTCTTCTTTTCCTATCTTAATAAGTAAATTGGGCAGATACTCTTTTATTCTATAGGTGATTTGTTGAAATTATATTAAATTTAGTTTTATGCCAGATACTTTAATGATTGAATTATTGTTAAAGTTTTAATTCTGTTAAATATGTTTGTCAAACTATGTTATTTATTCTCAGTGTGTCATCGCTACTATAGCTTTTGGAATGGGCATTAATAAAGCTGACATTCGAAGAGTCATTCATTATGGTGCTCCTAAAGAAATGGAATCATATTATCAGGAAATTGGTAGAGCTGGCCGTGATGGACTTCAAAGTTCTTGTCATGTACTCTGGGCTCCAGCAGACTTTAACTTAAATAGGTAAAAACTATTATTTTCACCTTGCATATTTCTTTCTTTCCAAGAAAATATTTGAAGCAGGGTCTAAAATTTCAAGTAATTTTCAGGTATATTTAAAGTAAAAAAAAACACGATTAGGTAGAGAGAAGTGAGGGGAGGGGAAGGGAAGGGGGGAATAGAAGGACAGCAGAATAAAGTAGACATTATTATTGTTGTGGGTATATATGTGAGTGCATGACCAATGTAATTCTGCAACCTGTACACTCAGAAAAATGAGAGATTATATCCCATTTGATTCAAATGTATGATATGTCAAGATCATTGTACTGTCATGTGTAACTAAGTAAAACAAATTAAAAAAAAAGTAAAAAAACCAAACAAACTAAAAAACCCAAATCAACAAACAAATTAAAGCAAAAATCCAAAACAGACAACATCTATGAAGAACATTGATGATAAATGTTGCCACATAGAGGAGATGACCGAATTTTAGCCATTCCTGAGTGTGAGGAATTACCTAAATAAGTTTTATACTTAGGCATATAACATAGATCTTACAGAATACTTTTCTACTGTTGTACATCAAGTGAATAGTATTTTTTCCTCCTCATGTCTTCTCATGTTGTAATGTCTTCAGCCATAGTTACCTTAGAGTCTGTTTATTTATTCTTTCATATATGTATGGAGCATAATTCAGAAATCAGTTTCATTCTGTAGTTCCTTTTCCTTTCCCTCCTCCCTCCCTTTCATTTGCCTTCTTCTGTTTATTCTTGGAAAGGTATATAAAGCTATTCGGGAGATTTTTATCATTTGATATTGATATTTATAAAATTTATTCACAGAAGGCTAGACATAAACAGGGTGAGCTTAGTTGCACTGACTTTTTAGAAGATAACGTGTTTTAATAGTATTTAACAATTTTTAAAAAATATATTCTTAGTTGTAGTTGGACACAATATCTTCTTTTATTTTTATGTGGTGCTGAGGATCAAACAGAATGAACAGAAATCCCATTTTATAGTTACCAAGTTCAAAGCGGGCGCTCTACCACTAGCCACAGATCCAGCCCGATTTAACAATTTTTAATAAATTCAGTATTATAGAAGAAAATCAATTATACTTGTTTGAGGAAGAAATTTATTTCTTATACTTTATGGGTGTTCCTGCATACCCCAATATCCAAAGTTAGTTTTGGAGGATCAAGAAATTCTCTGAAGATTTAATAGGGATAAAGACTCCTACTGGTAATGAGCCTCTTTTGGTATTCTTTTTATAAATGCTTTCAGTTTCTTAGAAAATAAATTAAAATAATGCATAGACTTACCTGGGAAAAGGTAAAAATTTGTGTATTATAAAAGATTTGCTGGAAATCAAAAAGTTTGTGACATATAAATCAAAATGAAGAACTAGCATGTATAGTAATTTTTCAAAGGCAGCTTAAGAATTGTTACTTGGACATAGGTAGTATTCTTTTTCTTTTTTTGATACCAGGGATTGAACTCAGGCCACTAAACCACACCCCCAGTCCTATTTTGAATTTTATTTAGAGAAAGGTTTCACTGAGTTGCTTAGTACCTTGCTTTTGCTGAGGCTAGCTTTGAACTCTGAATCCTCCTGCCTCAGCCTCCCCAGCCTCTGGGATTATAGGTATGCACCACCACGCCTGGCACCGGTAGAATTCTTTTGAAAGCAATTTTTATAAAAATTACAAAAGTTCTTCCTTCCTTTGGGGGCATTGATTGTGAAGAAATATAAGAGAACTTTCTAGGGTGATTAGAAATATTCTTTATCCTAATATGAGTGTGAGTTTTGTAGGTTATGAAAATAAGCAGTAATAAATAATAGTTTCACATATCCCTGTGAAATTTTGAATTGACAGGAACTGCCTTACCGAGATACGTAATGAAAAGTTTCGATTATACAAATTAAAGATGATGGCAAAAATGGAAAAGTATCTTCATTCCAGGAGATGTAGGCGACAGTATGTATTATTTATTTTATTTTATTTTATTTGTACTGGTGATTGAACCCAGGGATACTCTACCACTGAGCTGTATCCCCAGTCCTCTTTATTTTTTGTTTTGAGATAGGATCTTGCTGTGTTGTCCAGTCTGGCTTAGAACTTGTGCTCTTCCTGCCTCAGCCTATTGAGTAGCTGGGATTATGGGCATGTACCACCAAGCTCAGCTGTATTACTTATTTTATATCAATTAGTAGCTTGGGTTTATGAAAACTCAGGCTATTTCTCTTTTAAGAAAAACATTTGCTAAATAATCAGGATTATTTTGAAAGAATATTTTGTTGATGTTATGGTATGCTCAGTTTTAAAGGCAGCTTTCTTTGTGCCTGAGTAAACTAAACTCAAATAATGAAGTTCCAGGCAAATAATTAATGGTGATTTTATCTATTTTTAGCAATGAAGTTAACGTGTGTGTATTTATTTATTTAATTTTGAAATTTCTCTTGGATAGAATCATCTTGTCTCATTTTGAAGACAAACAACTAAGAAAGGCCTCCATGGGTATTATGGGAACTGAAAAATGCTGTGATAATTGCAGATTCAGGTACAGATTTCTTCTTGATGAACATTCTAAAATTTCTCTCTCTTTTTTTAGGTCATATTTAATTGAATTTTTGTTGAATGTATATTTTAGTTTTTTTAAACTAAATGAATTTATTTAAAAATTAAAAAGCAAACAATTTAGAGTATTTTACTTTATGTAATAGATAAAACAATAGAAGGGTAGACCTAAACCTAAACATAATCAATTGTTAAATGTAAATTGTCTAAAAATATCATTTAAAGGTGTAAATTCTCAAGATTGATTTTAAAATGTGATCCTATCTTATATGCTATAAGAAATCCACTACAAGTATATTTATAAAGGTAGGTTAACAAAAGAATGAAACATGGTGTACCATGAAAACACAGGTCAAAAGAAAGCTGAAGTTGCTGTTTTAATGTTGGGCAGTGGACACTTTGGAACAAAAAATACTAGCGGGAATAAAAGAGGACATTGCATGATGTAAAAGGATCAGCTCACTCATTTATTAGTCCTGATTCTCCAGAGAAATAGGATGAATGATTTTATATTAAAGGGGGAAGGATGAAAGGAATTATGTGGAGTTGGTTGTAAGGATTTGGCTCACACAGTTGTGGGGGTTGGCAAGTTAAGCAGTCTGGAAACATGGGCAAGAGTTGATGTTGCTGTCTTGAAGTGGAATTCTTTCTTCAGCTACATTTTTTACTCTTAACATTTTCAACTGATTGGACGAGACTTACCCATATTATTGATGGTAACTTCCTTTAATTAAAGCCAGCTGATTATGAATATTAAAAATCACAGCTACAAAATATTTTCGCAGCAACATCTAGATTAGTATCTGACCAAACAACTGAGTACCTCAGACTAGCCAAGTTAAACATAAAATCAACTATCCCAACCAAAAAGACATCCTAAATGTTTACATACTCCAAAGAAAGAACCTAAAAGAACTGAAAAGAGAAGAGAATCCACAGTTATAGTTGGTGACTTTAACATCTTCTCTCAGTAATCAATAGAAGTAGTAGAACAAAAAAATCACTAAGGGGATAAGAATAAAAAGAACTGTCAACAACCTGGATCTAATTAGTTTTTAAAAGAACACTCATCCAACAGCAACAGAGTACACATTCTTTTTAAGGGAAGATGGAATGTTATAAACATGAATCATACTCTGGGTCATAAAACAAAATTTTAACAAATTTGGAAGTAATCTTTTTGGATAAAGTATGTGTTTTGACTATACTGGAATTAAACTAGAAAGTTGTAACAGAATGGTATGAGGAAAGTCTCTAAACCCTTGGAAATTAAATTGCACACTTCTAAACTATCTATTAATCAGAGAGAAAGTCTCAAGTGAAATAAGAAAATATTTTTAACTGAATGGGATAAAAATACAAAAATGTTTAGTATACAGCTATACTAGGAAGGAAATTTATAGCATTAAATATTTATCTTATAAAAGGAGAGAGGTTTCAGACCAATTAAGCTTCCAACATAAGAAACAAGAAAATCAAAGCAAAATAAAGCAAATGGAAGTGGAAGGAAGGAAATAATACAGATAAGAGCCTAAATTAGTGAAATAGAAAACAGAAAAAAGAGTAGTAAAAAATAGTGAATGCAAAAGGTCATTATTTGTTAAGGTCAACAAAATTGATTAAAAACTTCTAGCAAGACTGACAGAAGAAAGAGAAATAGATTTATTAATAGCAGGCATGGGAGAGGGAATTTTGCTACAAATCCAGTAGACATTAATAAGGATAAGAATAAAACACTATGAACAACTTATATATAAATTCACTAATGTAGATGAAATTACTTAATTTTATTACTTAATAATCTCAAACTAGCCATACTCAGCCACAATGATTTAAATAGGTGAACTTGAAAGGTCCCCCAAGCATTAGAGGAAGTGAATTCCTTATTAACAGCCTCCGAAAATAAAATTTCTAGCCCTGAAGGCTTCAGTGACAAAATCTAGCCAACATTTGAAGAAGAAATAACACCAGTTCTACAATATGGTTCCATTTATATGATATTCTCTGAAACTTGTATTTAAACTGTAGGGTCGAAGAGAAGATCAGCGGTTGCCAGAGGTTAGAGGGAATGAGAAGGTATACAAAACGGTAGCACAAATGAGTATTTTGAGTGATAGATTTGTTTTGTGTCCTGAGTGTGGTGAGGATTAGGTGAATCTATATATGTGGATCTATGAGTGTTAAAATTTGTAGAACTTTACACAAATGTGACTAATGTAACTCTTTATTGATTGAAAAATTAAAACAAATGATACACCTGCTTGGGTTAGCTATATATTTTTGTGTGGTAGATACATTATTATAAAACACAAGATATGCTATTAGGATTGGAGATGTTCTCTGCATAATGATAAGTAGTTCCTTCACCAAGAGAACATTGTTTTCTGTCTCAAAAAACAAACAAGGTAAAACAAAACAGAAAACTCATTCCCATAAAGCACAGATTGAGGGAACTCAAAGAAATAAACAAATCTGCCCTCAAAGTGGAAAAGTTTGATATAATTTTTTAGTTATTGGTAGGTTAAATAATTTAAAAAATAGCAAGTTATAGGAAATTTGGTCACTATAGTACAAATTTGATTTATTAGGCACCTAGTAATAGAAAACTTATCAAGCAGCTAGAGAAGTGGATTGTAAATTACTTTATTTACTTCATGATCCCCCTAACAAATGATCAGTATTTGTATCCCACACTGGGCTAATTGTCAGAATACAGGTAACTTGGACTGAAATAATTAACCTTTCAGCCCACCTAGAATCTGTTTGCAGCATATTAGTTGGGAGAAACTGAATGAGAGTCTATACTTCTCATGTATACATGGATTATTTATAAATATTGACTACAAGAGCAGGGGTTGGCAATATGATCTTTGGGCCACATCCACTTCACTTGCTGCCTGTTTTTCTGTAAATAAAATTTTGGTGGAACTTTGCCATGCCCTTCTGTTTATGATGACTGCTTGAGTTAAGTAGTTATCTACAAAACCCATTGTGGTCCACAAGGCCTGATGTATTTGTTATCTGGCCTTTTATGGAAAATGTTTTCTGACCCGTTTACTAAATTATAGTTTATCTCAGCATTTTTCAATGAATTGGTATCTAATTCACCACATATTCTGATAATATATTAAAATCTGATAGTAAACTAAAAGATAAATAAAAAATTCTTACRCATCCGGAAATCTAAAATAATACTTTTAAATAACTTAAAGAAAAATCAAACTGGAAATTAAAATATTTTTAGAATTTAGTGATAATTATATTAAAAACCAATAAATGCAATACAGGTAGTTCTTTATGGGAATTTGATAGCTTTAGTTACTCTTATTAGTAGAGTAAATTAACCAGGTAATCATCCTACTAAAGATGTTAGAATAGGAGAATAAACCTAAACATAGTTTTTCCCCTTCCCTCCAAACATTATTTTATCTGGAGTATTGAATGCATTCTTATTGCTATGAAAGTTATCAGTTGAATTAGGTGGTTGATTTTTCCCTAAGGATTTTTTTGTTGCTGTTCTTGACCTAAAAAAAAATCAAATTTGTATTAATAAAAATTTCATATCAACTTGAAGAATGATTTATGAATTTACCTTATATACACTTAAATGAAGAGTTTATATCTTTCTGTCATAATTTATAGTTTAAACTATAAGTTAGAGTTTAAACAGTTTATTGGATAGGAGATTTTCTTTTTAAGTTAAAATTTTCTTTTGTAATAACCCCATTTTTTTCCAACAAAACCTAACACAAAAGTCCAATGTTCATATATAATCCATCAAGTGGAACTGTCATACTTTCTTGAACTTCTTAGTCTTCTTCCGTCTAAGGTCTGGGCCACTTGCCATGAAACTTGGCTTCTTAGGACTAAGAAGAACTAGAGGGGAACCATTAGCATAACATTCTGGGATGCTGTATTATAGTTTATTTGTCATGTTTGAGATACTTCACACGCTCTTGGCTATATAAATTTTGTATCTTCTACAGCAGTTGACACATCTGAGATATTTTTTACTTGGCTAATTTGCACATTATATCTTTTTTTATTGCTGAAGGTATGTACTTTGTTTATGCTGTCTTAACAATTAATATTTTTATTCAGATTGAATCATTGTGATTCTAATAATGACTCAGATGATACATCACAGGACTTTGGTCCACAAGCATTCCAGTTGTTATCTGCTGTGGGCATCTTAGAGGAAAAGTTTGGAATTGGGGTTCCAATTTTATTTCTCCGAGGATCTGTAAGTATATGTGAATGACCTTCTTAGTTCTTTTTTTGCTCCTGTTGTAGTTTCTTTAAAGATTTATTGTGTTGTGATTATAGCTTTGACTTTAGGTGAATTATTAGAAATGAAGAAAATCAACATTAATTTACAGTTAAACCCTGCAATTCACTACTTCTGACAGAACATATATATGTCACATCTATTGTTGTTTTTGTTGTTCCAAGCTTATGTTCAACTTTGCGTCTCAGTCTGAAGTATTATATTAGTTTATTACATTGTTGGGGTAAATCCCTAGACTGATCTTTCTTAGGATAATTAAGGCATGTTAACTTTCATTATCAAGGAGCTGGTGGAACAAAGTTGGATTTTTTTGGTACCCAGGAAAGAATTTTAAATTGAGCAAAACTGTAGTTTTGAGGATAATTTTGTAAATGTCTTAGTTCATAACAATATTTGGCAATATATTTTTTTTCCTCTTCTGTTTCCTACCAGAAGTATAAAATACCAAGAAAAAAATTTGACTTTACTTTTGTTTTGTAAAATAAAATATGATTTTATTCCTGATAAAACAAAATTAAGTGTTCTATGTTGATACTAGTTGACTAAGAGTGGAAAATAGGATACTTTACAGTTACGTACATTTATTTTAAATATTCTTTAAAATTCTTATTTTGTATGTAGAGTTTATAAAACCACTTTAGATAAGCATTTGTTTGTTAAATAGTCAAATGCTCATGTGAATATTTTTTAGTTTTTATTTTGTTTAGAAAGGAACCTGTTAACTTAGTTAAGAAATATTTTTAATAGTTGAAAACATATTAACTTTTAATTTACTGATATTTTAATATTCTGAATGGTGTTTACATTTTTATTTTTAAATCACAAGTTTGATCAGAAATTTAACAGTGGAAGTGTCACCTAAGGAACTTTGTTTTAATTCCTATGAGTGATACTATATTTTTTATTTAAAAAACAAACAAATTGCATGGGACAGCTTAAATATAATTGAGATCTATAATTTTTTTTAATTTTTATCACCTTTAACACCTTTGTACCCCAGTTGAATGTATAACTTATAAACATTATCCTTGTTTTAATTTGATATAATCCAGTAGTATCCAGTATCAACAAATAAGTTTAAGTGGGCTCCTAGACTAACTTGAACTGGTCACAAGAGGGATCAGATTTCACCTATTATTTGAAAACCAACTCAGACCTTTTATACTGACAGTGTCTTTTGGGAGTCCTCAAATTAAGAAGTTTGTCCTTTGTGAAATTTTATACTACCCTTGCTAGATAAAAGTGTAAAACTTTTAAAAAAGTACCACTTAATGAAAATTTAGAGACACTAACTGCAGTGAAAATAAGGTAAGTTCCCTATCCACCACCCCCCATTTCAGTGATCTTGCTATCTACTGGGATATTATTTTAAAAATTATAATTGTAATACCTTTGGGAATTGTTCTCCTTAACCAATTTAGGATACATTAATATCTTTGTAGCTAATTTTGATCTGTAAAATGATGTGTCTTAAACAGAGAAACTTTTGGAGTTTTTAAAAGAAATAATGTTATGTGTGCAAATATATAACAAATGCAATTTCAGCAATACATGATGCTGTTCATCTACACAAGATTTTCCTAAATAGCATAAACATTTATGCAGCTTATTCACAAGTTTGTAAGTGGAGTTTAAAATTTTGTTTTAAGATCATGTTTTATTAGAAATTAAATCATGATAGTATTGCCTAAGGAACTTTGTTTTAAATTGTTCACCATCTAAAAAATTTTACACCCCCTGTGTGAATATGGACAAGATATACACTGGCCTTAATTTTATAGATTAGAAAATGGAAACACAGTCATTAATCTGTACAGGAAAGATTAAGTGAAACATCTTTTCTGATCATATTATTAACATGCTAAACCTTATCATTGCCCCAGCATTGTATAGTGCTTTTCATAAAAGATGATTTTACCTAGACAGCCATTGGAACTGTTGGTAAGTTTTTAATCAAACTCTAATTTTCAAAGTACCTAACAGGAAAGGACTGCCCATTGATTTTCTAGACAACCAATTTCATCTGATTAAAATATATTCCTAGAGATAATTATGGTTACTTTATCCTTTGATTTTATTTTACACGGAATTAACAGCTCAAAATGATTTTCTGAAGCCCTAAAGTGGTAATCATGAACCTCTTTTGCTTGTAGGGACTGAGAAAGAGTCTGTGTATTTGTGTGTGTGTGTGTCTGTATATGTGAGAAAGATTTAATAGAAGCTCTGGACATGTTTTGAACTCTTAGAACTTAGAATTCAACGCTTCTTGAGTTGAAGTTTATAGCTATTTTTCCACTACTTATTAAACATCTATTTTTGTGTAAGGCACTATATTGTATTTTGTAGGGGATCCAAAGTTGAATTAGATGATATTACTTGGAAAGATGTAAGTATAATATAGTATAGAAAGAGGTAAAGGATATATGAACTGATAGGAACTATTATTGAAGTCCTAGGGAGAGTATTCTTAGGGGAATTAGAAGTGTTTGTGAAGATTTAATTGGAGCTTTCTGTTTTATGGGGGATACAGTGGATTTCTGAGAGGTATAGTTGATTTGGACATTTGGAAAAAGAATGAAGGAAAAAGGATGGAGGAAAATGCTTTTCCTAGCAGATAGAATTACTACAAAAAGCAATTGTGAATTTTAAAGAAGTTAATTTAGAAAAGTGGCAAAATTTTAGTCTTTTGTTTTTCTCTGTCAGATACTAGGGCAGAAAACTGCTTATCAAAAACTCATATGTCAGGTAGTGTAATTTGACTAGTCAGTTAGTTTTCTTTATTCCAACTGTTACTCATCAGTTAGATTTTCACATTCTAAGAGTCTAAGTTTTGTTGACCCTGTTTTTCTAACCTGATTTTAAAAGGAAAATAATGAGATGAAAATTTCCTTTTAAGATTGCATCCCATAGAAGTATAGACTCTTAGTGCCAAAACTGGGCAAAAAGACTGGCCCTATAGTTTTATTTTATTCTAGTTGAAACAGAGTTTTTAAATGATCTGGTCTAGGCCATACTGTTACTTTGTGCCAGTAGCAGGATGGACAAATAGCTTTCCTAAAAGTGCCTTTGTGTTTATTATGCTATTAAATGCAGTTCTAAATTTGTATTTTTAAATCGAATTATCTAGAGATACTAGAATGAAGATTTGTTATTGGTTGACGAGTGATATGTGTATAAAATTGTGCCCTCTATAAAAATCAATACCCAAAGCCCTATATTCTCTCCATATCAGCTTTCCCATTCCAGGCAGTTTGACTCTTGACAGTAGATAACCTGGAAAATTAAATTAACTGAAACATTAAAGCAATTAATGGAGGATGCTTTGCTTGGAGTGAGAAATCATCAAACATTTGTTGTTGAAAATTCTTACTGCAGTTTGCTTTAATTCTGTTTTTTTTTTTTTAAGTTACTTGGTTCCATTTGGGTTTCTAGTTGAAAAGGGAATATATGATTTCTTTAAAGCAAAAATGCTCTTTATCAAAGAGCAAAGATACTTCATTCTCTGCATGATTATTACCATGGAAACAGGACAGTGAAAATTTATTCACATAGAACTCAGTATTCACAATGATTATTAATCATAAAGGGAAGAGACAGTTACTCCTGACTAGTTAGAAAAAGCTTTATTGCTTCATACTAGTAGATGTACACAAATTCACTTCAGGTTTTTTCTGCTTAGGAAAGGAAAATCTATCAGTAATTTTTAGTGTCTAAGAGAACTAGAAAGTGCTAGTTAGGCAACTTAATACCTTTTGGTGTTACTAGTTTATAAGGAGTAGAATATTCTACTACAAAGGCGAGCCCCATAGCAGATGTACAAGACTGTTAGCAAATGTTCCAGAGGAAACTAGTACTGTTAGATTAGGGAATTCAGGTTCAGTTAAAGGATCTGCTGTTAACTAGTAAAAAGAAAGTTAATATTACTGAGATAGGATTTGTCCTACTTACTCACTTCATCTGTATAATATTCCCAAGACATAGAAACTATTATTATACTTGCATATCAAGTCAGGCCTAGAAGCATAGTTGAATAACTTGCCAGAGCAGTGACCTAAACCCAGGTAAAGTAGCTTAAGAATCTACCTAGTATATTGGTTGTGTGTGTGGGTGTGTGTATGCATGCAGAGTACATGTAAAACTAATAAAAAATTGGTACTAGTTGTCTTGGAGGCCTATGTTCTAATCCTAGTTGTAGTACAAAGACACTGTGGGATGTGACATAACATGTTTGAGCCTCTGATTATTTGTTAGAGTATAAGTAAGAAAATGACTTAAGATAGATCAAACAGCTTTCCTTTTAGTTGTTAAATTCTATGATATTTTCTTTTATGTCACTTATTTTTTGAAATAAATTTTATTGTGTATATTTTTAAGGTAAACAGCATGATGTTTGGAGGGTACATAAATATAATAAAATGGTTCCTGGAGTGAAGCAACATAGTATATCTATCATTTCAACATAGTTACCAATTTTTTATTTGTTTGTTTGTTTGCCTGTTTTTGTGGCAAGAGCACCTATTCATTTAACAGGAATCCCAATTATAGTAGTGTTTCATTAACTATAGTTCTCATGTTGTACATAAGGTCRTTAGATTTGTTCATCATGTGTATTTGATGTTTGATTTTTAAACATTCTATTCAAATCAACCAAAGTGAGAATTAGCATAGGCAAAGATTGTGGGTAAGAAAAAAGGTGTCATGTCATACCTAGTTTATATTTCTCTAAATCTTGTTCTAATAACATTTTCATAAATATAATCATCATGCTACTAAAATTCATTACTTTGTTTATTTTAATAAAATTTCATTTTTATTTTTAAAATTTAATAGAGAGCAACTATAGACTGTTAACTACTCCTGGCGGAAGCCTTTATTTATATTCCAGTATCTAGGCACTGATGTCTCCGTCTCTGGTGGGAATTTAATCTCCTTTACTTCATTTCATCCTAGCTTCTTTTTTTGAGGGATATACCTTATTTAGGCTATTTTTGGAAATCTGTGCCTTAGAAACAGTAGTAAATGACATAAATGTCTTAATATACCTGTTTTGGAATTCACATTTTTAGCATTACAAAATAATAAACCTGTAACCATTATGTTCTCATTAGTTGAATAAAGCTAGTATATTTTTAATAGAGTCTTACAGTTCCCTGAGTTATGTCTATTGTGGCTCATCCTGTATATTCTTTTAATTTTGACCTCTGGATTTGTATATACATTGGTTGTTAAACCTTCATAGATGAAATGTTTAATTGTCTTCCCAATTCTAAAATTTTAGACTGCATTTTTATATTAAGTATTATTTTATATTAAGTATTCAGAATATAATCACCTCTTCACATATTGAAGGGATGAATGTTTTTATTACATAAATACAACCTAAAAATACAGTACTTATATTAGAAAGCTAATGATCATTCTAGTTAATTTAAACAGAAAGGATATTAAGTGACTTAGGAAATTATTGACAAGGTTACTTTGCAAAGCAGTCTGTCAAAGGAGCAGCTGCCTCTTCTATGATCAGGAAGCTCTCAACTTGGGAAGCTATCACTGACACCTTATCCTGAATTGCACTGAATTGGAAGCCATAGCTCTCAGGAGGGTTCTATTTTTGCTGAGAACCACATTGAGGTTGCTATAATCTGTGACAACAAAGTAAATGCCTCTTGATACTCACAAAGCTAATAGTTGTTTGCTGGGTTCCTTGTTAATGTTCATTAAAGAAAAACTTCACAATTATATGTTATCTACAAAACTAGTAGAGGAGTAGCCTTTACCTCACATTTTGCTTTTGCATACCATGCAAATATGTTTGCATACCATGCAAATATCTGATGAGCAGAACTTAAATCATATCCAGAACCCTGGCCGAAAGAGTTTCAGAAATCGTGTTTGTTACTTCCCAGATTGTGCAGTAGAAGTGGACTGAGGTTAGGATGACCCTTGAATTATTATCTGCTACATTTACCTCAACTGTATTAGACAGGAATAGTTGATTATAAAACCTTCTGTTCATATATTACCATATACATTTGAACTAGTATTTAAATGTGTAGGATGAAAGAGTACAAGGGTGATGTGAATGGAAGAGTACTTTGTAGTGAGTGTAGGTGGTTAGAGTCCTCTCTCTGAAAGGATAAGCGAATTGCATGACAGACTAAATTTCCCAGTGTTTCTTGAACTTGATGGCTATGAATGGTCTCCCATAGGAATTCTCTCATCACCTAGGGAAAAATAACTCAAAACTCATCAACTGTTTAGCATGTTTTCCTTGGTATATCTCAGTGAAGCAAATAAATCATAAAGGAGTGAATAAACTTTGTAGTGTATAATGAAGAAACACACAATAAAAGCAGCCATGGATGGAAGCCATGAATTGTTACAGGACTATCATGTCACATTGTCTTTTAACATCCATGGATCTAGACTTGAGCTGTAGATCGTGATCATCTTTTTAAACAATAATGTATGTTATTCAAAGGTCTAAAGAGCAGAGATTGACAATTCCAAACACGTATTTAAACCTATGCATTGGGAAGTGCATCTGAGTTATATGTGAAAATTTTTGTGATTATTTAAAATATAAAAGGAACACATACTATGTATGAGTTGGGTACAGAACAAGCAGGATGGGTATAAAAATTTTATAGGGGGCTGGGGCGGTAGCTCAGTGGTAGAGTGCTTGCCTAGCACATGTGAGGCCCTAGGTTTGATCCTCAATACTACATAAAGATAAATAAAATAAAGATATTGTGCCCATCACAACTAAAAAAATTTTTTTTTAATTTTATAGGTTGTTAAAGTTGGATTTTTTGGTTAAATCCAAAGAATCAATGGATGGGTTTGTTTTTTAATTTATTCCATTTAATTGGATAAGCATTTTTAGATATTAATTTTATTCCTGATTTCAGAGTTCTCAGCGTATTGCAAATAAATATCGTAGTCACAGTTTTTTTGGCACTGGTAAGGATCAAACAGAGAATTGGTGGAAGGCCTTATCCCGTCACCTCATAACTGAAGGATTCTTGGTAGAAGTTCCTGGGCATAACAAATTTGCAAAGATTTGCACCCTTACAAAAAAGGTAAACAGTATAGAAGTCTACCTGTTTGACTTAATTTTTCTCAACTATGCATTAAGATTCTTTTTTGATTTCAATAGGGTAGAAATTGGCTTGATAGATCCAATGCAGAATCTCCTCAGAGTCTTATGCTTCAAGCTGATGAAGAGTTGTGTCCAAGGAAGTTTCTTCAGCCAAGGTCATTTTTCAGTTTTTTTGGTGTTGTTGCTGTTTCAGTGATTTTAGGTACCACTCAAGTAAAATGAATTGCCTGTCTGTTTTTGCATATCTACTTTAGTCAATTTGGAAGAAAGGGAGTCCCCGGGAAAAGATAAATCACAGAACTTTCTTGGTTGATGGGAAGTAGTTGACCATTAGAAAACTTCTTTTCCATTGATTAAGTAGCATTGACATGAATGCTGAAGAATTCATATACTGCATTTTCTTCTCATGTGTAGAAGATGGGAAGGGAATACACTTATTGCCTACTTTTTAATACCTTTACATATTATTGATTGTATATCAGTTTTTTCTTTCAAACATCTTCCTTTTCTGGGAAAAGAAATTACATTTAAAAATCATTTAAAAAGGATAATATAATGTTATCTGCTTTTCTGAGAGAGTAGGGGTATGATGATTCACAATTAGATAATTGCATTTTCACATTTGAGATAATTTTATTTTATTTTTCAGTTCTAAAACTGTATCTTCAGGCACCGAACCGCATTCTTCTAATCAAATACCAATTGAATTAACTGCAGAGAAGGTTTGTTTTAAAGAGGTGGTTTTAATTGTTGCAACTCTTGTTTTAAAACATTATGTTAATTCTGCTTTACATAAAGAGGAAAATGGCACATATAACAAGTCATAAATTGGAAAGAGAAATGATATGAATAGAGTAAAATGCAATATGTGATTTCTGGAGCTATTAGAAGAATTAGAAGTATTTGAGGAAGAAAACTTACTTTTATTCTTTTAAGCCTATTTGGTAACTAATTTAGCTTAGTTTTTACATATTGATAATGCTTACCGGTGATGAAAAAATAAGCCTACTTCCTAAATAGTCTCATTAAAGCTACATTACTCACTTCACATGCACAAACACACATACACGCACCATCCACATTTTCTTGCTTTGTTGGGATCTTAGACAGCTATTGTAGATTAGGAACTCACCCACAGGTGGACATTAGCTAATTAGAATGTGGAAATGGGACATACAGGTGAATTAAACTTTGTAGTATACTTTTTCTGCTTAATTAAAATATATGGAATGTAATTGAATCAGTTTCGTGTCTTGGGCTCTTACTGTACTTTAGAATGTTCTTTTGATCACTTATGAGTTTTGGATTAGTGGGACATTGGGTTGTATTTTTGTGCTTTTTTTTTTTGGTACTGGGGATTGAACCTAGGACCTTGAGCAGTTAAGTAAGTACTGTACTACTGAGCTATATACCTTGCCTTTTTATTTTGAGATGGGTCCTCACTAAGTTGCTGGCCTTGACCTTGGGCTTACAGGTGTGTGCCATAGCCCCCAGCTATTGAGTTATATTTTTAATTGCCTTTTGAATTTTAAAAGTTGATAGTTCAAGAGCTTATTTTCAGTTGATTTATTTGGTTTTCTGAGGAGAGATTGTCATTGTGAGATTTTGTACCCTTTTTTCTTTGTATTTAAGTGTTTTTTGAAACTTGTGATTTTTAAATGGACCTTTATGTGTTTAAAAGCAGTCTAACTTGGAGAGGAGGTGTTCTTCCAAAGCACTTGCTAACATTTCTTCTGGGAGTAACATTCCTAAAAAAAGGTACAGAATTCCAAATATTTATTTCCTATACTTATATTATCAGCATTACTTTCCTTTCTTTCCTGAAGATAAAGGACTATTAGATGTTGGCTTTTTCATTGACAAAAGGAGGTTAAAGCATAAGTTTCCAGTACTACAATTATTAAAGTAGATCCTGTTAGGTCCCTGGCGGCGACTTGGTGGGGACTTAGTGGCAACTTAGAACAAAGCAGCCCATGCCTGAAAAGAACATCAATCAGATGCTGGCGGAAATTCCTGTCAATCAGCCAGATCTCCTGACTAACACCTGTCAATCAGCAGGGCCCCTGGCCAATCCTAGAGTTCAGCTAACTCCAAGGGGGCAAAGGGACCCTAGAAACACCTTTTCCTGTCCCCAGCCCTTCCCTTCCTGCTGTAAGCCCCATAAAAGTCCAGTCCGGTCGAGCTTCCACACGGTTTCTCCTCAGACCCTTCCCCTGTCCCCTCTGTGGGTCTGATCCAGTTCCACCTGGGAGTGATATCTCAATAAAGCCTGTTCAGCGGCCCTTTTAAATCTGCCTCCTTTGGTAGCTGCCTGCCTTGTCTGATCTGACAGATCCATACAATGATAGTATTAATTTAATAGCTAACACTTCTTGGGTATTATTGTTTGCCAGGTTCTATGTTAAATGCTAAGCACTTCATATGTAACACTTCATCTTACAAACAGTCTATGAGTTAGTACTTTCTATTATTTATCTCCATCTTATAGTTGAAGATACCAAGGGTTAAGAAGTTAACTAACTTGTTGAAGAACATATAGCAAATGGCAGAGATGACTTTTAAATCTATATGTGTATACAACTAGCCTTAACCACCATTATTACATTTGTGTGAAATATACCCACTTCATTTTCAAAAAAAAAGGTATTTATGATAAGATAAAATGATAAACACATATAGAGTTGGGAGAGAATAAAGATAATATACTTGAACATTTAGGCTTACTATTTGATTTACTGATTAATGAAAGAGTGAGAAGAGTACAAATTCCAGAGTTTCTGAGGAAAGAAAATTTGAAAAGCATGTCATATCAGGGCCCATGTTATACATACACAGTTTAAATGGACTATGTTTACATTCATATCAGGTCAAAGTATATTAATGTGATCTATGATTGTTATGCACTTTCTAATGTTTTGCTCACTTTGATAATACTACTTTGGAGCTGATAAAATGTTTATCATAATATCAGTTTTCTACCCCAATCAATTCCTTTTTGTTTAAATGTGTGGAATGTAATTACTATTGTTTTATATGAACAGAAAGGTTAAGGGGTGTAAAAAACAATATGTCCATTAAATATCCTGAAGCATTTTTTCATTTAAATATTTACTTTTTTTTCTAGGCTTCTTCTTAGTTCCAGGTGCTATTTTAGGTTTTGGAATTCAGTGGAGAATAATGGAGACATAGTCACCAGCCCCCACAGAGCTAATACTGTAATGGGATATACAGGGAAGGGAACATAAAACTACAATCCAGAAAATAATATTTTGGAAACAATAGAGGCTTAATCAGGGCTTCCCAGAAGTGATACTTGAAGCTTGAGTGGAAGTCAGTCAAGTGATATGAGGGAAAGTGTTCCAAGTAGAGGAATTGTTCACATGTAAAAAGCTGAAAGCAAATGAAGGTCTAAGCTCAGCAATATGGCTAGATATTACCTGTCAATAGAGAGTGGTAAAATTTAAGATAGAAAATTAAATAGAGTCCAGAGTATCCAGTTTCTTCTAAGCACTTGACTAGATCATAAAGGCAGTTAGGAACCTAAGGAAGTGTTTTAAGTAGAACAGTAATGTGGTCAAAGCTCTACTTCTGAACAAGAGTTGACAGACTTTTCTGTAGAAGAAAGATAGTAAATACTTTAGTCATTGAAGGCCCAAACCTCTGTGACAGCTGCTCTACTTTGCTTTTGTAACCTCAAAGCAGCCACAGATAATATATGAAGGAATGAGTGTGACCATGTTCCTACTAAATCTTATTTATTAAATTAAAGTTTATATAATTTAGCATGTCACAGAATGATCTTTTTTTTAATCCATTTCAAAGTATAAAAGACTTAGCTAAGTCCTGACCAAAAAAAAAAAAAAAAAAGCTGGAGTTGGCCTGTGGACCATTGTGTGCCAACCCTTTATTAATCTGTTTGTTGTGGAGAGAATAGATTGCAGGAAGGTTAGAGTTGTTGTAGAGACACAAATAAGGAGGTGATTGCAGAGGAATTTGCAAGAGATGATAGTATAGATGAGAGAAATGGCAGTGGGCATGGGGAGAAAGAGACTTATGAGATATTTAGACTTCTAAGAACTTTTTTCCTTCAGTGCTGGGGATTGAACTCAGGGTATCACACACATGAGGCAAGCGCTCTACACTAAGCTTCACCCTTGTCCTAGAGATAGAATTGTTAGTACTCGGTGATTGAAAAAGATAGATGGGTTTATACTGAGTTTGGGTTACCTATGGAATTGCCTAGAAATGAATTTAAATATAAGGATTTAGTGTACAGAAGTACACAGGGTACTTTTATTTTCATCAAATAATACATATGAAAAGTCAATTGATACTTCGAGGTCTGTAATAAAGTATGCACTTTCTAATGCTTTGCTCACTTTGCTCACCCTCCCTAAGCCTACTTAGCTGTATTCAATCTTCCAGCTGATTTCTCTGGTACTTAATCTTTGTATTTCTAAATGACATGCTTAGATACTAGTTTATGACTTATCAATTATAGGAATTTTTTATTGAATTGCTGTCATAGTAGGTTGCCTTCTTTCAATCCTCCCAACATAATTATAAGTTTTGGTCATATTAATAATTTATTTTTATATTGTTATAACCACAAAAATATTTCTATTCTAAAGCCAAACTCTGTTGATATGGCCACCACTACCTTTATTGTTCCTGATGTTAATAATTGTCTCCTCCCACCCCACTGATTTTAGTATTCTTTTTCTGCTAGTTTGCACTCTATGAGAGTTCCTTTATTTTTAACACTTCCCATCTAGTGAACATTGAATTTTAGTTGTCAAATTTTTAATTGATGAGAATTCTGGTTCTCTTTTTGTTTAATAATATATAACTGTGTTTTCTTGTTTCATAGATACAGTATCTTTATTAATCTCTTTGATGATATTCATTATAGTTACTTTGAACCATTCTTCTGTGAACTTGTAATGATGTTCAGAGATATCACATTCTTTTTTTTTGTTAAAATTTTTCTGCATATATTTCTGCCTCAGGGATATTACCAAGGTTTGGCCAGTATACATAATAATAAAATTTCCTTTGTGAAATAGTTTAAAAATCATTTTTCAAATGGCATTGAAGTATAAAGATTGTATACTTCTAAGATAAAGAATTAATATGTAATTTAAAGTGGATTTATCATTTTCTTGAATAACCTGATAGTACTAGTCCAGTCTATTTATTGTAGTGATAGGATTTGGTAATACTTAATTTGATAATTGTGAAAATGAAATTCTTTACATTATAGTTTCTGAGTTCTTATAACAGAGAAATCTATAAACATCTCTTAAATATCAAGTATGCTCTCCCTTTTGTCCCCCAAAGCAGGAATTTATTTAAATGTGACATCTCTTATGTAGGCTATTCTATACAATTTCATTTTTATAACTTTTCCTGTTTCCAATTAGTTTATCAATGAGAAATGTCTCTTGTAGAACATCTAGTTTACTGCCTACCACCTTTCATACCATGTTTCTTCATTAGGTATAGTTTTTCCCTCTTCAAGAGTCCAAAACAAAACAAAATTACTACTTTTTTTTTTTTTTGTTACTGGGTATTGAATTTGGGTGCTTTACCACTGAGCCATATCCCTAGCCCTTTTTATTTTTTATTTTTGGACAGGGTGTCAGTAGTTTAGGGTCTTTCTAAGTTGCTGAGACTGGACTCAAACTTGCAGTCCTCCTGCCTCAGCCTCCTGAGTTGCTGGGATTACAAGTATGTACTACCAAATCTAGCTACTTCTTTTGCTTTATGCTTATTCATTTCATTTTGAAGAAAGTTCTGAATAATACTATGTTTTCCATCAATTGAAAATCAGTGATTTTACATCAGGAATCATAGATTGTATTTGTATTAGTTAAGAAAAAAATGTTCTCTTTAGTATGGATATGCAGTATTTTCTTTCAAAACATTTGTTTGAGGAGGAGGATAGGACAGATACTTTTCTTAAGTACATCAATTTTATAAAGAACTCAAATTACAGTTTTAACTTTATGATTATACTGACTGTATTTGTTCTGAAATATTTAAAATCTAACTGTTGCCACTTAAATAATAATTGCCCTCCTGGCATTGTTAAGAATAAATATTTGTACTGAGTTGGAATGATATTCTCATTTTTATGGGCAAAATAAAAATAAAATTAGGAGAAAGAAAAGACTTTATTATTTATTTATTTTTTAATATTTTAGTATCATGGTGCATTCATCAGAAAAATCTTACAGTTTCTCAGATCCTGTTCTTTTGGCCCAAGAGCAAGAGACTCAGGTAAGGTTTTTGTGAAAAGGGGTAATTAATTTATGAGAAGGGAGTTAGTATTCTGTGCATGCTTAAAAATCTGCTACTAGTTTATTAAAAATTGTTCTTTAGCTAAGAATCTGAGATAGAGTTCAGTTTATTTTCATCTTAAGGGAAAATGTAGTATCTGAAGCGCTAAACGTAACAACTGAATTTTTCTAACTACATTAAAAAATTGTGAGTTCTTTTCTCTTTTGTTGTTGTTCAGATTATGTTATATCGCAAATTGGTAGAAGCTAGACAGAGACATGCCAATATAATGGATGTTCCTCCAGCTATTTTGGCAACAAATAAAATATTGTTGGATATGGCCAAAATGAGGTAAGCTGTTTGTTTACATTCTGATTTATTTCCTCTGACATAATAGATTTGTAAAATATATCATTAAGTAAAAATCTGACCAGGGATTCAGCTATCAGATTTGTGAGCTAACGCCCAAATCTCCCATGTTGCTATTCAGATCTCTTTGCTAAGCTTTAGTTCCACGTTTCTGCATGAGTTGAGAACCAATTATGTATAGCAGTCAGATTCAGTATATATAAAATCCAGCTCATTGTTCATTTACCTTCCATGTACATATTTTATCCAAATGCCAGTACTCCTCTCTCTGAATCCCTCATTTTTAGTGGTACTATCATGTTTCTAATCACACATGTTTAAAACCTGATATTGTTTCCACTCATTAACATATATCTTGTCTCTTAGTCAGTTAGTCTTCATTGGAATGTTTTGGTTTTTATCTATATATGCCTTCCTGCCTATTCAAAATAACCCCATATTAGTACTTATTATAATAGCCTTTTAAGTGGTCACTCTTCAGTTTATCTCTCCATGGGCACCCATCTTAACTTCTTTTTTTTTTTTTTTTTTAAAGAGAGAGAGAGAGAATTTTTTTTTTTAATATTAGTTTTCGGCGGACACAACATCTTTGTTTGTATGTGGTGCTGAGGATCGAACCCGGGCCGCACGCATACCAGGCGAGCTCGCTACCGCTTGAGCCACATCCCCAGTCCCCCATCTTAACTTCTTTAGCCTAGAAATTAAGACATCATGGACTTAAACCTGCTTTTTTTTCATCTAAGTCACAGAATTCAGAATGATATATCTTACCTGGATTATCTACCATTTATTGAAGATTCCTTTTCAACTTATATATATTTATTTACAGTCTTGCTTTTGCCTTGTGTTTCCTTGATTCCTCAAAACTCTTCTTAAATCCTTCAAGATCTAGTTTTATTACTGTTTACTTCATGAAGCCTCCTATTGTGTTACTCAGCAAAATAATTCCTTTATCTTGAATTCATAAAGGACTTTTAGATGAATTCTAAACTTGCTTTAATGGCACTTACCACAGAATGCTTTATTAATTTTTTATAATTAATGGGAGACATATATTATATCGTCTAGATTTTAGTCTCTGTGGATAGAGGTATTTGTTCCTCATCTCTATGTGTCTTTCACAGTACTAAGCACAATGCCTAATAAAGACTAGACATTTAATAAATATTTAGAAGAAATTATTCCCAAAGAATAGTTGCTGGGTAATTGTATTCATTTTTATWCTTCCTTCCAAAAATATGTTTGTTGTTAATTTTCATTCATTCATCTTTTTAAACTTCATTTAAAAATTGTTTGTCACTAAATTTCATTCAATAGATGTAACTGTAGCGCAGAATTTTCTAATGATATTAGAGTGCTTTATATTTTACAATAATATTTTGTTGAAAATATTTACCTGTATTCTAAGTCAACACTTTAATATTTGGAGAAGATATTTAAGGAAAAGGAGTTATCATTAGCTTGGCAGATTTTTAGAAGATATTTTACGGTTTTTTGGATATTGGACACAATAAGAAATAAGAACTAAAAGCCTAGTTAGCAGATTTTTGTTATAGATAAACATTTTAAAAAAATAGTTTTAGTTGTAGATGTACACAGTGCCTTTACTTTGTTTGTTTGTTTATTTATTTGGTGCTGAGGATCGAATCCAGTGCCTCTCATGTGCTAGGCAAGCACTCTATCACTGAAGTACAACCTCAGCCATAGATAAACATTTTGTAGAAAAAAATGATTGAAACAGTCTTAAAAAAAGAGTTTTTAAGGCTCTTAATTGTTCTCAGGTAGTACCTCCTAGTTTTTGTTTTTGCAATAATAATAATATAAATAATAGTGCAAGATAAAATGTTAGCCTGCTTCTTTCTGACAGTGACCGGTTTACTAGATAGTACATTTACTATGCTTTAGTGGTGATAGAGGTAGTGGTGGTTTTATTCATGAATTGTTAAAACAGCAAATCTGTAAGTGGAGGAAAGCAAAGAAATAAATTTATAAAGTTTTTGCCTGCTTATATTTGTATTTTATTTTTTAAAGAAATATGCACTTATTAAATATCACTATGAAGCTGAACATCAGCTGTATTGCTGGAGTGATGCTGTTTCAGTGGTTTATTGACTTTTTTTTTTTTTTTAATGATAGACCAACGACAGTTGAAAATGTAAAACAGATCGATGGTGTTTCTGAAGGCAAAGCTACTGTGTTAGCTCCTCTGTTGGAAGTCATCAAACAGTTCTGCATAGAAAATAGTATTCAGGTAAAATACTATTGGAACTATTAGAAAAGAACCTTTCTTTGACCATTTCAAAAGCAACATTTTAGCCTTTTATTTGCATTTTCATACTGGACGTTTAGAAAATGGATTCAGATTGTTTTTATAGTAAATAGTTATAAAAATTTGTTAGTTACTTGTTAAAAGATGATAGTAAAGCGATTGTCTGGGAGGCTTTTGTTTCTATTTCATTGGTAGGCTTTATTTTGAAATTTGACGAAGTCCTGTATTTTAGGTTGATAAATTCTTTCCTTTCTTTTCCTTTCATAGTGTTCATTTTATTCTTTTTAGTTTTCATAGTATTTTCATAACCTTTTATTAGTCTTCATAGTTTTTTAAAATATCCTTTTATTATTTTATTATTTATTGTTCCAATTTAAGTGACCACAAATATCATTTGGGTTTTTTCTTAAACTACACATGCATACCATGCTGTATGGTACAGTACAGGTAAGACCCTGGGCAGTTGTGGAAAGACTACTGGACTCAGAATCAAAGAATTTCAATTCTTTTTTTTTTTTTCCAAGTTGACAAATAAGAACTTTACTGAAGTAATGACTTTCCTGAAAATAAAGAACTGAATTGAAGTAGACTGGATGCAGTATCACTGATGGACATACATGGATATAACTGGAAAACAAAAATGCTCTTGAATCTCCACCCTTTCAGGAGGCTGCTTTTTTTTTTTTTAATTCTATATGACAGCGGAATGTATTACAATTCTTTTTTTAAATATTCATTTTTTAGCTGTAGTTGGACACAATACCTTTATTTTACTTATTTATTTTTATGTGGTGCTGAGGATCAAACCCAGGGCCTCACACTTGAAAGTTGTGGCCACTGAGCCACAACTTTAGCCCCTACAATTCTTATTACACATATAGAGCACAATTTTTCATCTCTGTTGTATACATAGTATAGTCACACCATTTCATGTCATACCTGTACTTTGGATAATAATGATCATCACAATCCACCATCATTAATAACCCCATGCCCTCCTTCTCCTACTCCTCTGCCCTATCTAGAGTTCGTCTATTCCTCCCATGCTTGCTCCTGCTCCCTATCCCACTATGAATCAGCCTCCTTATGTCAAAGAAAACATTCAGCATTTGTTTTTTGCGGATTGGCTAACTTCATTTAGCATTATCTTCTCTAACTCCATCCATTTACCTGCAAATGCTACTTGATGATCCTGAACACGTTCTTTAACTTCTGAGTCTTCATGTCCTGACTTACACAATGGAAGTGATACTTCCTTCTCTATCTAAGGAAGCAAATGGGTAACTTTAGAAAGATAAGACATGGGATACGTGTAAAAAGCTGGAAGAGTTAAAAACACTGAAGACTGTATTAGGGATTGGTTTTTTTTCTTCCAAAAACCTCCTGTAAGCTTTGAGCAGGTACACATGGATCCTGCTCTAGAAAAATCATTCTCAAATTCTGTGCAGAAAACCCTTCTGGGGCTCAGAATATAGCTCAGTTGGTAGAGTGCTTGCCTTGCATGCACAAGGCCATGGGTTCAATCCCCAGCACACAATAAATAAATGAATGAATGAATGAATGAATGAATGAATTTTAAAACCCCGTGTGTGTGTGTGTGTGTGTGTGTGTGTGTGTGTGTGCTGAGAATTGAACTCAGGGACACTCAACCACTGAGTCTCATCCCCAGCTCTATTTTGTAAGTTATTTAGAGACAGGGTCTCACTGAATTACTTAGCATCTTGTTTTTGCTGAGGCTGGCTTTGAACTCTCAATTCTCTTGCCTCAGCCTCCTGAGCTGCTGGAATTATAGGTGTGCACCGCCTGGCTCTCTTCAGCTTTGTGTGTGTAGCATTTCCTTCTTTAAAATAGAATATTTTTGGCAAGTTTAAATTTTCTTTTTCATACTCTTATACAAGACATTGTGTGAAATTTTCTTATATTTCATATTAGATACTTTGAAAATGAAATTAGTTTCTTAATGATTTGGTAAAGAATAACATACCTACTAGTAGTAATTTAATAAGTTCCCTCTCTTTGGACACTTGATATCTTCTTTTATGACTTAGTGGCATTATTTAATAATGAATGAATTATCTTATCCAGTTCCTCCTATGGAGAGGAAATTGAAATAGGGCAAAAGGTAAATGCTCCAAAGCATAGCTTTAAAAATCCTTTCTGAATCTTATGGTCAGAAAAAAATGACTGCTAGCTTTTTTTATAAAATTTCTTTTGGTACCAGGAATTGAACCAAGGGGCACTTAACCACTGACTCACATTTCCAGTTCTTTGATACAGGATCTCACTAAGTTGGTTAGGGCCTGTCTAAATTGCTGAGACTGGCTTTGAATTTGTGATCCTTTTGCCACAGCTGTCTGAGCTGCTGAGATAACAGGCATATGCCACTATATGTGGCTAACCGCTAGCTTTTGAGGTTAGAAATTATCTGGATTATTTTGTAAATTGAAACCATTTATTAAAGAAATTCCCATTAATGTTTATTAGACCAGTTTTGTAATTCATGACTTTTGTTAAGCTTTTTAATGTATTTACTTCAAATTTTGAAATAAAATTTAAATACTACCATGATACAAATCTGAAGTTACAAATACAGGCTTGGGTGTGGTAGCATGTCACTGTAGTCCCAACTACTCCAGAACTTAGGTGGGAGGATCATTTGAGCCCATAAATTTGAGCTAGTTCAGCAACATAGTGAGACTGTCTCAAAAAAAAAGAAATGCAGTTACAAATATGACATGAGTATTAAACCCATTAATGACGACTGTTTAGGAAAATATGCTAAAGTCACTTTAAAAAAATATTTTTTATAGGTGGACACAATATCTTTATTTATTTATTTTTATGTGGTGCTGAGGTTTGAACCCAGTGCCTCACACTTGCAAGGCAAGCGCTCTACCACTGAGCTACAGCCCCAGGCCTGCTAAAGTCACTTTATAGAAATATATTCTATGAAAATTATCTTCTTATGAATCATACTAACAAATCCCTAAAGATTTTAGTTTCTGAGACGAAAAAGGATTTAGTAATATCGAAGACATTTGGCAAAATAATCCAAAGTAATAATGTCAAGAAGTTATAGATAGAATGTGACTTTAGTAAGCAGAAGTTTAATCAAATCATATTCAATATAGATAAAAGGCTTTATGAACACAGTAGTGAATTATGGAAACATAAATAGAAAAGGCATAAAGACAAATGTAGGCAAAGACTACCTACATGTTTTTCAGATGAGAAGACATTTTGGCTAACTAGATTTGAACATCAAAGTTTTAACTGGCAAGGAGAATGCCTCAGCCTACCTTTGTTACTAAAATTACTTAAGACACTCTCTTATAAATCTTATAAATTCCCATGTTATATTCCAAGCTTACTAAACAACTTTCAGGAAGGCTGGCTTCCTGTGTAGCTGTTTTTTAAGACAGAGCACACCAGTTGGTCCATGTGAAATGTTCCAGTTGTATGCTTCACTATAAATGAATGAATTTGCTTCCTAGTATAAACACTTATAATTCCCAAAGTACAACTGCTTTGACACATCAGACTTTTAAGGTTGCAAGGATGAGGACTGAAACCCCACACTAAACCATGGCAAAATGCCACAGCGTGGGGACCAGTCTAAGAAGCTTGCAAAGCTTTCCTAGAAAACACCTATTCTGTCTTGATGTGCTCTTTCTACAAACTCCAAAATGCAGCCATTCTGAAACTTTAAAATGGGAATAGAAAGGTATAACACCTTGCCCCATTTTATTTAGACCTATTATATGCTCAGAACATTAAATCCCCACCCTTCAGGTTATTTGTTTACAATTCTCTTTGATGTTAATGTGAAAGTATAGCTCTGAAATTTGTTATGAAATGCCCTCAAAGGTTTGGAAAACATGCAGGATAATTCAAATCCTAAAATTAGGCATTGTACATATAATAAGGAAAAGTCAGACATTTATATTTCTTGCCAATTGGTAGACCAAAACTTACATAACAATTTTTTAAGTTGAATTCTCTAAATGACAGAATATGGAAACAAAAAGTAAATGGCTTTCCCAAAGAAAACACATATTCTTCCTCATGTATCTAAACAAAATTTAATAAACCATAATGATAAAAAACATTGCCAAAATAATACCAGTGTTACTCATCAGGAAACAAGGCTCTTTAAATTATTAAACTAGCTTGTTACAAATTTCGTTACGACTATAGTAGGCTGTTTTGTGTGTGATTAAGAAAATAGTTGTCTATATCTTTATGATTTTTTTTCAGGCTTTAAGATATTCCAGTATTTCTATATTAGTTTTATTTTTACTCTTTTTTTTTCCTTTTAAACATCTTTTAAGGAACCATATTTGGGATTTTATATAATGTTTAAAGGTTAGAGTTCTGGTTAGGCTATATTTTTATAAATTAATTTTGTGTGTGTGTGTGTGTGTGTGTGTGTGTGTGTGTGTGTACACACACACATATTTGTGATTGTGGTTACCTGAAGTTGAATATTGATTTTGTTTATTCGTTATTCAATATTCACTTCCAAAGGATTAGGGATATAGGAACAGAGTGGTTCACATTGTAGTTCCTTTTCTTATTGACTAAAGAGAAGACTAATAAAGTTTGTTATTACAAATATTTTATTAGAAATTTATGTCCTCTAGTATTACTTTTCCTTTTAAAATCAATATGTGAAAAATCCAACTTCTTTTTGAGCTCCCCATAAGAATTCTTTGGTTGACTTCTCTTATTTTTTCCTAATGGGAAATGATTATATATTGATATTATTATATCTATCATTGATGTCATTATTCATTACTTGTGCTACATTTACAATTATGTAGACAGACCTCTTTTCAAATATAATACCTCAAGAAGAACAAAAGAAAAGTCTGGAAGTTAAAAATGAAAAATGCTCACTCTCGCAGTCTGTGGCCTGCACATATTCTTTATTCCAAGAAAAGAAAATGTCTTTGGTAAGTGTTACTTTTATGTTACAGAGAATTTTTTAATTTATTTAAACTTGTGTTTTATTAGCTTTTGTATATTAGAGCTGGGAGTTGTGACCAATTTCTTCTAACTGCACAAGAAGTCTTATTTTATTTTTAATTTTAAAACAATGACATTTCCTCTGTTAAGCCTATCCCTGTCTAGGAGCAACAGTAAAACTGGTTTAACAATGATTTTTTTCAAAGAGATTATATGCATTATAAGTAAACACATTTATAGCTCAGGGATACTGCAGCAGCAGTATTTTAAAACTATTTTTTTAAATGAGACTAATAATTTAAAAAGCTATTATATGTATTGTTAAGAAAAAAATCTCCTAGAGCGGGGGTGTAGCTCAGTGATAGAGTACATGCATGATTAGCATGTGTGAGGCCCTTGGTTCAACTCCCAGAAACCATATACACAGAAAAACAAAAAAAGAAACAAGGAAGAAACAGTGTTAAAGATACATTAAGTTTAAAAAATGGACATGCAGAATGGTGTTTAAAAAAAAAAAAAGAAAAACTATATATATACACACATATATATAAATGTATATATTCCTGCTTTTATATTCATATCTCCTTGTATGTGTTAAAAATGTGTACAGTTATCTCTGAAAGTATATTCAAAAACTGGAAATAAAAAATTTTTTTAAAAACCTTATTTTTACTCTATCTTCTAGCATTTTTTTTTAAACTAAACAGATGTTCTTTGGGACAGATTTAATTATTGTAAAGAAATAGCCTTTCTTAATGTTTTTTCATTGTTCTTTTATAAATCCTTAAGGCTTCTGAGGTTTTATTTGTTTTGATGGGTATACAAAATGAAGAGATAGAATAGGGATAGAATGAGGCTTCTTGCTGAGTTTAGTTGATTTGAATTCCTATTCTCTCTGACATTAATTGATTTGGAACATATCCAGTGCCAGCTTTTCATATCCACTGTGCCTCAATCCACTAAGCTGCATTATGCATCTTTACTTAACTCAGGGTCCACTGTAAATACAAATAAATTGATCATAGCTTATCTTACTAACTTAATGGTCTAATTAGATAGTCTGGTTCCTCAATTAAAAGTATAAAAGTTATTACCTGAGAAACCAAATAATTCTGTTGTACTATTTTTGTAACAAAATACATGTTAAATAGAAATTTTAAGTTGAATTCTTATGTAATTAGTAATTTACACATACATGTTAAATATGCCTGTATATCCATGATTTGGCCATATATATATGGTAGAAATGGATACAGTTATTAAGGAAATCTGGTACAGTCTCCAGATTTTTCTGAATAAAGTGCATTCTAATAGTCATAATATGAGGTTTCATATGTTATATTACACATTCATACTTTAAGATATGAACAGTGGTATATCTTCATTTATGTCTTTTGGGGTTTGGTAGTATTTTATTGTGTGATATGAGGGTTAATTATTTGTACCTCCCTAGAGTCTGAGAGGGTCTTGCCAGTTAACCACCAAATTAAAGATGCCTAACAACTAATGAATCAGGAGCAATAATACAATTAGTTTGAGGTAATTTGATGCCTAGTATCAAATAACCATATCAAATAACCATGATATTATGCACACATGGTGCCCACTTTTTAGTAAAAAAGATAGGCATTTAATGAAAGTAATTTAATACTACTTTTGAAAGTAGCACCTTAAATGGACTATTTTGTAAAAGTATCAATAGTCATAAAGATAGTCTACAAATTTAGACTTTAGAAATACATGAGGAGTATTATGAAATGTTAGAGTTGAATGACTAAGCTTTCTGAATGTTGTGAAAAGAATGTTTCACCTAATACATATCTTAATATATTTGGAGTCACATTTGTTTTAAAAACTTTGTAAATATGAAATACTATCCTAAATTTAATGTAATTCATGCTAAATTCAATAGTAGGATAGTGCTGACAGCCCTTGTTAAAATTATAACTATTATTTTGTGAATAGAGCCAATTTAAAACACCTGTTAAAGTCTTTGCATGAGCCTTTTACAGAACACATCTGAAACCTTATGTTATCACTAAKCATTTTAAGATTTGTTTCCTTGGAAATTGATGTAACTAAAGCACCGTCTATTATTTCAAGTATGTAGAATATTACAGTACAATTTTCTGTATTTTCAGTAGGTTATGACCACTACTAGATTTACATGGAATGGCTTCCCTCTGCCACTAATAGTTTTCTAAAGTAAATAATTAGGTATGAAGATTGAATTTTTGGCTAAAGTTAGGTGATTTTGTTTTAATCAATATAATGATTATAAAAAGTAGATCCTGTGGAAGTCTATAGTACTTTTAAAGAAATAAAATGAAAAAGTTAAGTGAAAGTGTAGTACATTATTTATTTCTCATTGCACATGTACTTTCTGAAGGTTTTAGGTATTTTCTTACCATGAGGTATAGTGAAAACTTGAAAAAAAATACTTTTTGTCTCCTGCTGTTTGTCTAGATTAGCATAGCTGAGAAGAGGATTCTGCCTCTCACAGCAATTGGCATGCACTTAGCCCAAGCAGTGAAAGCTGGCTACCCACTGGATATGGAGAGAGCAGGCCTGACTCCAGAGGTTCAGAAGATTATTGTTGATGTTATCCGAAACCCTCCCGTCAACTCAGGTGATAAACATGGCCTTTCTTTGCAGCCTTAATGACTTGAGTCACTGTACCCAGATGAAGTAAACAAGCAATCTGTTAATACTTTTCACTTTAACAGAATTGACCCTTTATGAAAATATTGTAAAAGCCTAACTTATGTAATGCTTCTTATTGTTTTAGAAAAACAAATTTTCTTCCTAGTATCATTCAGAGAAAAGTATACTGGGAAATTCTTTTTTCCTTCCCACTTTAGATTACAACTTCCCCAGCGCCCCAAAAGGGCACTTTACCCTTTTTTAATTTCTACCTCATTACTTGCAAAAAAATACTTCTCCACATTCTTCCCCAACAGCTTGTTGACAACTTGTTTTCCCCTAAACCTTTCTGATTCCTTGTTTGACTTGAGTAATCTCTCTAATCAACAAAATGGTTGTGACATGGGATGGATAGGCCAAGCTTTGTAGCTCCTGTAGGAGGATTTGCAAAATCTCAACTGTGCTCATAGAAGTAGAGCCTCTTTACTTGCCCTGCAAAAAAAATTATAAGGAATGATCCATTGTTTACAGAAGTAAAGTTGAGGGATATTAGAGGATTTCTCCCTTAAATGTATATATATAAACTTGGTTTGTTATACTTCAATGAATCTGATAATTTTTTCCCAAACTATTAAGATAGAACAAACATAAGGCCTTATCTCTAAAACCACATGAATAATTATGTTTTATGACCTCAAATTCTTTCCCACATGGAAACAACTATAATGTTCTCCCCAAGAATTTGAAAATAAGGGAAATAAGATCACTCTCTAAAAGCAGTTAATAGTATTTAATTGACCAGAGCAAAAATAATCAAGTCATCTTAAAAGGCAGCATTATTTCTAGGATAAAGCAAGACTTGACTGAAGGTGTAAAGAACAAACACTTTCATCACTTCCATTGACCCACTGTGGAAGCCCAGAAATAGGAGAGAAGGGCATGTTCTGGTGAGCTCATCTAAGATCTAGAGATGAGGAGTGGTGGCCATCGAGCCTTCAACTATTGAGCCTGTTGATAATGTTATATCAAGGTCATGTCTGATACTCTTAACAAGTAATTCAGCTTCTATGTCACTTTCTAACTATAGGGAAAGCATGCTCTAGTCACGTTTATTTAAGTATCTATTTGATAATTATATATTAATTGTAAGTTAATAAATTGGAATTTTTGTGAACTTGGTCAGTGTGAATCTGATAAGGGTTAAATTTGATTTCTACCTTTGAAAGCCCGAGGGCCAAATCCTATGCAATAAAATATTCAAGGTAATTTAGCTGTGGATTATCTTCTGAGAAAGCTAGCCAGCTCTCCTGGTCACATTCCAATCTTTATAACATCAGCAGCTATTTTGCTGGTAATTAAGGTTGAGGGAGGAAGATAGTAATTACTTTAAGGGATTGGATTAAGGTGGTAAAATCTGTTTCTTCATTGCAAAAAGATACTGTTTTAGGAAAAGTCAGACTCAAATGCCTTCTTGATTTTAATACTCTGAAATTATTTTTTCATTATAAATGTGTTATCTATCAGGACTCAGAAAAAAATGTCTTTTGATAAAATTTTCAGTAGTAGGTAACAATCTCTAAGTTTGTATATTTTTCCTTTTTAAAAAAAAATATTGACAATCATGTTTGCTGTTATTTGACTGCCTTCCTTAAATCCTGAAGACTGCCTTCCTTAAATCCAGATGTTTTTACCTAGTCAATAAGAGCAAAAGTTCAGGCAACAGATGTATTCTCAGATCTTCTGTCTACTATTTCATGGTTATGTGAACATTGATAGATTACCCAATCTCTCTGACCCTCAGTTGCCTCATCTTTATAATAGGGAGGGATAATATTGCTTGTCTTACAGAGAAATAAATTAGATAAAACAGAAAATCCTGGCACATGATAAATAGTAAATGGTGATGCTAAAAGATTATAACTGAAGAAGTAGATGGTAAGATCTTACAACATCTTAAAAATACCCTTTAAATCTGATTCATTTTATACTTTATCCTTTTTAATAGCTAATTCAGAATATATGAAGTTGATAAATATGGATATAAAAAGGAAGATTTTAGAAACTACAGTCATCTCTCAGTGTTTGCAGGATATTGGTTTCAGACCCCTCTCTTCCCTGCATAAATCGCAAAATGTGGGCTGAAGTCTCCTATATTAAATGGTTTAGTATTTGCATGTAATCTACATAATGCTTCTGTATACTTTAAAACATCTCTAGATTACTTACCATAAATACCTACTATAATGTAAATGCTATATAAACAGTTACTATCCTGTATTGTTTAAGAAATAAGGACAAAAAGTAAACCCAGGACATGGAATACAGGGATGCAGAACCCACAGATATCAATAGCTAAGTGTATTTTACAGAACATACACCTTTAATAATTCTGGAAGGACATAATGTATCTTTTGTGTGTGTGTTTGTCCTAAAGAATTCTTAGACAGGAGAATCACAAGTTCAAACCCAATTTCAGCAACTTGGTGAGACTCTGTTTCAAAATAAAGAATGAAAAGGGCTGGGGATGTGACTCAGTGGTTAAGTGTCCCTGGGTTCAATTCCTGGTACCAAAAAAAGAAGAAAAGAAGAAGAATTTTTGGGCAATATTATTCAGTGACATAAGATTAATGTTCTAATCTCAGTTTATTATTGGCAGCAGGAAATGATAAAGGAAGATTTAAGATTATATTTGTTCGGTCAAATATTGACAACATCTATTTTATTTGTCTATGATGAAGAATTGAGTTGCTGGTGATTTCATTTCTAAATCATATAGTCATAAAGTTATGGAACTTTATATTTGGAAGAGAAATTGGGAACATTAAATTTTTTCTTTCCCACTCACATCCTGTTTTTAGAGACAGAAAAGTGAGACCTGTGGAGTTGCAAAATTGTTTTAATATCATATCTAAGGTTAGAGCAAGTTTTTCTTTTTATTTATTTATTTATTTATTTATTCTTTTTTTTATTGGTTGTTCAAAACATTACAAAGCTCTTGACATATTCATACATATTTCATACATTAGATTCAAGTGGGTTATGAACTCCCATTTTTACCCCAAATACAGATTGCAGAATCACATCGGTTACACATCCACATTTTTACATAATGCCATATTAGTGACTGTTGTATTCTGCTACCTT